CAGACTTCTTGCTAGAATGCCAAAAATAATAGGGAAAGTTCCCCCAAACGAGTGTGGTTTCATTGGATACTAATCTAAGTTTACTTATAAGAAGAAAAAAGTGAAAAATATCTAATACTTTCCGAGTTCTAGACTTAGAAGAATGGGTGTACTTATTATTTCGGCCAGCCCATTTTCATGCTTTTTGGATAAAATTGACCCCTGTCTCTAAATTTGAAATGTAAAATCCTTTAGGCAGTTATTTTTATTATCTGGAATAAGTACGGTTTTTTCCTTAAGTTTATCAAACAAATTTTATAGGACTTGAAACAAACCACATACGCATGTACTTATTATTTCGGCCAGTAGTGTATACACAGTGGAAAATCTCATGGAAATCGGTGGATATTTGTTAGGAATTCCCTGAAATTTATATTTATATTTGAAAAGGTCCTTGTAAGCAACTGAAATGTCTATCAAGTAACCTATTTGCATTGTATAACTTTATATTCTAGGTATATATGATTTTTTATTTATTTATTTACATTTATTTACCAAAGGTTCGTAACCATAAAGCTAGCTTAATTTCCCTAACAAATTGATCTCGTTCTGCATACTTGTTTCGCCCTGTGCATAATGCAAATAAAAATAAATTGTACTCATCTGCAGGTACTTTACCTTTACCTCCGCCACCGCCTTCCTTCCAGCCCCATTTTAACACCCACTGTCCGTCCGGATAACAAATGCATCCAATCCAGAGGCTTGTTCAGTACGTTTATCTGTAAACTAGAGAAGATGGGGGGCTTAATGATGCACAACTGTACTCCTAGGGCCTATTATATAAGCCAGTAGATTGATTTGTAGATCATGACGGGCACCTTAATTGTTGACAAACTAATTGAATATTAATTGCATAACTCGATCGAACAGCAGCCCCGTTAAACTGTACTTCCGAATGAACAACCTATGATTTTATGCAGGGTAACAAAAGTTTAAATATATTATAAGAGAACAATGAAAGTATATTTTTATACACTGCCATCTCTGATCCAATTAAAATCCACTTGTTACTCTGAAAACTGAGACTAATAGCTCTGAGGGTTCTTTCCCTTTGTCGAACGAGCACTTCCATGAACCAAATTAAATTTGAAACGCACGTAAAAATGTGCGCAAACCGAGAGATGCCCGATCATTAATTCGGTGGCATCCTGAACTGCCCAGAGCACACGACAATTTAAAGCTCTCGGCACGAACCGCAAATGCGTCCATCCACCGATTATTTATTCAGGTAAATCCCTCGCCGACAAAACCTGGCCAAAAACAAAGAGCCACAAAGACGACGACGACGACGACCAGGAGGAGGTGAAGCAGGCGGCGTCTCATGTGAGACAATAAATGGGAGGGATGTGATCGAAGCGAAGAACCGAAAAGTTTGGAAGCCAACGAACCGGACTAAGGGAGATTCTCTAAAAAGGGAATACTTTTCCGGTAGTAAATCCCCCTTCTATTTTCCTGGAACCAAAGCCAGCCGAAGGCCTGACCTGCTTACAAGGGCTAACTCACGTAGGCGGCGCTTAAAAACTATCTATACAAAACAATAACGATGATCGTAAATCTCGTCCAGATAATTTCAGCTATTTGGAGCATGGGAAATGCGGAACCCTATCGTAAATCGTTGCGCCAAAATAGCAAAATCCCACCCTCTGAATGTCACTGAAACTAGGCTGGTCTCAGGCCCAACCCTAGGCAGATAACACATCTAAAGTAAATAGGGAGTAGAAAGCGCCACACCCACTTTCAGCTCATAATAGAAACTAGTTGGTGTAATAATAATAAATAAGTAGCCAACATTGATTACCCTTTGCTGGGATTCATTCGTAAGCATTGCCGCTCTCTAAATGATTCTAAAAATGTGTGGTATAAATCATAATTTATGTCTTTAGTAAATCAAATATTTGATGACTTGTTGCCGGGTCGAGTAAAATTTTTATTATTATTCATATTATTATAACCTTGCAGGGTATTCTAATTTTAGTCAGAAGTTGTAACAACACATTGAAGGAGTGATTTTCTGACCCTATAAAGTATACATATTCTTGAATAGCAATCAACAGGGGAACATTTGTAGCCATTTCAGGAATAAAACAATTTTTTTTTTTCTAAATTTTATAAGGGGTTTGTTGCATCCTTGAAATTTTCAAAAAATTTGCAAAAAATTTAAAATTAAGTATGCAGTTTTTTTAAACTAATAAAAACTAACACAGAACCGTTTTTCAAATTGAAATTAATAATTTTTTTTAATTATACAAAAATGTTTTTCAAGGGGTTACATCATTAAAATTAAAAAAATAAAATAGCAAAGCATTGGATTTCTTAAGATTTAAAATTAAGTTTGCAGTTTTTTTTTCCACTAATAAAAACAAACACATCAAAGATGATGGCCCATAAACCAACCCAGTTGCTATAATACAAAAAACAAAGCACTCTTTTGGTGTTCGATATTCGGCTGAACACGTCCAGAGATCAATCCTTGCCGTCTTATCGCTCGATTGGCTGGCTAACCCATTTTTGGGGATTGGCACGCTCCGGGCTTGGGCTTCCACTTCAGCCTCTATTGGCTCCCCTTTGGAACGCAAACCCCAGAGCCGAATTCGGAATGGCAAACAATTAATGTTCGAGTCATATTTTTTTTTTTTTTTTTGTATGTGTGAACGGCATATTAAATGCGAACCAAGAAATTATGAACAATAAATTATGTTTATTATTTCTCTTCCCTCCAAGCTCTCCTCGATTTTAGGCTGTGCCCAAATGCGGTCTCCAGCCCCGATTTCGGGATGGCCAAGGTCGAAGTAGAGCTTGGATTTGAATGGGGAACGGGAGGGGGGGACTATATTTCTGGGTTGGGCAGGCACACTAATCTGACATTTCAAAACGGGTTATTACAAGGATTATTAAGGGGGGTAAGGTGCAAAACGACCCACTTTTCAAAAAAAGTTTGTTTTAAATATCATATAATAATATCTTTTCTTCCCAGTATAATGGCAAGTGCAAGTGCATTGCAGTGTAGTGTATCTCTCATATTCTTGACCTGCCCGCGAGTGTGGTTTACAATCAGATCTCGGGTCTGGTCACCATCCTGTTTGCATTGATGCATGCAAATCTAAATGCGGGTTTTTCCCGCACATCTGATTTATGCTTTTAGCAGTTTCACTTTTGTTTATCACATTTTCAATGTGGATTACAGTTTCGGGTTCTGTTGGGTTTCCAACGAAAAACCAATGACGAAATTTAGGAAAGAACATAAACTGTTTTGCGGGGGGGAGTACGAAGGGTATCGGAGGTATCGCGTCGTGTTGCTAAGATCGCAGTTAGCAAGCTAGCTGGCTGGCGGGCGCACGTCGGCCCATTCAGATGGCCCAAAAATATGCTGAACACGTTCGGCTCCTCTGACGTCTGCGGCTGCGCTGTAAGAGAGCTTTGGATTGGATCTGCTGGTAGCCCCTGGTCACCGCAGTGCCGCCCGGCTCCTTGCCTAGATGGCCCCCACATTTGTTGCTGTGCTCGGTTTCAGTTTCATTTCCGGTGGCAGGCAACGGACGGCGCTTAAAGCGATTTTTGCTTCTCGATTTTTTATATATATATATGTATTTTTTTTCTTACAAGCCAGCAACACACACTCATATCACGAAATGACCATTTTCGGATTGGAATTCATTTTCTGTGTGTTTGTTTTTCGAAATGTATATGATTCGGATTCTGATTGCGATGAAAACAGTGATTCATCCAGGAGTACAGTCATCACTCAAAAGCATAGAGAGGGTGGATTCACTATATTCAAAGTGTGAGTGTTGTGTCGCCTTAAAAGTAAAAGTGTGTAAGTGAGGGGAGAAGTAGCTAAAATTATTAATTGAGTGAAAAGCAAAGGAAAAGCTTTCCACTTTCTATTTAATGGCGCCCAAACAGGGACGAAATACCTGCTAAGCAGTGCTTGCCAGGATGCATCTCTATGCAAGCAGTGCAGATAATCGAACGAACCTCGACAGGAGCTAACACGCCCACAGCCGCCAATCAATTGTCTTGCCAACGTCATTGTTTTTGTTTTTCGTTAAATAAATCCATAAACAAAACCCCCAGAGATTTTGTAGCAGGAAGAAGGGCTAAACAGAACGCCGGGCTGGTATTTAAAAACAAAAAGCGCTGCCGACAGCCAGACAAGATTCATTCATACCCCAGCGCTTAGAACACCAAGCAGCAGCAGCCCAAGCAACAACCCACAGCAGAGAGAATTCTCCCAGCAGAACCCAGACCCGAGCCGAGACTGAGAGCCAGAGAGAGAGAGAGAGAATAAAAGAGAGCGGGAAGACGGCGTCAAGAATCCGAGCAAAAAGCTTCAGACGCGGCAGCTGTCGCCTCATTCTCGAGTTGCGGTCCAACGGGTTAGCACACAAGCAGGGCAGCTCGGCTTAGCACCGCTTGCAAAGCAGCGCCGTTCAAGCAGTTTGTCGTAACGTAATTTTGCGAATTTCGAAAAGGCAAAAAAGTTAAAGCAATGCCTTCGGCCACATTCGTCCTGGAGCACTTAATGGCGGCACAAACGCGTCTCAACGAGCAGCCACCGGCACCAAAGGTCACCAGTAATAGCAACACCATCACCACGATCGCCCCCAAAGTCAAGTCTTACGAGAAGAAGCTACTGTTGGCTCTCAAGAAAATTGTGCATTAATAAACAAATTCAAAGAATACAAAAAAAAAAAGCGGGGTAAACAAGACTATTTGAGAAACTCTATAGACATTATCCACCTTAATCGCGAGCCTGAACTGCGATCAATAAAATAGCAAATAGAAAACAAAACAAACAGCGGCGAAAAACAAGAATTCTTGTTTTTTCAGTGTGTGCGTGTGTAGTGTTGTGTGTGGGCAAGTTGTTACATAAAAAAAAAGTAATAGCAATCCCCAAGTATATATCATCTAGAAAGACGCATTTTTCCGCAGTGGAATATTACCACTGACGCGGTTTTTTTTTTTTTTTTACTTTTCTTTGGAGTGTGAAAACGAAAAAATGTTGTTTAACAAATGTCTGGAAAAGCTGTCCAGCGTGGTCAACCACAAGCTGCAAGAGAAACAAGTCTTCAATAACAACAACTGTAATATCAATAATAATAACAATAGTAATAGTGTTAACCACAATGCGTACAACAAGCAGCGAAACTTTGAGTACGAGAGGGCCATCCAGGCCCACTATGGCTCCGGCAAGGAGCGAGAACGGGAGCGGGACAGGTGCAAGGTCAAGGTCAAGAGCCAAAAGGCAAAGGCCAGAAGCACACCAGCGCCAGCGGAGAGTTCACAACAGCCCGCCGTCACCTCGGTTGTTTCTTCCTCGCCTCCTTCAACGTCTTGCATGACCCACGACGAGCTGGCCCAGATAATCCGAGGAGCAGCCAGCAAAAGCCATAATCCCTTGCACAACAATCGCCTCAATCGACGCCGTCCGCTTTCCGCCCAGCCGTCCATTACCACCACTACCACCGAATCCACATCCTCAGCTTCCGCATCGACGTCCACCGAATCGCTGCATCAGCTGAATCATTGCACCTCTTATCCGGCCACGCCCACCTCGTGGACAGCTACGCCGCCGCAGTTTCCAGCGGCCTTTGGCGGAGCCAGCTGCTCCACCAGCACATTGGCCCTCCTGGCCACCATGCGCGTCCAGCTCCATGGCTACACGTAAGTCGAAATGAAGAGGTTTTCGTAGGAGGATCTCCAGCAAAATCCTTAAATCAAGGTTGAAGGGTTCAAAAAAGATCGAACAACAAAGCAAAGTTCATAAAAATTATAATGAAATCAAAGCTAGGAAACAAAAAAAAAAAAACGTCAACGATTAACTGATTTGGGGCGCGTGCGAAATGAAACGTTAATTGTTATCAAAGTGCGAATTATTAATAAGCTTAGGAATGCCAACGAGTTGATACCCTGGAGAGTACGTTAAAGATCAACTCCTTTTTCGGAATATTTTAAATATATTTTTGTTTTACTCGCACAAAAATATCTAATGTAGATGTCAGAATCAGTAAACAGAAGACTGAACAGAGACCAAGTTCCGGTCACTAACGAGAGCCGTAGAGAAAAGTCTGGACCCAATCTGCTGATGCTGCCCATTAGCATTAACCCTAATAAGGGAGGCAATCACGGCTGACAAAAAAAATAACAGCATGAGTAAAAACAGCGCACACTCAACTGAAATTGTCATGTGTTCAAAATTGCCACGCAAAATGAGTAAATATTTACGCAAGGCATTCGACAGGGAAAACAACAACAACATAAAAAGAGGCAGGAAAAAAGTCGTAAATTGACGTTCTAATATGAATGAATATGTCGGCTTTAGAATGGGCCTCATATATGACATATTTACGTATAAAATCACCCACTCACTCAATTAACCCATTGTCAAGCCGAAATCCCTATTGATTTTTACATTTAGAGCTGCGAGCTGATTGAGTTGTTGGGGTTAATAATTTCGGGAACTACGCACTTGTTGAACCCGATACCTGGGTACTGAGAGCATTCCAGGGAACATTCACTGCACTGGAAATATTATCTGCCAGTTAACTTTTCTACCGAATGTTTACCTATGTCTGAGATGTCCACATTCTCCGGCTTCCAGCCGATCTCTTGGTCTTTAGACTTTATCTCCACGGCTTGTGTGTTTATTTGTTTGTTTTGCGTGGGCTGTCCCAGTCTTGGAATCCTCCATTCGGGTTCGCACATTTCCCAAGAATCTACATACGATTATGCCAGCCTCTGTGTCTGCCTCAATAAATTATCTTGAGCTTGAATTGGAAGTATGTCCGGTTTTAGCTTGCTCTTTGTGGACGATGTTAATCGAAATTAATTCATTATATTCAAGTTATTCATCTTGTTAACTCAATCGATTAGGGGAATAGGCTTGTATATCTACAGTTTAGTTTCAAATTTGAAGAGCTTTTCACTCCTCCAACCATTACTGTATCAAATGATGTTGGAATGATTTGACAATAGCTTCGTTTTACGATCTTCAATCTTCAATTTCCGGTGCTAAAGGCAAGTCACGCGTTCGTCACTTGTCACTTCACTAGGTCAACAATGGGGAAGCTCTCCCCCGAGATGCTGTTTCGTATTGATCTCTCTGGCTTTGTTTTCCTTTCCCATTCCCATTCGGCTGATAAACAATTTATGAAATCACATTTCAAGTAATGGTGCCTGCCTGCCTGCCTTCTGTTTTGCATATTTCCGTTTTTTCCATTGCACAACGGAATCATCTTGTGTGTGCCGTGTTTGTTGTTATTATTAATAATTCTTTCTTTTGTTTTTTTTGTTTTTACTGCCGCTGATCAAATAAATACGCTTTAATTTGTGCAAATTCATGCAACTCCCCGACTTTAAGATGCTCTCCGTGGAAAGGCCCCATTACTAAGAGGGGAAAAACTTCCAGGAAAGTTTTCACTGACGCTTCAATTTTTCCGCAATTACTGTACAAGATTTCCATTTCGAATTCTATTCATAAAATTAACTTTAACCTTGTCAACTTGTTTTGTTACTGCTTGATCTTTTGACACAAAGTCAGACTGTACTTCCTCCATGCACTGCTTGTGCGTGGGCGGTTAGGGTATGGGCAAGCAGCGAAGCCCATTTGCTGTCTTTTCGTTTCGGAGAAGTTAATTAAATGAAGGCAACCCAGGCCTCAGTGCCGACCCGTTTCGCTGCCGCCTTTCCCAGGTGCGATGGCACAAAAAAAAAAAATAATAATAAACCTGTGACAAACGAAACGATTAAAACCATATATATATATATATATATATATATATGCCCAGTATTCCGAATCAGAATTGTGTACAAAAAAGTTGCACATGCTCGACGCTCGGCATGTAAATCTGTTTGTTGACCTTAGGCGGCGCTTTCATGAATGGCGTGCAGCTTCCTTCGTATGCAAATATAACAACAGCAGGCACTGTACGTAAGTGTAACTGTAAATGATGCAAAAAGTTGTGAAATTTTCACTGACGTCGCCCTGGAGGTAGTGCCTGCTTCTGTCGATATTTTTGTCGCCTCGCCCGCGATTAACTTACATTAACTCCAGTCCAGTCGGCCCGATTTAAATCGGTGGGAAAAGGGAAGGGAGGCGGGGTAGGTGGGGTTTTGGGGCCGTCAAAGTAATTTGTGAGTGCGTGCTATCGTCACAGTGCTAAAATTAAGTATCAACACCGAAATATGGGTGGAGACACAGTTGGGTTGAGTGTCTTTCACTAAGGATATGATATATCGATGCAATCGGATCTCCGATACGATCCGATTCGAGGCGATGATAATTGCCAAGTTCAATTCGATTTCACGGGGTCAGACAGACCCGAATTTCGAAGCGATATCTGCCAGATAATTGCAAATAAACGATCAGCTAAAGGCGAAATGTGCTAATAGATGTGGTCCGAAAACTGTGAATTGTCTTATGCAAATATCGAGAACCTTTCCACACAGTCGAGTGTGTTGTGTCAGTATTGTTGAATCATCGCAAAGAAGGCGCAGTTCTTAAATCTTGGCCATGATCGCTTCAAACGGAAATAGCTGTCGATATTGAATGTTGTTTTTACCCCACTTTTGTCAGACACCTAAAAAAAAAATATTAAAAATTAACTCATAAAAATAATTTCACCGTTTTTATAGCAATCTTTGAACTGTGGGGTACAGTTGCCTCTGGCAAGCAGTTTACGTGACATTTACAAGCAGTGGTGTGTCCTGCCTACGTGCCAGCAGATACCGGCTCGTAATAGATTTCCAACTTCCGTTTTCGCTAAAAATAAACCTATAAAACTCATTCTTATCACTACCAAGCGATCGCGTTCGGGACCACCTTGAATCTGTAACAGGCCGTCCCAGAGAGGGAGCGCGAGCGAAAGGAAGACAGAGACAGAGACAGACAGCATTGAAATGCACGACGCTCTAATGTAATGTTAATTGTTTCTACATGAATTTCTATTAATAGTCGCACACACAATCGCACGCGGAAGATATATTGACTTGGCAAAGGCATAACCAATCAATATGCACAAAAAAAAACGAGCTAGCTAGCTATCATAATTATTAATTATTAATATAATGAATAGTATAAATAATACCAAGACAGGATCCCTATATCTGTAACTATACCATGCGATCGTTTTGTGAACAGAAACTTCTATCTGTTAGCATTAGCTTTTTGTTTTCCGTGTAGAGGGGATATCCGGGGGAACCGATACAGCATACAGCATACATAAAACATGAGTCCGAGATCGAGTCACCTGCTAAAGCTGCCCAACACCCAAATTTGCTCGCTCTCGATGACATATTTTATGATATCTATGACCCCAAAGGCAGTGAATTGGAACCGGCTTAAGGACAACTCCAATGTTGTCAATTGTTTTCTAGATTTTGCTTGGATTTCGTAGTATATTCTCTTCTCTTTTGTTTTATTTATTTTATTTTTTTTTTGTGGTGGCGACGAACTCGAAAGCAGGCTAAGAGATGAAGAAGCAGCAACAGCACATGGTCGATAATGGCATTCAAAGCGAGTTTTTTAAGTTAGTGTTATTTATGCAAACTAGTAAGTAGGAGGGAAAACGAAGCAAAACAAAACCAATGAACTAATAAGCCGTGCGTTGAGGTGTGCAAATCGAAGTGCGAAATACCCTCAGATCGAGACTGATGGTAATCTGATCTTTAAATGAATTCAGACTGGAGTTGGAGTTTAATTAAAATATAATTCTTTGTATTGTATACTAGGAATTCTTTTAAGATATTTTGTATTTGTGATTAAAACTAAACAATTAATAATTAATTATTAAAATCCAAGTGAAGTACAGCACTACTTGCACTGCTTGTTCGGGCTCTTCCTAAGGATCGTCATTAAGCAGTTCATCGGTGCTCAGAGCTTAATTTGTTGTGTGTTTTTTCGCGGTTTTTATGCTGTATTAAGTTAGTAAGCTTAATTTTCAGCTACCGTTTTTCTATGTCACATCACAGTCACAATTGCAAATGCAATTGGCGATGGCAATCGCCAGTCTCAAGTCTGTCAAGTCGAGTCAGCAGACGACGGACGTACGGACGGGTCGACTTATAAGTCCCGGCCCCAAGTCCCAAGTAGCTAGCTGCTGGCTTTGATTCGACTTGCACTTTTCCACACGGCGTATGCGTGTTGTTGCTACCAGCATTGCTAATACTATTTGGAAAAGCAAAAGGCAAAAACCAAAAAAAAAAAAAAAAAAAAAGCAATTGCTATTGCTGTGGCCGTGTTGTTGTTGAATGTTTTCTTCCAACTTTGGCTTGTGTATTTGCTCGATACAGTGAGACCTTATAACCGAATAATACTACTAAAAATATTTTCCTAGCGTCTTTTATATTTATCTTTATATATATTTTATTATTTATAATCAATAGTAAACAAAACAGTTTATAGTGGCGCCCGAGTACCTAATGTATCGTTTACACTTAGACCTTTCGGTTAAGAATGTTTAGTTCCCTACTATACAGACTGCACTGTACCTATATTCGATTTGTATTTGGTTGTTGTTATTTCTTGTTATTGTGGCTGCTGTTGTTGTTTTGTCGGAATTGGTGCTAGTATTTTGCGCTTTTGCGCGCTTCTCGTATAGTTTGTAATTGCATTTCGAGCTCGCACGTAGTCGCACTCAGTCAGTCAGTCAGTCAGTTAGTCAGCGACCGAGTGAGTCCCGTAAAAACTGTTCAGTTGGATGCGCCATCAATTGGTAGATATAGACATATGTAGGGTTTCCTTTAATTACTTTAAATGTATACTAATTGCTCCCTTTGAAATTTACCCTTTACAGATGGTTTCATGGCAATCTTTCCGGCAAGGAAGCGGAAAAATTGATCCTGGAGCGGGGCAAGAATGGTTCGTTTCTCGTCCGTGAATCTCAGAGCAAGCCCGGCGATTTCGTTCTCTCCGTTCGAACGGATGACAAAGTAACGCATGTCATGATCCGATGGCAGGTGAGTTTCAAGCCCATAATAACTTCTGCGTAAGCCCCAAGTCCAGTAACAAAACCCCCCGTTTTTTTTTTACTATTGGAAAAGTGCATAATGCAAATGCAAATCGATGGCAGTATAGCAACAAAGTCGTCGCACTGCCCATAAAGTTCCTCATCGCCTGACCTTGGGCTCTCCGAAGTCGAGTGTCACACGTGTGTGTGTGTGTAGTTGTGCATTTGTGCTGAATGTGTCTAAAACGGCACAGTCTGCCCTCGATAGCTGAAGAAAAATTAATGAATTTGTTCCCTTAAAAAAAAGAAAAAAAAATATATAAATAGAAATTGGGATAATTCAATTTAAAGAATTTTACAAATTTCCATTTTAAGAAGACATTAAAGATTATGTTTTAAAGTTCTTTAAAAATTAGTTTTAAAATATTAACTTTTTCTACGATTATTAATCGATTATAATTCGCATTTAATTGCTTAATTTAATTATCGTAAATTATGAACTGTAATATCAAGTTCACACCAATGCCTCCACTGCTTGCAACAAGGAGCCAGCTAAGCTCTGCCCAAGCAGTGCCTTTCAAGTTTTTATCGGATTTCCCAGAAAACTTTATGTTGTGTACTTTTTTTTCTTTTTATTTGCTATATTTCCATTTATAACTTACCTTTTACTATTTACTATTAATTTTGCTATGCGCGTCTATTTGCGGCTTGCGGCTTGCGGTTGCAATTATGCCATTTACATGTCCCGCTGGCCTTTTTCCCCATTTTGTTAGCATTTGACATTGCAGTCACGTTTTCGATTTTATTAGCTAATCTCTTGACGCTTCATCGAATTCATTGCTATGCACTCGTGTCCCGCATTGTAATACTAACTCCCTAAGTCCCCATACCCCAAACTTTACTTGCTAAAAAAAGAACCCCCCATAGGGGAAATTCCCTAGAATTTTCTCGATCTTGTAAGTCCCTTAATCAGTTCTTAATATTAAATTTCCCCAAGTTACCCCTATTTTTAACCCATAACCCCCTCGATTTCCAGGATAAGAAGTACGACGTTGGAGGCGGCGAATCATTTGGAACTCTGTCGGAGCTAATTGAGCACTACAAGCGTAATCCCATGGTGGAGACGTGCGGTACAGTGGTGCATCTGCGACAGCCCTTCAATGCCACCCGGATAACGGCGGCCGGAATCAATGCTCGCGTAGAGCAGCTGGTCAAGGTGAGTATCCTCAAACACTGGTTACCACCTGGGCTGGGATGATCTATAACACATGATCGTTGCGATTGCAGGGCGGTTTCTGGGAGGAGTTCGAGTCACTGCAGCAGGACAGTCGGGACACATTCTCGCGGAATGAGGGCTACAAGACGGAGAACCGCCTGAAGAACCGATACCGCAACATTTTGCCATGTGAGTTTTAGCCTCCAATAGGATTATTCTCTTAGAGGGAAAACCCATACTAGAGTCTCAATTAAATCCCTCTCCTTCCCCCAGACGATCACACGCGCGTCAAGCTGCTGGATGTGGACCATGGCGTGGCCGGGGCTGAGTACATCAATGCCAATTACATCCGTTTGCCCACCGATGGCGACCTGTACAACATGAGCAGCTCGTCGGAGAGCCTCAACAGCTCGGTGCCATCGTGCCCGGCCTGCACGGCGGCCCAGACGCAGCGGAACTGCCCCAACTGCCAGCTGCTGAACAAGACCTGCGTCCAGTGTGCCGTGAAAAGCGCCACGCTACCGTACAGCAACTGTGCCACCTGCAGCCGCAAATCGGACTCGCTGAGCAAGCACAAACGCACCGAATCCTCGGCCTCATCCTCGCCATCCACGGGTTCCTTGGCCAATGGCCACACGGGCCCAGGGACACCCACCAGCCTCTCGGGCCTCTCCGGCATTTCCGGTGTGTCGGGTGCCACCGGTTGTCTAGCCGGTTTGCTAAAGAAGCATTCGGGTGAGACGCCCTACGGTTCCGGCGGAGCACTGTCCATGGCGGAGCGGGAGAGGGAAAGGGAGCGTGAAATGTTCAAGACATACATCGCCACCCAGGGCTGTCTGCTCACCCAGCAGGTGAACACCGTTACGGACTTTTGGAACATGGTCTGGCAAGAGAACACGCGCGTCATTGTTATGACCACCAAGGAGTACGAGCGCGGCAAGGAAAAGTGCGCCCGCTATTGGCCCGACGAGGGCAAGACAGAGCACTTTGGGCCGGCGCGCATTCAGTGCGTTTCGGAGAACTCTACCAGCGACTATACGCTGCGCGAGTTTCTTGTCTCGTGGCGGGAGCAGCCGGCGCGCCGCATCTACCACTACCACTTCCAGGTGTGGCCCGATCATGGTGTACCCGCTGATCCCGGCTGCGTGCTGAACTTCCTGCAGGATGTGAACACACGCCAGGGCAACCTGGCCCAGGCGGGCGAGAAACCGGTGAGTAAAAGGAAAACTGAAGAACCAGGAAACGGGGGAAACTAATGATGTACTTGGTGCTTTTCTTTCTCCCTCAGGGCCCCATCTGTGTGCACTGCTCGGCGGGCATTGGACGCACTGGCACCTTCATTGTGATTGACATGATTCTCGACCAGATTGTGCGCAATGGTAAGGATTAGCTTAGGATTTTCTCTGGTTCCTGGATCCCTTAAACCGTACTCTTCATTTTATTCTAACCAGGATTGGACACCGAAATCGATATCCAGCGCACCATACAGATGGTCCGGTCGCAGCGCTCTGGTCTTGTCCAGACGGAGGCCCAGTACAAGTTCGTTTACTATGCGGTGCAGCACTACATTCAGACGCTGATCGCCAGGAAGCGGGCCGAGGAGCAGAGCCTGCAGGTTGGCCGCGAGTACACCAACATCAAGTGAGTAGCTGCAGTGCAGTTTACTCCCTTCGTTTTCCTTGCTAATGGCCACCTATCTACTCCTTCTACAGGTACACCGGCGAAATTGGCAACGATTCACAAAGATCTCCATTACCACCAGCAATTTCTAGCATAAGTTTAGCATCGAGTAAGGCACCGTCTACGCCGGGCAGCCAGGACTCCGGCATTTCGATGGCCATGGGCTTTGGTATGCCCGGAACTGGAGGCAATAAGCATGCCTCCAAGCAGCAGCCGCCGTTGCCCACCAGTGCCGGCGGCTCCTGTAACAATAATAATGCCGCTGGAGGGGCAGGCAGTGGCAGCATTAATGGCACCAAGGACTATAGCAGCGGAAGCAGCAGCAACAACAGTCTCGGGAACGGCAGCAGCAGCAGCAACAGCAATGGGAGCAGCAGCAATGGCAGCAGCAGCTGCAGCGGCGGACACAGCAATGGTAACATGAATGCCCTGCAGGGCGGGATCGGTTTGGGGCTGGGCAATATGCGCAAGTCGAACTTTTACAGCGACTCGCTGAAGCAGCAGCAGCAGCGGGAACAGCAGCGCGAGGAGCAGGCAGCTGCTCCTGCTACGGGAGCAGGTAAGCAGTCGCCGCATTCGCCGTCTATGCAGCCGGCGCCGCCGATGCGCCCGCGGCCCGGTATACTCAAGTTGCTCACCAGTCCCGTCATCTTTCAGCAAAATACAAAAACATTCCCAAAGACATGATCGGCCAGCGTCAGCCGAGCCATGCAAACGCGTCCCCACAAGCAGTGGCCGCTGCGCCGCCACCGACACCGCCGCGCAAAACATGACAAATGAATTTCTAAGTCGATAAAGCAGTACAGAACACAGACACTGAGCACAGAACACAGAAATGCGAATGCTGCGAACGAAAATGCTGAGATGCTGCAAAATGCTAATTCGGCGAAATTGCAACCACTTGCACTGAAAAAAAAAACAAAAACAAAACAAAAAGCAAAACCCACACGCACACAGACAACGAATGGTTTTCATTTATGTCAACCCGAAACCCAGCTCCAAGCCCGTTACCGTTACCCGTTAACCGTTACCCGTTAACCGTTACCCGTTACCCGTTACCCGAACCCAAAACCCCAGTCCCATTTTTACTGTTGTACGTACGTCCCCCTGATTTTTTTTTTTTTTATTAATTATAATCTTTAATCTATATATTATATATATATTTTTTTGTAGTCGTTTGTAGTGCTTGTATGTTGTAGTTGTATTGAATGTATGTAAACATAGTTAACGTCGTCTCGCTTTATGTTGTAAGTGTTCCCCAAATACCCAAACCCAAAAAACCCAGGCATATTTATGTAATAGTTTTTTAAGGCATTACAATCTGAGCGGAACTGCAGCAGAGCCGCCAAAAAAAAAATGCAAAAGATAGTGTTTCTTAATAAGATTTTGTTCCCCCTTCGGATTTCGCTCGAAAAAAAGCGTTAAACTGTGTTCATTTCAACAAACGGAAGCTAAAAGCGAAAGAAAAACCCTTGATGATGGATGGCGAAGGGGAAGCGGAAAGAGTAGGTGATGATGGAAACCTTCAAAGCAGAATGAAAGCAAGCAGTAGGCACGTAACGATAGAGATACAAACAAAAGCGTTGATTGTGATTCGAGAAACAGCGAGAACAGAACAGATAAAAACGGAACGGAACAGATGAGAATGGAACGAGATGAGATCAGATCAGATTTGACAAGTAGGAAAGCTAAGAAACGCTTAAGCGTGTCGTCCCTAGGATAAGAACCAAAAAAAAAAAAAAACATAAAAACAAAAAACTAAACTAAAAATAAAACAAAACAAAAGCTGGACAAGATCTGTGCGTATGTGTATATCTCTGGAACCCAATCTCTATTTCTTCACCCCCTTCTGGTTTCTTCTTTAAGCGTAGTGATTTTATGTGTTTTTTATATCCTTACAGGGTATTACAATTTCAGTTGGAAGCTAGTAACTCGGCGAAGGAGTCATTTCCGACCCTATAAGCCATATATATTTTTGATCAGCATTAACAGGCGAATCTTTTTAGCTATGTCCGAAAAGAACATTTTTTTTTAATTTTTCTCAAAAATGTATAAGGGGTTACATCATTAAATTTTTCAAAAATTTGCAAAAATTTTTTAAACTAATAAAATCCAACACAGAACCGCTTTCCGAATTGAAATTTAAGCATTTTTGGCTTACTTATGATACATTTCAAAGTTGAACCCTGGAAGGGTATACAAACTTCGGCTTGCCGAAGTTAGCTTCCTTTCTTGTTAAATTGTAAATTATTAATAGAGCGCCTTGGCACATTGTGTTACATTTTAAATGATTTTTTTGACAAGAAATTGTGTTTAGAACTTATTGATTATTGATTCGTGTGATTGTTTGTATTTGCTAGTGTCTCGCTATCTCTTTTCCTTTCTTCTCTCCCCCTCTCTCTCTCTCTCTCTCCCTGTGTCTTCTCTTTCTGCGTATGTGCGAGTGTTTTTATTATATCATAAGATTATTATTATTATTATTATTATTATTATTATTTCTAACGCTAAAGCGGAATCAAACTCTATATGCAATATATAAGCACAGTACCTTGAAAACCGATGACAAAAATAAAGAAATAATATATAGATAAAACCCGAAAGGAGGAAAATATAAACCGTACATAATATACAGGAATGAATGCATACGTATACATATATAACTCAAGAACTCACAATCTAGAGACAGCAGCGCAGCATCAGCAACAGGCCCCAACAACTAGATTATTGCTTAAGGGAGGTAATCCATGCATATATAGTACATACATATATTTAAAATATACCCTTACTTTATCATATTTTACCTTATGCTTTTTGTAAGTGCTTTAAATTGTTATTATTCATCTTGATCTTGCAACGAAACAAGAAAAAAAATGCAAAACAAAAGAAAACTAAAAAAACGAATACAAAAATACAAACAAAAAAAACTAAAGAGAAAACAACAACAACACAAATTATATTTGTATTTATACACATAAAAAATAAAATATTTTATATGCGATACAACAAGCACTTGATTTTATTTTCATTTCCGTTTGAATTTCAGTTTCCGCTTTTCCATTTTCAGTTGTTGTTGCCGCTGCATGTTTGTTCTTAGCCTTCTTAGCCTTTCCTTTGCCTTCTGAGTGTTGTGAGTGTTTCAAATCCCAATCCAAGTTCCCCCCCAAACCCGAACCGAATCCCCACTAGCACCTAGCACAAGCCCCAGAACCCATACAAGCCTTAAGACCCGACCAAAAGTAACCGTCGCCAAAGGAGAATCATTGACCGGAAGGAGCGCACACAGGGAGAGGGCGGAGCAGGATCCCCCTTTACCAGCTAGAACAATAAGTACTCATTGTGTTCACCCCACCCACGCCGACTAACGATCAACCGATCAACTGACCCCTGACCATCAGCATCTCCAGAGCGTTTCTAGAGGCAGTGACCAGAGATGCACAGAACGAGAGCAAGGATAGGAGAAGATACGAGAAGGAGAAGGAGGAGGAGGAGAAGGTGAAGGTGTATGTAAGTGCGTGATCTAGTACTTTATATAGTTAGCCTATGATATGATAATTCAAATGGAGCATGTCGAAGCCTGGCTTCGACTGGGCGGCGACCTAGTGGCCCCCAAAAGCGAAGGTGAACCTGTGTGAGTCCCGCTGCGGATTCAAATTGTTTTTGATCATTGAGCATGGGGACCCCAACATTGTGGACGCGGGGTCCCAACGATAAAATCGTGTTGAATTTTTCTATAGCTATAGATAGAGAGGGAGGTGGATAATCGAATACCCAATACGGATACGGATACGCACAAGGAGGACCTGGTGGAGGAGCAGGAGCAGGAGCAGAAACAGCAACAGCCAAAGCACAAAAGGCAGAGTCAACACATAGGCCTCATCTCAAGCGCAACAACAAGCAAAAAACACCAACAACAACAAAATCATACAAATAAAATACGAAATAAGAACATAAACTTAAACATAAAAAACAAAAACAACGATGTTAAGATCATAAGAGTGAACCGAAATCAAAATATAGATGTGGAGCAAACACCAACACAGCCCAAGAGCAAGGAAACGCTTTAACTTAATTAATATATACACAATATTAATATATTATATAGGCGATAAACCGTAAAGATCTCGTATGCAAGCCAGACACCAATTATCCATAGTAATAACCACAAGACACCAAGAGGAAATCGCTCAAGTGACTTACTTTACTTTAAATATTCGCGGACCTCAGACCTCAGACCTCAGACCTCCCTTCCCATCTCCCTCTCCCCCTTCATAGACCATCCTAGTACGTCTATAAGCTAACCGCAAGATACACAGATGCAACCTCACCCCGTGTTCGTAATCCCATTAAAAGTGGTTCGATTTTTTAGGGAGAAACCTCGGTGCGGTTTTAATATTGCGCAAAAAAAAAAAATAAAGAAGAAAAAATTATAGAATAATAATAAGAGAATGTTTACTTTGTTCAAATGTTGCCAATTGCATAATACCAGTGTTATAGTCCATATATATGGGACTATGAATATATATATAAATATATTTAGTGAAGACAAAGCGCAATTTCCCCCATTGAATCCAAGAAAAACATTTTAAAATTGAAAATCTATCTATATACACAGGAGGGCAGAAGAAGAAGCAAGAAGTAGTTCTCCTTTCCTACCAGAAACAAATTAACAAAAATTAATCGGCCAACGAGCACTAGATATATATGTGTAGAATACCCAACGAATATTGTTGAAAGATACCGATTCGAGATGGAAGCCAACAGAAGATTGCAGAGATGGCAGATACTTATAGGTTATAACTCCCAGAGAACAAAATGGTAAACAAGCCCACGACGACGAAACGCGACGAAACGTTTTTTCTAGCTTTAGATCATAAGAATCAAATCCAAAACGAAGAAGATAAAAAAAGACGAGACGATCGTGTGAGAATCAGACAAAGGTCAGACAAACACCAAATAAATTATAGATGAAACCTCGTTGTAAATGTTAAAGCAAATCTATATGTACTATGTAAATCCAAGCAAAAACAGAAAACAGAACGATCAGAACGACTTTGGAAAATTCAAATGAAAACCGAAAAGCCGAAAAACCGAAAACCTTAAGAGGCATAGCTGTTCAAAACATAATACGGATAATAATAATTGAGATATATTCTACATTTTTGTGTCTGCATATTTGAAAGAAAAAGAAATATATATTATTGAATAAACCATATTACAAATAACCTTTCGAAAATGTTACTGTTCTTACTTTTAGCTTCTCGCAATAGTTTATAACAGTTTGCTTTATTTTCTTTTCTCAATCCGTCACCGTAATCCCTGTTCTGTTCATACTTTTAGCTTCTCGCAATAGTTTATACAGTTTGTTTTTTTCTCTTAATCCCTCGCCGTAATCCCTTGAAAGCCCCAATAAAACACAATTAAAATTTCATTTTCACATCTATGAAACACTATGCAGTGAGTTTTCTTTATATTTCATTTAGCAATAGCAATAAAAGTTAAAAAAAAAAAAAAGTATACACACGGAACTTTAAAAAAAACTGAAATATATATCTTATAATAATGTGGCAGACGCGCGCGCGTGCCATGTAAATATTCGTAGTTCCTTCCGCAAACGGCGGCCTTCTCCGCTTAAAGTAGTTTATAAATTAGCTGCTTAGCTCTATAGAATCAGTTTCACTTAGAGATTAAATTAAGTTTCTAGTTTTTTTTACAGTTCAGTTTCGCTTAGGATTTACTTCAGGCTCAGGGCGTAATGATAATTATTCAAGTATTCATCTTTCCAGCTTAAAACGAAGAGTGCAATTCCACTGCTACATATAATTACATTCTATTCCATATTTTTATACCCTAGTAGGGTATTATAATTTAAGTCAGAAGCTGATGGAGTCATTTTTGACCCTATAAATCATATATATCCTTTGCTTGTAAGAAAAACAAATGTAGTACATTTTTTCAAAATTTGAATTGGTTAAAAATTGTCAAAGATTCAACATAATTTTAATTTTCTAAATTTTTAAACTCAATATGCTGATTTGTTAACATAATAAAAACTAGGATAGACAAGTTTGCCAAATTGAAATTAGCTACTGCATTTGTGTACTTTAATTTTCTTTAAAAAAAATGGTATATAAATAACAATTTAAGTCCCTATAATGCACATATATTAGGTGTTCTTGCCAGTTTGCAATTAGATCATTACAATTCGATCCATTTTAGTCAAGTGACAAGAAAAACTAACAGGTAATTTGTTTTTGATTAATTTTTCAAAAACATAAACGACGATCCTGAATATCATGAATAGGATATGATCGGAACTGAAAATGATGCGCTGAAAGCTTCTGTTCTAAATTATAATACCCTACAAAGGTATAAAAAAAAAAAGTCATAATATGTAGCAATTGAATGGGGCTATAAATCCAGTGATATCTCAATTTGTTGGGTTTGTTTAAAGCCCAAACAACGTTTTAATTGGAAGTTGGTGTGTCTGTACAAGGATGATGACACAGGTCGACAAAACCGAAACTTTTTTAATCGGAGACTAAACGCGATTAATTCTGAAAGACATATGGTGGAAACAGTGCTATACTCCTTGTTTTGGCACTTTTCCAAGCTTGATAAAACTTGCGGATTGCGTCAATAAATTTTTGAAAATTATTACAAATATTTTTCGATTTCGAATTAACAATAAACCAAGATCTTTTAGGATAATTCGCTTTTAGTCTTAGTATTTTCTCTTGTCGACCTGGGTGATTGATGATAGATGATTGATGACCGGGAGAACAGTCTATGCTTTATCTTACATGCGGCGGCTTTCGCTTTAGCTACGAGAAGACCAACGATTCCGATTAACCTTAGTTTACCTTCAAAAAATGCCCTAAAATTGCTTTTATTCGCTTCGGTCCGCCCCAGGGGAATCAGATTCTCCTTGGACGACGGCGGCGGACCCGGTTAGACCCGGTCCAGAGCTATTGCTCCTCCTCCAGCTTAAGGTCGTGGCAGAGGCGCGTCGTCAAGTCGAAGCACAGGTGGCTGCCGCCACTGCTGTCCTCGGACTCCGGCGGAGTGCTGGCGGGAACGGATGCGGCCGGCACCGCCCCCACCGGCGAATAAGGTGGTGGAGTTATTGAATACGAGGGCGAGAGCATCATCTCGTCTGGGTCATCACGCCGACACTATTGTGCTCCCGCCGCTATTGTCGACGCTGCCGTGGCCTCCTTGCCATCGGCAGGGGGCGACACCTCCTTCATGGACTCCACCTTGGCCACGATCTTGAGTGCAGGCCCCAGTTTCATGCCCATGGCATGCACCAGATGATTCTCCTTAAGCAGCAAAAGCGCTTGGCCGTCGATCTCCTGTTGAATGAAGTCGTCCACATAGTCCTGACAGCCCGGCAGTTCCCGGATAAAGTTGCTGACCTCTTCCACACTCCAGCTGCTGATGGGCGGGCGATCAGTTCCGTTTGAACTGCAAGTGGTGGGTGCAGGCGCCGCGGCAGGAATCACTGCTGGCAGTGGACCTGGAGCCGGTATAGCTACTGGCAACGGCAATCCCAGCGGCAGCGGCGGCAGAGGGAGTGCCAGTGGCGCAGGCGTCGGAATGGCGGGGGCCAGCACAGGCAGGGACAGCGGCAGAACTTCCGTTGGAGCCGCCAGAAAGGGCAGGGGCTCGGACATGGCCTGCAAAGCCTCTGTCTGCATCTTCTCCTCGGCCATGGCCTCGTCTAGCTTGTCGACCAACGCCATGGCGTCCACCCCAACGATTCCGCCGGTTCCCAGGCCGTTCGTCTCCCCGGTCTCCATTCCGCCGCCTCCAATGCCGTTCTTCGCCTGCCTGGCGCATCCCGGCGAGCAGAAACGCTTCCGCTTGAGCTTCGTCTTGTGCTCCAACTTGCCGCACTGCTCGCAGGCCACCATATCGGAGGCTGGAGCGGACGCTGTTCCACTGGGCTTCATGTCCTCCTGCATGGCCGCCTTTTTCTCTGCAGGATGAAGATGGGAAACACGGAGATTAACACAATTGCAAAGCATAGTGTGTGATGGAGATACTCACTGGGCGGTTCATCGGCGACATCCTTGTCCGCATAGCGCTGTCTGGTGACCGGAAAGGGTTCGTTGGCCTCCTGGATGATGAAGCCATCGATGACGTGGGTCAGCACGTTTGGCTTGATCATCGCCTTGGGCAGATCCTTCGCCCCATTGCTGCAGATCGTCGTGGTGGTTGTACTGGTCGCACTGCTGCAGGTCGTGGTGGTGCTCACAGTGGTGGTGGTGGTCACAGTGGTGCTACCTGTGGTGCACGCCGTGCTCCTGCCCGTTCCGATCCCATTACTGACCGTCTTCGTCGTGGTGGGCGTTGTGGCTGCGCTAGAGCTGGTGGAGGTGGCCACTTTCGTCTCCTCCTTACCACTGGGTGTGCTGGGTGTGGCGGCGCTGCTGCTCGTGGGCTGGACCACGTTGCTTTGCTTGCTGGTGGGCGTGGTGGCAGCCCGCGTCGGCGTGGACGCCGCCTCAGTGACTTCTCCGTTGGGCAGGGCCTCGCCGGTGGAACTGCTGGCCTCCACGGACGCACTCGCATTGGCTGGAGTCGAGGATTTTGGCGTGGCGCTTCTGTCCTGAGCTGAGACAGATGCGGGCGTCATGGGCGAGCCAATGGGCACCAGGGTGGCCGTCTTCGAAGGCGTCTCCTTGGTGGGTGTGCTGGCACTGCTTAGTGTAACCAATTGACCCGGCGATGGAGTGACTGCGGTGCTGGTCACAGAGACTGTTACCGGTGGAGCGCTTGACAGGTGACCCACCGTGGCATTCATCATGGAGGTCATGGCCAGGATGGGGTTGGTGGTTGGCGAGGGCGTCGTGGCCGTCAGGGAGGGTGGTCCCTGCTGTTGTTGCTGCTGCTGCTGCTGCTGCTGCTGAGAAGCTACTGCCATGGCGGTGGTGATCAACTGCTGCTGCTGCTGTTGGAGCTGGGCTTGAGCCTGCGCTTGCTGGAGGCTGGCCACCGTGCTGCTGGTGACCAGAGGAGTCGAGCTCTGATTGGTAATGGTAACCACACTGCTGGTGGGCAGAGACGAGCTGCAAGTGCCGGGCTTTGCTGTCTGGAAGATGGCCCCTGAGGCGGACAGAGCCGCCTGCAGGGCACTGGAGGTGGCTATTCCGGCTGGCGTCGTGGTCGAAGACACCGTGAAGGGCACGTTATTCAGTTGCAGTTGCCCGGTGTTCTGCTGTTGCTGCTGTGATGTCGCTCCGCCCGACACCACAATCTGCTGGATGATGTTCTGCTGTTGTTCTCGCTGCTGCTGCTGCTGCTGCTGCTGCTGCTGTGCCTGGGCCTGGGCTTGGACATGCGCCTGCACTTGAGCTTGCGCTTGCACCTGTTGTTGCAGTTGCTGCTGTATCAATTGGTTGTGCAGTTGCTGCTGCTGTTGCTGGTGGGAGGTAATGAAGGTGTTTGGAGCAACTTGGAGGATCTGCTGGGTGGCGTTGGCAAGCGCCTGTTGCTGCTGTGCCTGAGCCTGGGCCACTTGCTGCTGTTGTTCCCTCTGTTGCTGCTGGGCCTGCGCCACAGCCTGCTGTTGCTGGGCGGTCACTTGCTGCTGCTGTTGAGTGACTTGTTGCTGCTGCTGCTGCTGGGCCTGAGCTGCCGCCTGCTGCTGCATCTGGAGGGCAGCTATCTGCTGCTGGAACATTTGCTGCTGCAGATACTGCTGTTTCTGAATCAACTGCAACTGCTGCTGCTGCTGCTGTTTGTCCACACCCGCCACTCCCGCAGTGGCTGCGTGCAGGGTCTGCCCGTTCTGGAGTGTAATGGGAGTGCCCGTCGTGCTCATCACAACCATTCTATAATACCCAAGAGGTAATAAGTTAGCTTGACGATATCTGGGCAGAGGTGCCTTAGATTACTCACTTGTTGCCCGCCGAGTTGACCACTTGCTGGAGATTCGCCGTCGCCTGCTGTTGCTGCTGCACGGTGGCCATGTGACCCACCACCTTGTTCTGACCCGCCAACTGGCCGTTCTCCGTCTTCAGGGCGGACAAGGCAGGTCGCACCGGCTGCTGCTTGGTGCGCATCTTGCCCTTCAGCAAGCTCTGGTTCTGGGCTGTCTGCGTGGACACCGAGCTGGCCGGACGCACCTGGGTGCCATTGTGGGGCATGATCGGGGCACCAGGTCTCTGCAGCGCCGCTGCCGTAAGTTGCTGCTGCTGCAACTGCGCAGTGGCCACCGCCAACTGTTGCTGCTGTTGCTGCTGCTGTGTCTGGTTGGCAGTTCCCGCCTGCTGCTGTTGCTGCTTGGGAGCGAGTGCGTCCAGTTGGGTGCGCGCCTTGGGGGGCGTCTGGGTGACATTGCACTGGATGATCTCTGTGAGAGCACAGAAATTAGGACCGAATGGAGTTTATTACTGGGAGGGGGCACTTACGGTTCTGCTGCGTCTGCAGAGTCTGCGTGGTCGGTTGCTGGATAAACATGCCCGAGGTTCCGTCCGGCTGGCCCCGCAGGATGATCGGGTTCGAGCCAAAGGACTGCAGTCCAGCCGCATTCTGCCAAAACCAGGGGATCTGCATCTGCTGAGCCTGGCCGGCGTTCAGAAGCTGCGCGGCCTGGACTGACTGAACGGACTGGCCGGCCTGGGCCACTCCCACGCCCACGGGTAACGTCGACTGCGAGACTTGAACGCATTGCTGGGTGGTTTGCGTAGTCTGCTGCTGCTGCTGCTGGACCTGTTGCACCTGCTGGGCCTGGGCTGCCGTGGCTGCTGCTCCGCCCGCTGTCGCCGCTTGCACCGTGCTACTGGTGGTGGTCACCTTCTGGACCACCTTCTGGGCCATCTTGCCCTGCGCATCTACGCCCACCTTCGCAAGGGCCGCCGTGAGCTGCTGCTGCTGCTGTTGTTGCTGTTGAGAAATCTGCTGCTGTTGTTGCTGCTGCTGTGTCAACTGTTGCTGCTGCTGCTGTTGCTGGGCGGCAGCAGCCATCGACTGAAGCAGGTTCTGCTGCTGCTGCGGCGAGTGCGAGATCACATTCACCGGCGAGATGAGCAGCGTCTGTGGCGACTGACTGTGGTTGGAGGGGATGCAAGAGGCGTAGGTGCCGCCGGCAAACTGCGTCTGTCCCCCAATCATCTGCTTGGCATTCTGCGTGGTGGTGGTGATCATCTGGGGCGTGTTACCCTGGAAGGGCTTGCCGGCAGTGATCACCTGGATGGGCTGCTGACCAAGACCGCCAGGATGCAGCAGATTACCGGACACAATCATCTGCGGATACAGGAAGCTGGTGGAGGGCTGCATCAGCTGCACGGTCCTGCCCTGCGCCCAATCACCGCCCACTCCTCCGGTAGCCGCCGCTAGCTGCATCGGGGACATCGTGCTGATGGCTGTCGAGTGCTGCTGCTGTTGCGTCTGCTGGGAGTTGGCTGGACTTGGTGCTCCTCCCGCTACTCCTGTGCCTCCAGCAGCTCCTCCGGCTCCATTGGCATCCGAGAGCTGCTGCTGCAGCTGCATCTGCTGCTGAACATCTAAAATGTTGGTCGCATGCTTTAGCTCCGTGCCCGCACCCGTTGTATGGGTTGGAAACTCTTGCTTAACCTGGATGGCATAAGGATTGCTCGCGTAGAGCTGCTGCAGCTGCTCCGGAGAGATCTGCAGAGGCACCGTGGTGGCGGCTGCCACCTGTTGGGCAGGACTCTGTGACTTCTCCAGCGTGCGGCCGCGTCTCGTCGAGATGGGAGTCCTTGGTGAATTACCTACAAGCGGCAGAAGTGGATGGCGTCGCTGTTTAATGGGCGACGTTCCGGCTGCGTCACGTGTTTGGCTGCTGGGCGTTTGACTCGGCGACGTACTAGCCAAATCCTCGTCGAAACAGATGCCTGTTTTCTGGGCAAGCGTCTCCAAGCTCTTCAGAGATTTTTGGCCGTCCTCCCGCAAGTTTGAGGTGTCTTTTAGTGGTATGTTAGTGCCTCCCGGAGATGCAGATGTGAATGCCGGTGATAATATGCTTGATGATGTAGGTGTTGTGGTCTTGTTGGCCGACGCTTCACTTTCCGTGCCCGCTCTGAAGGAAGGGAAAGGAGAAAAAGCGGCAGACGATCAGTAAACATTGTGGCGAGACACAAACAAGAAATGCAGACAGACTTGGGACTCTTTCGATTGCGTGGGGCATACTTCATGTTCTTTATTATTTTTTGTCTAAAACTGCAGCTGCAACTAAAAATAACACAAAGCCATGCAAACAGGTTGGCAGCTCTCCCAGCTGAGATCAAAGCGGGAGCGTGGGATTCGGACGGAGAGAGAGCAGGAGCGGTTAAGAGATTAGCAATGCACTCTACACTCCCAAAGGCGAACGAGATACGAAGGTGAAAAAGAGACGAGCAATCATTGAGAAAGACAAAGACGGGATCGCATACTGCAATCGTTGTCCAAAGGCGGCAAAGAAACGGAAAACGAAAACAAAGTCGAGACGAAAAAGTGAGATGGAACGAAAAGCACTTCATTCCGGGATCATTCACACAGCCTAAATCATTTACAGTGGATACAGTTTGAGATGAGCTTAAAACATATGTATGTATACTTTTGATCAATTATTTAACCACAGTTCCTTGTACTGTTTGTTCATTCCATAAGACCCAAATAAATCAAAGTTTCGTTCGAACTAACCCACATATCTCCTAAATTAACAATGGGCTGTGACCTAGTAAGATTGCACTGTTTTGCATATGTGTGCAATGCAATTGTTTCATATATATATTTGTTGCATTGAAAGGAGGTCGTTTGTCAGAGTTGCCTGTTTTCCCCAACTTCTATTTTTAGTTGTTGCTGCCGCACACAGCCTGCTATCTATCCTGCTCTCTGCCCATCGGTCTGTCCTTGTCCTTCGAACAGGATGGGGAGATGCAGAAGCAGCCGGAGCCGCAGTTGGAGTGGGAGTAAACGAGACGACCTTTATTTATGGATTGCCTCTTGCCGCTGGCCAAAAAAGTTGCGAGTAACTGTGATAAGGGCCGTGGAAATGGAGAGTGGATGTGGAGAATGGTCCGAGTCTCCATGGGAAAAGGTTCAAAGACCTTCCTCAGAGGCGAAAATAATGCCAGTTGCCACTAAATGTCCAAGAGTAACAAATGGTTACGGTTTTGGTTACGCTTTCCCCTCCTCTAATCCTGGCAGGGTTTGGGTTACTTTTTTTTCCCTTCGGTTGGGCAAATTCTATCAGGGGTGGCATTCGGCGGGGGCGGTTTAACGACGGGGTTGATTTCCCAGCCCCCGGGTGTGGGTGCTGCTAGTGGATTGGATTGTGCGCTACTCGAAATGGGATGCGGATCCGGTACGGGAATGGAAAAGATGTAAAGAAAATCGGAATCAATCAACATGCAGCATATTTAGCTTGCAACGTAAAGACGGGATTCTTTCCACTGTGCGAGTGATTTTTTATTTTTGTGTCTTCTTGTTTCCCTCTTTTTACATTCCATTTATGCGAGTAATGTTTTTATGTGTTGGTCTGTGTGGTGGTGTGCGTGTGTGTGTGTGGCGGCAGACTGCTTACAACAGTGCCAAAGCCATCATCAATTTGATTTTCCCTTCAGCCGAAATTGAGTTGCAAGAAGCATGAGAAACGGAGACCGAATAAGCGGTAGAGTCGGAGGGAAAAACGAATTAGGGAGAGGCAGAGACGTCGAGGGGAATGACAACAATGCGAGGCAAAAACAAGCGGCAGCGAGCATGCGCCGATGTCACAGCGGCGGCAGCAGTTGCGGCGTCTCGAAAATATGTTTTCTTCTCCACTCAGTTTTCCCCCGTTTTTTTTTTTTTATGTTTCATCTAACTAATGTGTACATTTAATAAGTGAGGCCATGAGGCACCTGTGCACGCGATCTTACATAAAACAACGTCCAAACGCAGCGACAACGACAACTCTAGACGCCGCACAGCATAATTTGTTTTCTTTTCCTCTTGGTTCTTCTTTCTTCTCCGCTTTGTTTTTATTCCAGGCCACACACTTCAGTCGATACACTTTCCTGCGAGCTGCTTACGTCGGCAGCGTCGTCAAGATTTCGGTTTCTTTGGCTGTTCCCCTCATTTTCATTGAGTGTTGCGGAATCGCATTCACTAAACACTGGTCGCCACCGCAGCGATATGCAGTTATGGCATTAAAAAAAAATAAAATAAATACAATGTTAAACTGCCCGCCAGAGCGAGGGTGTGTGTGCGTCGCGTCGACTTTTTGCCGTTCGTTCACATACACGCACACGAACTCAGAGCTCAAGAACCGCACGCCGCCAAGTTGAATTTCAGACTGAACCGCGCGACACGGCGACAACTCTACGCCGAGCCGACGAAACAAAATGAAGTGCGCATGTGTTGGTGTTGGTGCTGCTTTTGCGGGACAGCTGGCATGGGAAAAGGCAACAGCACGAACCAGTTTCTCCCGCACCCGGGCGCAGGCGATAACTTTTCTCTATACTGAAATGTACGGGTGCGAGTGCGACGGTACTAGGGGCAGGCCTCGGCGGGGCCGAAGTGCGAGCGAGATGCCCTCGTCGCGCTTGGGGTTGGAAAGAAACGGCAGCAGTATAGCAAGCAAAAAAACAAAAAACGAGAGTCGAGGCTACAGCTGGCGGGCATGTGTATTGTCCATGCATGCGTATGTGTGCCTGTGTTTCAACCACCCCGACTGATCGGCCCCCCCCCTTTCCCCTTGAACGAACGACCGAATCCAGTTTTCTGTCTGTACACTCGAATGTCTACCGCCCGATTGTTGCTATACTTCATCTTCTTTTTTCATTCCACCACCACAGCCAGCAATCTACCTGGACGTCGCCCTCCTCCTTCCACTTCCATTTTCATTCCTATTCCTCTCGCACCCTCCTGTTGTACTGTTCATATCGGATCAGCCTTACTTTATTATTAGTTTTGGTTGTCGGAAACAGACGGTGGAAGGAAAGAAGAAGTAAAAGGCAGGGGGCAGCGTATGCGCAGAGGCAGAGCAAAATGCTTTTTTTCACTCACTCACTCTGCTGAACACTGAACAGTGGCGTGCGATCCATTATTCTTGTATTGCATTTTCGCTTTGCTTTTGGGTCGTCGATGCAGTTTTTTTTTTGGTGGAGTACAGTGGCGCAACTATGATAAATTGTATAGCTAGGAAAATTGCGCATTATAAATGTAAAATATATAATATTGTCTAGAAATATTATAATTTTAACTAAATACTGTGCTTACGTTTAAGAACAAGTTTTTGGGAAATTATGATGGGTAAAAATTAGTTTTAGTATTATATATTGGTTATATAACAATTTGTAGTATTGGCATATATTTCATAAAGCTATAATGTACCTACAATTCATATCGAAAATAAATTCTGTTCGTCCCACTGTGCCTTTCTTTGGCATTTCATTTTGTGGCTGCCTCTGCGGAGTGCCCTGTGTGCATGAGTGTGCGTTAGTATGGGTGCCTTGCTGTGGGCTCTTGACGGCCTTCTTCTTTTCCGCCGCCCCATCCAGCAACAACGTTGCGGCGCTATATGCGCGTTCATCATTCCAATTGTTGTTGTCGATTGGCTTTGACTGATGAAACCGTGGGTTTCATTTCGCGTCGTCTCATTTCTTTTTTTTGTTCGCTTCCCCCGACGCCATATTATTTTTATGCTCGTAAAGTGCTTTTGCCGTCGCTCTCTCGCTCCGCATTGCTTTGTTTCTTGTTTTTTTTTTTTTCCTTTGGGCATGTGTGTGTGTGTGTGGATCGTAGTATTCTTGCCTTTAGCTTTGGCTTTCCTTGAGTTTTTATTTTAACCTTTTTTCTTATTAGTTGCATGCCTTCTTGGCCTTTTTGCTTTGGCTCTTCCTTTTTTATTCGTTCTGGCACGCTCAACTGTACTATAAGTCGAGCATGCGCTCTTCTTCTTGGCGACGATTCAACTAATTGCCTCCAAGTTGTTGTTGGGGCCCGGACGTTGTTATTGGGGCGAGCGAAGAGTAGACGAGCCAGTCATATGGCTGTGTGTTTGTGTATTTGCATTTCGTAAAAATGACAAATGTTTAATGAGCGTAAATTGCTGTGCGCGTACTTTATTCACATGTTGCCTCTCGTTCTAGCGCATTTACATGACACACACAGACGAATACAAAACATACAAACTTGTGTACCTGTTTTGTTGTTGCTGTTGGGCAATTGCTAGAATTTGTAACACCATTTTAAAAAAAGAAAAAACCTAACGGAGTTATCAGCCTCGACATACAGTCAAAGAGTCATGCAGTCACACAGTCGCGATGTGTGTGTGTTTGTGTGTATGTTGAGTGAAGAATGATAATCAAAAGTGGTTTGCTTCGTTGCGGTCGCTGTTGACAGCGCCGCAGGCAGCGGCCCAGGCTTGATTTTCGTAAGGCCACGCCTTATTAACAGTGGAAATGGATCTGATATCCAGCATCACCATTTCCTTAACCACCGAGATTGCGACAGGGCGAACAATAAGAACTTAATTCACACAGCATTTAAAGGAAGAAGTCATGCATCCTTAAAAAAAACAAGGAAAATACCTTTATTTTTTATATTATTATTATTTTTTTAATTTATATATTTTTTTTATTTTAATTTTACTTTATTTTATTTTTTTTTTTTTTCACAAGAATTTTGCAACGCTTAACTTAAAATTTGATTAATACCTCTTACTGGTATTAGTTTTCTAGTTTAAATATTATTTGCGAATAATAGGAATATCTAAAATCAGGGTCGGACACCGAAATTCAAACTAGAAGCCCGGCAAAAAGAAAACATTAGTAAACTACCCCTAAAATCATAAGCCAGGCAGGATATATGGGCAAGGCGAAACGAATACCTTTGCAAATGTTTGTGTTTTGTTTTTGTAATTTGTACGCTTGGTTTTTTTAATTCTGAACAAATCGCTTTCCAAGGTTTTGCTTTTGTAAACAAAATTTTTAATTTGCACCACACTTAAGGATTAGTAATAAAATCAAAAGTAGTTTTGTTTTGCCTGAAGTCATATTTTTCCTTTTGCGTAGAGTACACAGGAATCCTTCAGCCTGTAAAAGACTTTGGTTGGGTCATCGGAAGGGATGAAACTGTCTTGTGGTTCCTTTGGCCAGGCCACATCGACTTCCGAATGCTGCACAAATGTATCTTTATAGATTTTGGGCACAAAAGATAATAAAATTTCACTGATTGTTACTACGATGACAATATATACTGTAATAATAACTGAAAAACCGTAACTTAAATATTATATAGTTTTATCTTAGGGTATATTTGAATTTATAAGTCATGTAAAATTCATACATTTATATTATATTAACAGATATTGATTTGTATTTATAAGATAGGAATCTATCTTCTTGCTGAACTCCAAGTTGCTTGAAATTTCCAACTTGACCCAATAAAAGTTATAAAAGTTAGTGCGTTTTATAAAAAAGAGGTGTCTTTTTAGAATTTTACCAGATTTAATAAATGCTTCTACGACAGCTATATGATAAAGTCTTAAGATTTAGATAAACAATTTTAAAGTCTAAGAAAAACCCATATTCCAAACTTTGGGATCAGAAGTAATATGGGTATATTTGAGTAAAATTAAACATATATCTGGATTGTTTTTATATATTCTATACTTTTTCTATGATCCGCCAAAGAACTATTGTCTAGATTTAATTTGGTAAAAAAAAAGTAAGAAACAATGTACCAATTATAAAAAGTGTCATTTAATAAGGTAAAATTTGTATATAATTTATATCAACTGAATTATTTTTACATATTTTCAGTTGATTTTAGGTCCTGTTAATCCTTGCAAGCAACCTGGCTTGCCACCAGAAAGTATGCAATATACATTTTTGGGTAGCGTTCTTCTATTTTAGTTTTTTTTATACTTGTGTCCCTTTTTTGCAGTCAACGGAAATTCAACCCAGCTAAACGAACTGTACTTCACAAAAAGGGTAGGGCAAATCAAACAGGGAAGCGGAAAAGGGTTGACCTCTGACACTTGCCCTTCCGGCCGACCTCAGCGACCTCCGTGCACCCTTATCCACCATTTTAGGCGCCCCAGTAAGAGCGATTTCCAAGCAAACAAAATACAATTACCCTCAAAAGCAGGACTATTCTGGAAGGGAAGGAATACAAATTCAACCCCTAAGCTCATTATTGTTAGGGGGATGGTCAGGAGAATGGGTAGGAGTAGGTGAAAGGTGAAAGCTGACGAGGGAATAGCATTTGAAAATGCGATGAGGGCTGGGAGTTGTTTTGCTGCTCGATCATGTTGGGATTCAGTAGCTAGCATTGTTTTTGTACTTTTTAGATACGCTCACGTTCTGTATTTATTTCTATAAGCCAAAAGCATTTTTATTGTAACCTTCAGAAAAGGATAGAAAATTACAAGTGATATACAAATATCGCTCTTCACAAACATGATAAGTTTTAATACAGCGACTCGGCTAGCTCAACTCGGCTCTTAATGCTAATCAGTAAAATAATTATATATTACATACTTAATTCTAATGATAATCTACAATTTTTTAAATTTGAAAATTGAGTACAACTTTTTAGTTCAAAATATTCTACGACCTTAATATATATTAATTAAAAATTTTATTAAAATATATGTACGTTTTTAAAATCACTTCATATTTGAAAATGGTATTTCTTGAAATAAGTGTAAGGTTACCCTTGCCGCACTGGAATAATAGTAAAATAAATTATAAATAATATTAATAATAATATGTATTTTTTTTTTATTTTCTTAATCAGCATCAGCAACAGCCGAGTCGATGAAATATAGGTTTATACGCAAGTTAATGGTCTTTTTGCATTTTAAGTTGTATATATACATATATATTAAGTAATGTAATATCACACATCTGTCATGAACATTTAAAAAATATTGTTGTTTTTCATATATTTTACTATTTTTGTTTATCAAAATTTTACACATTATAAAGGGTTTATTTTATTAAACCGTCGATATAAGAAAACAAATAAAAAATGCTGTCATTATTTAACATTTAAGAAATGGTTGATATATACATATATGTATATTAAAATAATAATAATAAAAAAATATATAATAATTCATTAAAATTGTTTTCAATTTTCATATGTAAACCACGTTGATAAAAATAATATTATATCTTGGCAAAGTATACAAAATTATAAGTTTCTGGTTTTTAAGCGTTTATTTTTTCACCGAGATGTAGCTAGTAGCTACTTTTTTACTGATTGTAGCTATGTAATATTTTGAAAAATTAATACGATATATGTATATATAACTCACATTTAAAGATAAAACTATTTTATACTGTTTAACAAGAAAGAAAGCTAACTTTGGCCAGCCAAAGTTTGTATACCCTTGCAGGTTAAAATTAAAATATATCATAAATAAGCCAAAAATGCATTAAATTCGTTTCGGAAAGCGGTTTTGTGTTAGTTTATATAAGCCTAAAAAAATTGCATACCAAATTTAAAATTTTAAGAAATCACAATTTTTGGCAATTTTTGCTAATTTTAATTTTATCAAATTTCGCAAAAATGGCCAAAAAATCGATTTCTTCCGGACATATCTAGAAAGATTCCCCTGTTAATGCTGATCAAGAATATATATGGTTTATGGGGTCGGAAATGATTCCTTGACTTAGAAAAATATTATTTCGTATTATAAAATCGGATTTTTTATATTAAAAACCTTCTTAATTTTTTTTAATTAAAAACATCATAACTCGGCCAAAAGAGCATTAATTTTAAATCGGAAAACTGTTCTGCGCAAGATTTTCTACAGTTATTAAATCTGCATACTTCATTTAAAAATTTTGAAAATTCAATTTTTTATCAAAATCAAAAATTTTAATGATGTAACTAACCCCTTATAAAATTTTGCAAAAATGGCCAAAAAATCGATTTCTTCCTGACATATATAGAAAGATTCCCCTGTTGATGCTGATCAAGAATCTATATTGTTTATGGGGTCGAAAATGATTCCTTCACTTAGAAAAATATTATTTTGTATTATAAAATCTGATTTTTTATATTAAAAAACTTCTTGATTATTTTAAAATTAACAAGAAAGGAAGCTAACTTCGGTATGCCGTTGCAGATTGGTTTTGATGTTTATATTATAGATTATAATACTGACAACACTCAAAAAAACAGAGTTTCATTACATTTAACCCATACTTATTATGTTTACAGTTTGACAGTTTTACATTCCCAGCTTTACATATTTTATACATTTACCGATCGCTTCTATGGCAGCTATATGATATAGTTGTCCGATTTTCATAAAATTTTTACCAAAATTCTGAATTAATATAAAATGGCCATATCTGAAAAATGGTGCAAAAATGTTGATAAACAGCCAAGTTAAAATTTTGTTTCTAAAAATTTATCGATCATTTGTATAGGAGCTATATGATATAGTCGTCCGATCCGGCCCGTTCCGACATATATAGCAGTGAGAATATATAGAAGACTATATGCAAAGTTTCATTCAGATAGCTTTAAAACTGAGGGACTAGTTGGCGTAGAAACGGACAGACGGACAGACGGACAGACGGACATGGCTAGATCGACTCGGCTGTTGATGCTGATCAAGAATATATATACTTTATAGGGTCGGAAACGTCTCCTTCACTGTGTTGCAAACTTCTGACTGAAATTATAATACCCTGCAAGGGTATAAAAATCGTGCTTAACTTTGTTTGTTTTAGTATACACATCTATAAATATTTGGTACACCTTCAGTAAGGTTCTTTATTTATTTAAAAACACATTCGTTGGGTATAAGTATATAATTTATATTATATTAGAAAATTCAAATCGAAATCTATTTAATTATTAGATTTATTAATGTATTAATTTTTTATATATGTATGTACATACATATCATCTGTTAGTTTTATTGAAATCAATCAGTTTCCGATTTCGATCCAATTTCACACTTTAAGGGTATACAAATTCCGGCTTCCTGAAGTTAGCTTATTTTCGTAATTCCTTCTATAATTTTTCTTTCCACTAATTCTTTTCCAATTCTTTAACAATATTAAAGCTTTAAGATAATAGTTTTGCAACACTCTTGGCTTAAAAGGTTCTCCATTTTAACTTACAACAGATAAGCCTACGGACTTGGTTCTAAAAACCGCCTCCTTTCCTTGCATCCCTCTCACCTTACCACTCCCTGTCCTGCTCCCGCTCACTATTTAATTACGAGCAGCGGACCGAATCGTTGGCCAGTAAAAAATGCCGACGGTGAAAGTGAAAAAAAAAAAAAAAAAATGGGTACACTCTACGTGAATTTCCTCCCCTTGGTGAGAGGGGGTGGGTGTGTCGTTGGCTTTGCTGGAAAGACAGGGACGCCACTAGAGCGAGCGGTATCGCTCACATTCTGACGTTTCTCTTACGTGTTTGTCATGGGCGTGGCCTCTGGTATTACGTATGGTGAATTTTGAGTATAACAGTTATGGAAAACTTAATAAGAAATAAAAAAGAGCAACAATCAATTTAAATCTTAAATTAAATAATAATTATTACATTTTAATTTTAAACGATTTTGAAAAAATTCGAATTTTTTTTAATTTATAACTAACCCAAAAAGATATTAATTTTATTTCGAATTCAATAATGATTATTTTTTTATTGTTATTTTTGAGCTCAAAATAATAATAAATATTGTTTGAGCGATTAAATAAATTTAAAATTAGAATTATTAATAGTCCTCAAAATATATTAAAGTCAATAATCGTTAAAAATTTATTTTTTCACACGTCTAAAAATATATTAAAAATAATCTTAGCAGGTTAGTTAATTAACTTCAACACGAAAATTCATTTATTTTTTTCCAGATTTTCCACACGAATCCGACTCCTCGGTAGTTGTTTTTATAATCATGCAAGTTATACTATGTGCCAAAAAAAATCTCTGGAAAAAATGTTTGAAATCATTAGTTTTCTGTTCCTCTTTGCACTGGCCCTCTTTTCCTGGGCTGTCCTCTGTCTCCAGCATGCGTTAGAGATCAGGAAGCGCGCTGACCGCGATTATATTGTGGAACGCAACACAGGTGAGTTGGGATTCTAGTTTTAATTGGTAAGAAATTGTTGTTAATTCTTTTCAGAGCCGCCCGAGGTTACATTTGAGCCACACGAGTGCCAGAAGCCCTCAGAACCACCAGGTCCTCTAAGCGCCGCCTTAGACTTCGCAATGAGCTATTGGGTGATGCTCGCCCTCACCCTTGGCCTGTCCAAGCTCCTTCAACTGGCCGGGAGGCAGGCCAAAATCTACTTTATGGGTCGCACTGTGGAAGTGTCAACCTTGACGGAGCAGACGCTGCAGCCTTGCCAACAGAACCAAGATAATCTGGATCTGGCCGTGGTGAAAGAGAATACAGCTCTGAAAGAACAGCTGAACGTTCTTCAAACTCACTGTCTGGAGATGCGGGAGTTGCTGCAGGAATTGAGACTGGGTAGCTCCAGTAGCTTAAAAAGCTCCAGTAGCCAGGAATGTTCTCAATCTGGAGATGAAGAGGTAGTGACGACCGGCTCCTCCCAACCCAGCCAGAACTTATATATCACAAATAACCACATCCACATCTGCTGTGATAACAAGGAATCCTGCAGGCAGGCCGTGTCCTCCAAGTGTGGTGTGAATACATACATCCCTGGTCCCAAAAAGCGACCTATGATAGCAGCCATGGATGGCAAGAAGTGACCAAATTAAATTTTGCATTTTTGGGGTGGCAACAAAAAGTACAACAAAAAAAATTTAAGTTGTTCCAGTTTCAATTTGGAAGTGAATTGAATAATAATTTCCGATATCCCGTAAACATAAACGTATTATCCTTTTCGATTTAGGGATTTGTTATATCGCTTGTATTAGCAAATAATTTGATTTAAAGCTGATCAGTCTTTGCCTTAACAGCATAAAATCAATTAAATGATTGCCAAACGTCATACATATACATGAATTTCGATTCCTTATTAAAATCTGAATAAATAAATATCAAAATAATAATAAAAAATTTGAAAAAAAGAATTTCTCAAAATTTTAAAATTAAAATTAAATGTAAACAAGAAAGTAAGCTAACTTTGGCAAGCCAAACTTTGTATATGTTATTATAATTAAAATCTTTAATAACTAAGTCAAAAATGAAATAATTTCAATTAACCCCTTATCAAATTAAAAAACATAAAATCCATAATTTAATATGATAATTTTTGGAAAGAGTAAATTGGCCAATTAATTTCAATTCGGAAAACTCTGCAGACTTCATTTAATTTAAAGATTAATCCATAATTTTATACTATTTTTGGGGAAATAAAAACTTATCAAATCCATAACGAAGCCAAAAATTCATTAATTTTATTTCGGTAAGCATTTTTGTGTCAGTTTCAATTCAACTTATTTTAAATTCCATTTTTTCGCTATTTTTTTTTAAACAATTTTAACGATGTAATCCCTTATAAAATTTTGCCTGTTTATGCTGATCAAGAATATATATGATTTATGGGGTCGCGAATAACTTATTCACTGCGTTTGACTAAAATTATAATAAATGATTGTAAATTGTAAATTGTTACCATATAAAAACAAGAAAGGAAGCTAACTTCGGCACGCTGAAGTTTGTATACCCTTGCAGATTGGTTTCGATGTTTATATTATAGATTTAAATGCTGAAAACACTCACAAAACAGAGTTTCATTAAATTTTACCTATACTTATTATGTTTACAGTTTGACAGTTTCAGTTTTACATTCCCAGCTTTATATATTTTATACATTAACCGATCGCTTCTATGGCAGCTATATGATATAGTTGTCCGATTTTTATGAAATTTATACCAAAATTCTAGAATAATAAAAAAAAGCTTATATCTGAGAGTAGATAAAAATACGTTGAAAAACAACGAAGCTCTAATTTTTATACCCTGGCAGGGTATTTTATTTCCAGTCCGAAGCTAATTACGCATTGAAGGAGTCATTTCCGACCCCATAAACCATATATATTCTTGATCAGCATTAACAGGCGCATCTTTCTGGCTAAGTCCGGAAGAAAGAAATTTTTAATCAATTTTTTCAAAATTTTGTAAGGGGTTACATCATTAAAATTCTCAAAATTTGATAATATTTTTAATTTCTAACTAAGTATGCAGATTTGTTAACCTTATAAAAACTAACATAACACCGCTTTCCAAATGCAAATTAAGGCATTTTTGACAGAGTTATGCCTTTTTTAGGTTTTAATTTGCTATTTTTCTCTGTTCAATTACAGACTTTCCATCGTCATTGCCATCGCCATCGCTCCTAGTCATCAGTATCAGTAGACCTGAGACCCACCCTGGACAAGAACCAAGGGAAAGGACCAACGACACACGCAAAAGGAATAGGGATCAGGAATCAGGGATAAGGAGAGAGCACCGCCAGAAGCCAAAAGTCAAAGTATCATGGCAGTTTCGATCCGGAATGTTAATCTGTCATAAATAGGACTTCCAGTCAGGTCTACCGGCTACTTTTACAACAACAGCAACGAACACAACAAGCAACATTTTAATTTTAAAATACTTTATTTTATTCTGTTAATGAACCTAAATAAAAAACAATGAAATACATTATTTTATATTATTTTGTTTTATTTTATTTTTCCTATATAAGAACAATGAAATGAGCATCACTGCTTGTAAGTAAGATGGCATTTTAATGCAAAATAGCTAGATGAGCATCACTGGCAGTTAGTGAAATGCAATTTTCTCCCAATAATAGAAAATAGCTAGATGCGCATCACTGCCGTTAAGCCTGATTTTATAGCCTCCCAATATGGCATAACTTTGAAAATTCATAACTCGGTCAAAAATGCATTAATTTTACTTTTACAACTTTGCATACTTAGTTAGAAATTGAAAATTTGATCAAATTTTGAGAATTTTAATGATGTAACCCCTTATAAAATTTTGAAAAAATTGATTAAAAATTTCTTTCTTCCGGACTTAGCCAGAAAGATGCGCCTGTTAATGCTGATCAAGAATATATATGGTTTATGGGGTCGGAAATGACTCCTTCAATGCGTAATGAGCTTCGGACTGGAAATAAAATACCCTGCAAGGGTATAAAAATTATAGCTTCGTTGTTTTTCAATGTATTTTTATCTACTCTCAGATATAAGCTTTTTTTATTATTCTAGAATTTTGGTATACATTTTATGAAAATCGGGCAACTGTCATATAGCTGCCATAGAAGCGATCGGTAGATGTGGAGAAAATGTAAAGCTAGGAATGTAACTGTAACTGTCAAACTGTTTTGTATGTGTTTTCAGCATTATATTAATGTTATGAATAAATATACAACTTTTATATATTTTTTTTATTTTTTATTTTTAATTATTTAACCAGAATGGCTCGCTCGATTCTTAGTGATCCAATTGCAAATCTGCAAGGGTATACGAACTTCGGCGTGTCGAAGTTAGCTTCCTTTCTTGTTTTCCTATTTATTTCTCGATCGTTCCTATGGCAGTTATATCATATAGTCGTCCGATTTTCATAACATTTTTACCAAAATTCAGAAAAAATAGACAATGACGATATCTGAAAAATGGTGCAAAAATGTTAAAGAACAGAAAAGTTATAATTTTTTTCTAAAAATATATCGAACATTTGTATGGCAGCTATATGATATAGTCGTCCGATCCGGCCCGTTCCGACATATATAGCAGTGAGAGCATATAGTGGACTATATGCAAAAATTCATTCAGATAGCTTTAAAACTGAGGGACTAGTTTGCGTAGAAACGGACAGACGGACATGGATAGATCGACTCGGCTGTTGATGCTGATCAAGAATATATATACTTTATAGGGTCGGAAACGTCTTCTTTACTGCGTTGCAAACTTCTGACTGAAATTATAATACCCTGCAAGGGTATAAAAAACATATAAAAAAGCTTTCCGAATTAATATTAATGCATTTTCGGCTTTGTTATAATCGTTTTTAAATTCAGAGCTTACAGAAATTAGCTCCCTTTCTTGTTAATTGTTTACTTTTAATAAAACAATATTTTGAAAAAGTTTTTTTTATTATTTTTCATTTTTAGGACATTTCCTTAAATTCCCCAGGATTGTTGTCGCTTTGTAACATTAAACTATATTACCAAGATTCCAAGAAAAGGCCACTTAAATTTTGTTATAAATATTCACATTTATTGATAGTGAAAATCTTTATTTTGGTCAGCAATTGCAAAAAAAAAAAAGAATGTTGAAAAAAATCGCTTAAATTTAATGCATTAAAAAACATTTAGATGTACTTGTATAATGGTTATCCACAAGTTTTAAAATTTTTTAGTTGCTACAATTTTACATTCGCAATGCTATGGCTTCTTAGGTTAAAATACTTTTACGCTCTGCCAATGAAAATATGGGCAGCGCTGTTTATTACACAATTCGTTTTCAAGCAGCGGCTGTGACATTTGCCATTTGTTTTTATAATTATTTCTTTTATTTTTGTTAAGGTTGAATGTTTACGGTATTATTTAATTCCTAAATAAATAGGTTTATACGGTAATGTGAGAATATGTACAATATTTCCCTTAGAATATATTAAGTTTAGACCTAACTCTATATTCTACAATTTAAATACAGAGGTACTAAAAAATATTGAAAACAAAGAACATTTATTTGTTAAAATAGAGAGGCAAATAGTTGTTCGTTGTGCAAATACTTTTGACTACCTCTGTATATAACTTTTCAGCTTTGACAAGTGAATCAGATTCACATGGTACCACCCATGCGCACTCGGTTCAGCCTCCAGCATCTTTGGCATCGGCAGGTAGTGGCACCTCCTTCATGGAATCCACCTTGGCCACGATCTTCAGAGCTGGTCCCAGTTTCATGCCCATGGCGTTAACCAGATGGTTCTCCTTGAGCAGCAGCAGCGCCTGGCCGTCAATTTCTTGCTGAAAGAAGTCGTCCACATAGTCCTGACAGCCCGGCAGTTCCCGGATAAAGTTGCTGACCTCTTCCACACTCCAGCTGCTGATGGGCGGGCGATCAGTTCCGTTTGAACTGCAAGTGGTGGGTGCAGGCGCCGCGGCAGGAATCACTGCTGGCAGTGGACCTGGAGCGGGTATAGCTACTGGTAACGACAATCCCAGCGGCAGCGGCGGCAGAGGAAGTGCCAGTGGCGCAGGCGTCGGAATGGCGGTGGCCAGCACAGGCAGGGACAGCGGCAGAACTTCGGTTGGAGCCGCCAGAAAGGGCAGGGGCTCGGACATGGCCTGCAAAGCCTCTGTCTGCATCTTCTCCTCGGCCATGGCCTCGTCTAGCTTGTCGACCAACGCCATGGCGTCCACCCCAACGATTCCGCCGGTTCCCAGGCCGTTCGTCTCCCCGGTCTCCATTCCGCCGCCTCCAATGCCGTTCTTCGCCTGCCTGGCGCATCCCGGCGAGCAGAAACGCTTCCGCTTGAGCTTCGTCTTGTGCTCCAACTTGCCGCACTGCTCGCAGGCCACCATGTCGGAGGCTGGAGCGGACGCTATTCCACTGGGCTTCATGTCCTCCTGCATGGCCGCCTTTTTCTCTGCAGGATGAAGATGGGAAACACGGAGATTAACACAATTGCAAAGCATAGTGTGTGATGGAGATACTCACTGGGCGGTTCATCGGCGACATCCTTGTCCGCATAGCGCTGTCTGGTGACCGGAAAGGGTTCGTTGGCCTCCTGGATGATGAAGCCATCGATGACGTGGGTCAGCACGTTTGGCTTGATCATCGCCTTGGGCAGATCCTTCGCCCCATTGCTGCAGATCGTCGTGGTGGTTGTACTGTTCGCACTGCTGCAGGTCGTGGTGGTGCTCACAGTGGTGGTGGTGGTCACAGTGGTGCTACCTGTGGTGCATGCCGTGCTCCTGCCCGTTCCGATCCCATTACTGACCGTCTTCGTCGTGGTGGGCGTTGTGGCTGCGCTAGAGCTGGTGGAGGTGGCCACTTTCGTCTCCTCCTTACCACTGGGTGTGCTGGGTGTGGCGGCGCTGCTGCTCGTGGGCTGGACCACGTTGCTTTGCTTGCTGGTGGGCGTGGTGGCAGCCCGCGTCGGCGTGGACGCCGCCTCAGTGACTTCTCCGTTGGGCAGGGCCTCGCCGGTGGAACTGCTGGCCTCCACGGACGCACTCGCATTGGCTGGAGTCGAGGATTTTGGCGTGGCGCTTCTGTCCTGAGCTGAGACAGATGCGGGCGTCATGGGCGAGCCAATGGGCACCAGGGTGGCCGTCTTCGAAGGCGTCTCCTTGGTGGGCGTGCTGGCACTGCTTAGTGTAACCAATTGACCCGGCGATGGAGTGACTGCGGTGCTGGTCACAGAGACTGTTACCGGTGGAGCGCTTGACAGGTGACCCACCGTGGCATTCATCATGGAGGTCATGGCCAGGATGGGGTTGGTGGTTGGCGAGGGCGTCGTGGCCGTCAGGGAGGGTGGTCCCTGCTGTTGTTGCTGCTGCTGCTGCTGCTGCTGCTGAGAAGCTACTGCCATGGCGGTGGTGATCAACTGCTGCTGCTGCTGTTGGAGCTGGGCTTGAGCCTGCGCTTGCTGGAGGCTGGCCACCGTGCTGCTGGTGACCAGAGGAGTCGAGCTCTGATTGGTAATGGTAACCACACTGCTGGTGGGCAGAGACGAGCTGCAGGTGCCGGGCTTGGCTGTTTGGAAGATGGCACCTGAGGCGGACAAAGCCGCCTGCAGGCCACTGGAGGTGGCTATTCCGGCTGGCGTCGTGGTCGAAGACACCGTGAAGGGCACGCTATTCAGTTGCAGTTGCCCGGTGTTCTGCTGTTGCTGCTGGGATGTCGCTCCGCCCGACACCACAATCTGCTGGATGATGTTCTGCTGTTGCTCCCGCTGCTGTTGCTGCTGTGCCTGAGCCTGGGCCTGGACATGGGCCTGAACCTGTTGCTGTAGTTGCTGCTGAATCAATTGGTTGTGCAGTTGCTGCTGCTGTTGCTGGTGGGAGGTAATGAAGGTGTTTGGAGCAACTTGGAGGATCTGCTGGGTTGCGTTGGCAAGCGCCTGTTGCTGCTGCGCCTGAGCCTGGGCTTGGGCCACTTGCTGTTGCTGTTGCTGCTGTTCCCTCTGTTGCTGCTGGGCCTGCGCCACAGCCTGCTGTTGCTGGGCGGTCACTTGCTGCTGCTGTTGAGTGACTTGTTGCTGCTGCTGCTGCTGGGCCTGAGCTGCCGCCTGCTGCTGCATCTGGAGGGCAGCTATCTGCTGCTGGAACATTTGCTGCTGCAGATACTGCTGTTTCTGAATCAACTGCAACTGCTGCTGCTGCTGCTGCTGCTGTTTGTCCACACTCGCCACTCCCGCAGTGGCTGCGTGCAGGGTCTGCCCGTTCTGGAGTGTAATGGGAGTGCCCGTTGTGCTCATCACAACCATTCTGTAATACCCAAGAAGTAATAAGTTAGCTTGACGATATCTGGACAGAGGTGCCTTAGATTACTCACTTGTTGCCCGCCGAGTTGACCACTTGCTGGAGATTCGCCGTCGCCTGCTGTTGCTGCTGCACGGTGGCCATGTGACCCACCACCTTGTTCTGACCCGCCAACTGGCCGTTCTCCGTCTTCAGGGCGGACAAGGCAGGTCGCACCGGCTGCTGCTTGGTGCGCATCTTGCCCTTCAGCAAGCTCTGGTTCTGGGCTGTCTGCGTGGACACCGAGCTGGCCGGACGCACCTGGGTGCCATTGTGGGGCATGATCGGGGCACCAGGTCTCTGCAGCGCCGCTGCCGTAAGTTGCTGCTGCTGCAACTGCGCAGTGGCCACCGCCAACTGTTGCTGCTGTTGCTGCTGCTGTGCCTGGTTGGCAGTTCCCGCCTGCTGCTGTTGCTGCTTGGGAGCGAGTGCGTCCAGTTGGGTGCGAGCCTTGGGGGGCGTCTGGGTGACATTGCACTGGATGATCTCTGTGAGAGCACAGAAATTAGGACCGAATGGAGTTTATTACTGGGAGGGGGCACTTACGGTTCTGCTGCGTCTGCAGGGTCTGCGTGGTCGGTTGCTGGATAAACATGCCCGAGGTTCCGTCCGGCTGGCCCCGCAGGATGATCGGGTTCGAGCCAAAGGACTGCAGTCCAGCCGCATTCTGCCAAAACCAGGGAATCTGCATCTGCTGAGCCTGGCCGGCGTTCAGAAGCTGCGCGGCCTGGACTGACTGAACGGACTGGCCGGCCTGGGCCACTCCCACGCCCACGGGTAACGTCGACTGCGAGACTTGAACGCATTGCTGGGTGGTTTGCGTAGTCTGCTGCTGCTGCTGCTGGACCTGTTGCACCTGCTGGGCCTGGGCTGCCGTGGCTGCTGCTCCGCCCGCTGTCGCCGCTTGCACCGTGCTACTGGTGGTGGTCACCTTCTGGACCACCTTCTGGGCCATCTTGCCCTGCGCATCTACGCCCACCTTCGCAAGGGCCGCCGTGAGCTGCTGCTGCTGCTGTTGTTGCTGCTGAGAAATCTGCTGCTGTTGTTGCTGCTGCTGTGTCAACTGTTGCTGCTGCTGCTGTTGCTGGGCGGCAGCAGCCATCGACTGAAGCAGGTTCTGCTGCTGCTGCGGCGAGTGCGAGATCACATTCACCGGCGAGATGAGCAGCGTCTGTGGCGACTGACTGTGGTTGGAGGGGATGCAAGAGGCGTAGGTGCCGCCGGCAAACTGCGTCTGTCCCCCAATCATCTGCTTGGCATTCTGCGTGGTGGTGGTGATCATCTGGGGCGTGTTACCCTGGAAGGGCTTGCCGGCAGTGATCACCTGGATGGGCTGCTGACCAAGACCGCCAGGATGCAGCAGATTACCGGACACAATCATCTGCGGATACAGGAAGCTGGTGGAGGGCTGCATCAGCTGCACGGTCCTGCCCTGCGCCCAATCACCGCCCACTCCTCCGGTAGCCGCCGCTAGCTGCATCGGGGACATCGTGCTGATGGCTGTCGAGTGCTGCTGCTGTTGCGTCTGCTGGGAGTTGGCTGGACTTGGTGCTCCTCCCGCTACTCCTGTGCCTCCAGCAGCTCCTCCGGCTCCATTGGCATCCGAGAGCTGCTGCTGCAGCTGCATCTGCTGCTGAACATCCAAAATGTTGGTCGCATGCTTTAGCTCCGTGCCCGCACCCGTTGTATGGGTTGGAAACTCTTGCTTAACCTGGATGGCATAGGGACTGTTCGCGTAGAGCTGCTGCAGCTGCTCCGGAGAGATCTGTAGCGGCACCGTGGTGGCGGCCGCCACCTGCTGGCCGGGATTCTGCGCCTTATCCAGTTTGAGGCTTGTTTGGCGCGCAAGGGTGTGCTGCGTGTTGTGCGAATTGGGTGTGCTAACTGCACTAGGTGGGCCTGGGGTGGTGTTTGGGGTGTTGGTGTGACGTCGGGCAGTAGGCGCAGTTCCGTGACGATTATTCGTGGTGACTGTTGCTGGTGTTGCCTGTGCTGATGCTGGAGTCGCCTGCTGCTGGGCAATGCCGGGATGCGGGGGACTGGCCACATCGTATTTTTCGTCAAAGGTTATGCCCGCCTTTTGGGCGAGGGTCTCCAGGCACTTCAGTGGCCGCTCTAGCTGCTTGCCGCCGGCCTGCTGCTGTTGCTGGTGCTGATGTTGCTGCTGCTGGTGGTGATGAGGATGCGGATGCGCGTGCTGCAACGGTTTCTCCCGGATATTCGAGTTGTCCTTCAGGGGTAGAGTGCTACCGCCCGTTCCTGCAGATATGCCAGAAGCTAGTGTCCCCTGGGAGGCAGTGGTGCTCAGTGATGTGTTGGTGTTGTTGTCGCTTTCTGTGTCCACTCTGAGTGAGCGGAAGGGGAGAGAAGAGGATGCGGATGGGGGGATCAGTAAACATTTGTTGAAAGCAAACGCAGAATCATCTGGGATGAGACCAGACCACACGCACGACCCGGCGGCTTCCCATGTCCCTAATGGGCTTCTTATGTCTTGTCCCAACTACAAACAATCACAAAACCATGTGCAAACAGGTTGTCAGCATCCAAGCACATTCCCGAAAAATAAAGCATTGAAATATCTTAAGCTTCAAACAACAAAATTTAAAATATACACAAACATGGCTTTAGGTAAACCCCCTTCGCATGCAAATATTAAATATTAACTAATAATAAAAAATAATAAAATGTTAAATAATGTATGTTTTCCTTTGGGAATAAATATACATTTCATATTTTATTTTTTTGTGTATATTTATTATTCGTTAAAAAAATATTAGTATTTACGTATATAAAAAAGCGGGAAGCGTTAATAAATCAGGGCCAATTTAACATTAAATAGAAAACTGCTCAAAACTATATTTAATATTTAGGTTCCTGGAGTAATTCTAAACAAGGCTGCTTTAATTTATAAGCGACAACAAAAGAAAATGGACCAAGGATTCATTTTGAAAGATTGTCTCTTAGTTTTAGGTACATAGATCCCAATGAATAGTTTACCCTCATTTCGTTCACCTTTTTTACAATTTTGTCTTTCCCGTCCTTCTGTCGTCCAACAACAACAACACTTATAATAATAGCATTGATGAAAATGTTGGCGAAAATTGCAAAAAGGACTCTGCATTCATTGATATGAATTGGGTTAAGAGAGAAAAGAGGAGGAGGCAGCCGAATCTGAGGGTTGCCTGCCATCGCATCACATCGATCTTTATCTTAGGATTTCCGAATTTCCATGTGATGTATCGCAGCCGTTTTCCCAAACCGCGTCTTGCCCGGGAAAAAGGTATCCAGCCTGGCAGCTGGCACCGTCTGATATTATGCCAAAATGGCAATCAAGTAGAATGCGAATTGCAGGCAGCCGAGGTTCAAGGACCTCCCCGTCAAAATGCTGACAGTTGGGAACACAACACCAAATTGTTACTGTTTCACCATACAGCTGCGCTCAAAATAATAGAGCTGACTGGCAATATGAAACTACATTGTATAAAATCCGTGAAGAGCAACTATTTAGTAGAATATATTATGGGTTTTTATTTTTAATTTTCTTCTATATATTTAAGATTATAAATAATTTTGTTTTTCTTTTATTTTATATAAGAGTTTATAAATAAAGAAATTAATTTTTCATAATAAAATCCCTATTCCTATGCCTTTATATTATAAGCAGATTTAAAGGCCTAGGTTCCTAAGATCCAAAACCCAGTTTAAGACAAGCTCTTTTAGATACAAAATAATAATAATAATAAAACACTTTTTTTAGTCATAACCATCTAATTCTTTCAGTGTAAAACGCAAAAATATTCCACAAATCGGATCTAAATAGTGATTATTGCAGGAGGGTTGCATTTTTCAGTTTATTGTATTATTTTGTTGACCTAAGCTGTGTGTCCCAGCAGCCAGTATGATGATCCGTGTATTCTTCCCGTGCCCCATCAAAAACCCACGAGGGCCACATAAAGTAAGGCCATAAAGGGGAAGAGTAAAACAAAAATAAAAGGAAAAATATAAAGTAAGAACAAGCGAGAAATTGGTTATAAAAGCCGGCAAAAGCAAGAGCATTGGTGGCTAGGGTAAGGTAACCCTCATGAGCTGCTCTAGCCTCAGCCGAAAGGGGTGTTGGTGGTGGGCGGTCTAGAGGGGTGGATTTCTCATCACAGGGTGCGTATGCTTGGATCTGTGTGTACTTCGTAAAACTATGGGTTGCAGCCACCCGCAGTGAGAAACGATATGTGTAAATATGTATTGTATGTTTGTATGGTATGGGTAAACCTCTTGAGGAAAGCCAACTTGCCGCTCAAAGAAAAACCAACAAGAAGACTGGTTTCTCCCGTTAGTGTGTGCAGCAACAAAGGGGGAAAAGCGGTAGCAGAAGGAATGATAAAAATGCGGGAGGGGATAAACACGCACACACACAATGGCAGGGAACATGCGCCCAACAAGAGAGAGAGAGATAGAGAGACGAAGGGGAGAGCGAGAGAGCTTAAATTCAAATCAAACATCAGCTACAGTGAAATCAGGCGTGCAAAATGCAAAGGAGTAAGTGAGAGGGTGGCAAGACAGCATATTGATTGATACACAAACGAGTTTTGCAATCGGAAAAAGAGAAAACGAATGTGCGCCAAGGCAAACGTGCGAGGGAATGAGATGATACCAGTGCGCATGGTGCCAACTATGCAAGGTGGTCTCTCATCAGCTTTGTTGAGGACGATAAACATTTTTAAAGACAAGCTTTAGAAAGAGATAGGAAGCGAACGACTGAAGGAAAACAGTCCTCAAAAGAAAAGCGTTCCCGTGATGAGATTTATTTTATTATGTTTGAAGGAGAAATTGTTAATAATTTATAGAAAACATGTTTATTTTTATTTTTACAATAAGCTTTAATTAAAATTCGATATTTCTATGATCCTCAACATTGCTTCAAAAATTCAATATACCGGTAATATTTTCGACTTTTGAGTATAATTATTGCCAAGTTGACAACCCTGAGTTTTTGTTTACTTCGGCTGGGAGAGAGGTAGTCACAGCAACATGCAGAGAGTAGAAGAGAGTATACGAAAAAGAGCGCGGCCAGGGTAGTCGAGTTCAGTTTTTACTGTGGCAATAACAAAAACGGCTGCCTTTTGGCAAAGAACTTTTGCTTTTTGAATGTTGTCGTGTGAACGAATCAACCACCAACAGCCGACGCACAAACACAAACGAACCCAGGCATGCATTGCGAAATTCGTTGTCAACAAAATGCAACAACAACATTGAACAGCACCGCACCGCACAGCAGGAGGCGGGTGGTCGACGGGAGAGCAGAAGGGCAGTAGAGAAGGGAATGAAACTCGTTTTGGGACTTGTGAATTTCGTTCTTTTTTTTCTACCAATTGAGCGCATTTTATGACAACATAACAGAATATTTCTTGAGAGCGCAAGTTTACCATAATGTCTTGATCCCATAAATAAAAAGTAATACAAATAATAATAATAATAACTTGTAAAGAAAAAGAGAAAACCAACGTAAAAAGTAGCCACAAGTGCAAGTGCATGCATAACAGCAGCAGTAAAAATAAACACACACACACACACAAACAAGTAAGCATAAGAAACAAATTGTAAATGTTAAAAACGAAACCAAACTAAAAATACCTTTTTTGCATAAACTTCAATGCACGACGATCCATTATTCAAAATAAAAACAATATGTGTAATAAATTAAAGGTATGCATGCGACGGCGGCGTTTTCGGGTATCAGCAGCGGCGGAGACACTCTTTCTTGTTGTTGTTTTTATAGTTGTCGCGCTTTCTTTTTGGCCTCTCTAGTTGGTTTTGTTTTTCTCTTGTTGGTGTTGTACATTAATAAACACAAGACGAACGAACACATACACACACATGTACGGCAATAAATATAAACATACAGGCAACAACAAACATATAACGTGAAACGCAAGACAACAAAATGTACACAAAAACGAAATGAATCCGACAAAGTCTCTCGCAGTCTTGTCTCTCTCTTAAACGGTGTATGTGTAAATGAGTGTTTCGTGCACGGGCGGCAGTAGTAATTAGTGCAAACTCCACTCACACTCACTACACTCTCTCTTTCTTAAGGCTGCAGTTCGTTTTTTGCAGTGTAATTAAGAGGCTCAGGGGCCAAGGCACCTGTGCACGCGAATATACATATAAAAAACCGCGCCGACGACAGCTCTAGACGCTTGTTTTTATTGCGGCCACTTTACACTTTCCAGCGGCAGCGACGCGCCGCCAGCAAATATTCGTAGTTCTACGAGACATCACTTTTTGCTTTGTATTTACCAATTGTTAGCACCGTCGGACACTAATAAAAAAAAAATCTCAAGTTATAGGGTATTCAAGTGTGTGTGCGTCGCTTCGACGCGAGACATACACGCACACGAACTCAGAGCTCAAGAACCGCACGCCGCCAAGTTGAATTTCAGACTGAACCGCGCGACACGGCGACAACTCTACGCCGAGCCGACGAAACAAAATGAAGTGCGCATGTGTTGGTGTTGGTGCTGCTTTTGCGGGACAGCTGGCATGGGAAAAGGCAACAGCACGAACCAGTTTCTCCCGCACCCGGGCGCAGGCGATAACTTTTCTCTATACTGAAATGAACGGGTGCGAGTGCGACGGTACTAGGGGCAGACCTCGGCGGGGCCGAAGTGCGAGCGAGATGCCCTCGTCGCGCTTGGGGTTGGAAAGAAACGGCAGCAGTATAGCAAGCAAAAAAACAAAAAACGAGAGTCGAGGCTACAGCTGGCGGGCATGTGTATTGTCCATGCATGCGTATGTGTGCCTGTGTTTCAACCACCCCGACTGATCGGCCCCCCCCTTTCCCCTTGAACGAACGACCGAATCCAGTTTTCTGTCTGTACACTCGAATGTCTACCGCCCGATTGTTGCTATACTTCATCTTCTTTTTTCATTCCACCACCACAGCCAGCAATCTACCTGGACGTCGCCCTCCTCCTTCCACTTTCTTCGCATTCTTTCTCCCACCTCCTGTTGTACTGTTCAGATCGGATCAGCCTTACTTTATTATTAGTTTTGGTTGTCGGAAACAGACGGTGGAAGGAAAGAAGAAGAAGCAAAGGGGAGGGGGCAGCGTATGCGCAAAGGCAGAGCGAAATGATTTTTTCACTCACTCACTCACTCTGCCGAACACTGAACAGTGGCGTGCGATCCATTATTATTGGATTGCATTTCTCTTGGCAGTCTTTTTTCCTTCGCTTTTGTTAGCGATGATGCAGTTTGCTCTGTTATTGTTTTTATGGTCTTTTGTCTCACGTCGCATGCGCACAGTGGCGCAAAAACTTGCATAACTTTTATGTCTTAGATATTTTTACGTTCTTTACTTAAAAATATTTGATTTAATATTTTTTATTTATACAAACAAACGAATAGTGTTTGATTTGTGTCCTCGTGACAGGTTTTTTGGTATACAAAAAATTAATTATTACGTTTTTAGTTATTTGATAAAATTCTATTTGACTTAGGAAAAAGTACTTGGATATTCAGATAGCATTGTTATACATACTTGTATAATATATAATGTATATTAATTATATATTAGGGCCAAAATATAATTATATTGGGATATAAATATTATGTTCCTTAGCTTATAGCATATGTTACTTTTTTATTGGTACTTTTGTTTTTGGCATCCATAACATAAATCGTTTGTGCCCCACTGTGCCTGTCATTTGGTATTTCATTTTGTGCTTTGCTTGGGTGTGTTGCTTTGGGCTCTTGTCGTTCTCTTTTCCCGCTCCCACAAATGTACATACATCATTCCAATTCCTATGGTTGTTGTTATTTTGTGTTGGGTGGAATATCGCTTCGTATCGTCTCATTTATTTTTCTTTTTGCTGCCTCGCCGCCATATTATTTTTATGCCCACTAAGTGCTTTTGAGCGTGCTCTCTCACTCTCTGCCTTGTTTTGCCTTTTTTTTTACTGCGAGTGTGTGGGTTCAACGTGGTGAGCTTAGCTTTTTTCTTATTAGTTGACTGCCTTCTCTGCTGCTTTTTTTTCATCTTTATTCTTTAATCGCTCTAAAAACGCTCAACTGTACAAACAGTCAAGCATGCGCTCTTTTGCTGCCTATTCAGTTAATTTTCTCTAACTTGCTGTTATTATTGGGGTGAGTGAGAAGTAGCGAGCGAATTTTTTTGTCTGTGTGTGTATCTGTATTTGCATTTCGTAAAAATGACAAATGCTTAATGAGCGTAAATTACTGTGTGCTCGCTCTAGAGTTCAGACTATCGTATAGCTCGCTCCCGTTCTCACCCATTGTCCGTCGTACCTGTTGGGCAATTGTCCGAATTCCCTTCCCTACACCATTTTTGAATAGAGGCAACCGTTGGCTTATCCACGTCTCCCTGCACCGACACTGGTGGTGTGCGTGCCTTGTGTGATAAACAAAAGTGGGTTGTTGCTTTAACATCTATTGCCCAACAATAAACGTAATGAAGTCCGTTCCGTTTTGTACTGTTCCCGCTGCCGGGGTTTTATTGTTTAAAGGCGTGGCCAGCAAATGACTGAAACTCTCTGTCATCTTAAAAGTATTGCTAGAAAATTCAACTTAAAATTATTCCCACTATATTTTATATTTTTATAAAAGTACATACATATGTACCTGGTCTAATATTCATTAAAACCAAAATTACATGCACTTTTGATCAATATCAAATTACTCCATTATTCATTACATTAAACAGCTTTCTCAAAAAATTATTATTATTATACATATTATTATTATTATATAACTTTATAGCTTCCCTTTGGTGGGAAAAAGTCTTTCGAACATGCCCGTAAAATGCATTATATCAGGGTATACAATACCTACTACATAGATACGCCCCAGGACCCCTGCTTTTTCATTATTACCAATTCTCCATTGTTGCCAACTCACCCCTTGGGCATTGTGTTTGCATTGTCCCTTCCCCTGGTGCACTTAATTGACCTGTCAACTCGGTTGTGGGGCGCACATACAGGAAGTCCTCGAATTTCATATAAGTACAGTGGAACTCGAACCAGAAATTGCATTTTTGAATTGCAGTTAATGAGTAATTTGGGTCGATATTGCATTTCCATTGCATCTGACCAAAAAAGAACGATTTCAAAAAATCGATCTGCAAACTGAACTTCTTCGTCCTGCAGATGCCTGTGTACCTTTTATAAAGTCAAGTTCGGTGGAATACCTCATAGTTTAAGATAAACTCCACTAAAAAAAGAAAGGAACATTAATATAAAAACAAAGTTTGATTCAATTAGTTTAAATAAGATTTAATTTAATTTCTAGATATAACTTGCATAATATAAAACATCTTTTTATTTATGTATATTAAATCTCTAAACAAACTTCGGGAACTGTACTAAAACTAGAGATCTCAATACGATCTATTAAAAAGGTAAAGGAAAAGGCCAAAAAAGGGGTTGAGCTCTGTCACACTTGCCCATTAAAACCCACCCTTTTCCTCAATTTTTCAGATCCCCACCGAATCGGATTTTAAAAACAAGCACGATACAATTATCCGCAAACAGGGAACAATTAGGATATGTGAGAATAGGACTTATCAGTAAGCACAACCCTTAAGGTCCTTGGGGGTAAGAGCAAGCAGCTCCACCCCCATAAAAAGTGCAAAGCTATTACGAACTGATGATTTTAATGGTCGGGACACAAACTTTGATATGGAATAAATTCTAAACGAAACTTTTCTGAAACGACTTCTTATTATTATTTTTCATTTTTTTCTTTTGCAGTTTTTCAACATATTTTAATGTTCTGTGAGTTGTGGCCATCGTTAATGATCTCTGTATTATTATTTTTTTAATTCGTATAGTAAGGAGAAAATATAAATAAGAAAATATTATGTATAAATTGACATTATTTGTTGTTTTTTTAACATAATCGAAAAACTGAGATATAGTTATTTTTAGGATTTAAAAAGCGTTTTTCAATTTAATAAAAAAAAAAGTATTACAAAATCATACACCTGCAATCAGAGCCTTGTCAGAAAAATTCATTGGTCATTTATCTTGAAATAGTTTAATCACAGAAAATGTGTTAAAAGCAAAAAATTTGTGTATACATTTTATATTTAAAAACATTAAATTTGTATAGTATCCACACAATTATTACAAAAAAAGTTTTCTCCGGCTTAAGTTTAATTAATTACTGAAAATTCCTAAATTAAAAAAATTCATTACTTCAAAACGGCAGAAAATGCTTTTAAAGTGCAAACCCAAAAACAACAATTACAAAAATTGTTTAATTGGAATTTATAGGAACTTAAAAATTAAAAGTAAACTGTAATAAAAAATAAAATAAAAAATTAAAAATAAAAATGGCGATGCAATATCCATTTTTACTTAAATAATAAAAAGACTATTAACTTTATTTAGATAAACCCACAGCTTGCAATTTACATAATTAATAAAACACTTTGGTGTTTCTAGTTGCATAAAGACTTCATTCTTTATTCGCCATTTTGTTGTACAAACAACAACAACAACGACACACTAGTAACAATTGTAACCACAAGACAACAATGCCGCCTATAGGGCAATATAGGAAAATACAAAATGCCGACGGGAAGATTGAGGCGAATAAAAAAATGGGCGCACCACCAAACGCTTAGTTTTTTGGTTCGAGGGTGCGACAGAGTCGGTAGTATTGTGGACAACGAACGGGAGAAAGGGATGGTGGTACATATATTTTGCGGATGCGGAGAGCACTGAGCTGTCCGTCCCTGTTAAGGGTGGGCGTGGCGAGAGAGTGTGGTGAATTCGAGTGGTAGGTAGTATAACAGATTTTTAATGACTTAACTTTATTTCAATTTACTTGGTTTTTTTAATTATCTGATATATTAATTTCAATTGCATGTTTATTTATGTATATTTATGATGATCCTGATTTTTTAGAAAACGTTTTTTTTATTTATTCACTGTTTATAATCAGGAACTACTTACTTAGCTTTGAAAGATTTGCAATACACATTTTTAATGAAAACATGATTTGTTAGGAAATAATTTTCAAAACAAATACATAAATGTAGGAATAGAGATATTTGATGAATATATTTTTAGAATTGGTTACATATTAAATTAATTGTTTCTTAATTGGGTCAATACCGATACTATTTTTTTGTCATATTTTATTGTAGATAAATATTAACTAAAACTCGTTTTTAAATAAAAAGTAAGCACGTTTTCTACTTAAATGTTTACATCGATTTTACAGATTCATGTATTTGTCTCATTCTCTCTCTGCTGCTGTTTGTCTTCTCCTTCTCAAAAAGCTTAATCAGCTGTTGAGAGCTTTCACTCTGATCATATGCTTTTTGACTCAGCTTTCCATTTAGTTTCGTTTTCTTTTGCGTTGAATTTTTTAGTTGCGGTTTGTTGTGATTGCTTTTTACACGCTTCACTCTGCGAATTTGCATTAAAGGGGCGGCAGCGCACTTCCTGGAGTGTTAAAGGATAAAAGGATTTGGCTTAATCCAACGTGATCGCCATCAGCCAACCCAAGAAGTGTGAGTGTGAAAGGAGGGGGATAAACATAAATGAGTTGAGTGTTTTCGGGAAAGCATCTCATTTCCAACATTCCAGTGACCGCAATTGGCGCGTGCGGCTCTCACGATGCGTTTTGATGTGTGCGTGTGTAAAAACTAATATTTTCTAAGCAAATATACTGCACTTTTAATTGTACAAAAATATTATTAACATATGTGCTGTATTCGTTTTTACAACCGGCTTACACATGTACATAGCTGTGTATGTACAAGTTGTTATTGATAAGGCTCTCTCGGTTATCACAAACCTGTTGGCATTTTTTGTTTGCCTCCAAATCAAAACACACGTTGACACACACACACACGCTCATTAATCTTTCGACGTCATAAAGACACGCGTGCGAGGGAAAGAGATACGGGTCTAGAAAGGGGGAGAGAAAAGGAATAGAAAGAAAAATAAACAATTTTAAGTAGAGATGGACTTTTGAAAGCTCAACACTGTACCAATATTTTTTGTATATTTATGTTTTGTTTTAATAAATACGAATAATGCTTTTATGCTGTAAAAAATATATATAAACATTTTGAGTATGCAATAGAATAATATAATATAATGATATAAAATAATAATAATACATATAGAATATTATAGAATAATAACATTATATAAAACAATACTTGGAGAAAATAGTATGAAAACTCCAGTATTTTAAGTATTTTTTAGCATAAAATCTTTAAGTTATTATTTTTTATATTATAGTTGTGCAATTTTTTTGTAATCGCTGGCGACGTCTGGTAGTGATCACTGATCACAAACCGAAATAATCACCCATTTGGGATGAGTGTCAACATTTACAGACCCCGAAAACATGATTTTCTCCGCTACCGCACCTAATCCCGGTGACTCTCCGGCACTATAGCTATCGGTATCCGTGGGACAAGGGCAGGCCAGGGCCCAGGTAGTCGTGATCTGTATCTGTATCTGCATCTGAATCCTAGGACAAATGGTTTTATGGCCGGGTATCTACCTGCGCCGGCGAGATAAGCTGGCGGAGGCCCTCATAAAGATCTTGACTTTACGGACTGCACCGGTCCGGGCTGGTAGTATAGGAACCAAAATGAGTGGCCCACAAATAAATATGCTAATTTCTTTATGCACGCGCAAAGTTGGGACAGACTGATAACCGTCGAATAGCGCTATGTATACTACATATAGCTGGAAGCCCGATGCGAGGGGTCTAGTGGAAAAGTTCGGTGCTCTGGGGGCCTATCGGGAGGGCTATCAGGCGCGATACGCTGCGCGTCGGGGAGAAGATTGCGTCCATATAGTGGGATGTTTGGTTGGTGAGGCCATATTGATAAGTATCGCTCTGCTCTGGGGGAAGTCCGGCAGTCTGGGAAGCCGTCTGATCGCGGCCAGACAAGACTTCAGATCGAATGTTTTAAGCGAGTTATATAAAAGGATAAGCATCGGGCATCTACATATAATAATTTCCCAAAACAGGCAAGCTTATTTCTAGTGATTTTTGTGATTTATATATTAATAATAATATTATATAATTGTGTTTATTCCTTGAGTAAAACCGGTTAATAAACATTGGTAGTTATTAGACCAAAAAGTTGATGTGTTTATTGAACTTTTGCAACATTTATATGTTGACAGCCACATTTGTCTCTATTCAGATGTTGCGCTACGCGTGACTAGCAACATTTCATCGCCTTAAGCACTGTTTAAATTAAGTTTTAGCATTATTAAATATAGCAAATTAGCTATATTTTTTTGGGAAACTCGTTCCTACTTGGTATTATCTAAAAATGTGCTATATTCATTCCTTTTTTTGAAATGCATATTAAATAAATAAGTGATTAAATAACCTTCCTCCTTCCATCTCCACTTTTTTTTCCAGAGAGAGGAAAATACATATCCCGAACACACTCCCACTTTCACTCCCAGTCCGAATCCTCCACGATGAGATTCCAACAGCTCATGCATGTGCGCAGATTGGCCAGCGCCGCGGCCACCACCTTGATGCGGCGACCCACCACTGGAACCACAGCCACCACCACCATGTTTCCGGTTACCTCACACATAGCCACCACCGTGCGCACAATGGCGGGCAGCGGGGCACCGATTCCAGAGCTTACCCAGGTAATGGTTAGAGTTATTTGTGGGCGTGTCCACAACCCACCTCATCTAGACTTCTTACAGTATGCAAACATATATATATATATATATAGTAATACTTTCTCCGATTACAGATCACAGACAATGTGCAGAGGGGCAACTATGCCACACTGACCGACAAGGATGTGGCACATTTTGAACAGCTTTTGGGCAAGAACCATGTCCTCACCGAGGATCTGGAGGGATACAACATATGCTTTCTGAAGAGAATTCGAGGTGGGTTCCATGCTGAGTTTTATTTTATTTTTATAGATCTAGTATCTCTGGGGGTTTCTTAGAAACTATCATAGTATTTTGTATTCTCTTATATTTTTTTTTTTTATTTATAGAACTAAGTAAATATGATTAAAGTTAATGAATGATGATCCTTATGAGGGTCGTAGTTATACAAAAAGTTATGTTTATCTGTAAAATAATCATAAATATCTAAAGATTTTTATATAGTTGGTAAACTAACAATCGGATCTTATATATATTTTTTTATATAATCCTAACAATATTTATAATACCCAAATGATTATTGAATATATTTATGATTGATCTGGGGTATTTACATATTTATTTTTACAAACTATGGTATTCAAGTTATAGTTTATATTTTTTATGGGTATTAACTTTATAAAGGAAGTTAAAGGATTTTGTTTGAGGTTTTTGGTTGTGATCTTTTTACATAGTATAAAATTCATAATCAATAAATCATTAGCAATTTTTTAAACAATTTTGTAAGATCAATTTGAGTTTGGAACTTGAATTGTCTTCCAAAATTCCATTTAAAAAAATGTGAGCTCAAAAAGTTTATATTTATGGTTAATAATGTATACAAATTATTAAATTATTAAATTATAAATTATATATGTATATAAATTTTTAAATTAAATTTTGAACTCCTTAAAAAAGATTAAAAAGCTTGACAAGCTTTTTTATCTAGGAATTTGTTAATGAATTAGATGCAATTGAAATGTATCTATGTATCTTTGTATCTATGCATTTATGTATCTTATTCATTACATTACCTTCAGCTCTTGCTTTGTTACTAATTTAATACATATATATTTTTTTTATATAATATTATTTTTTAACGTACACCCTCTCATATACCCCTTCAAATATGTTATTCCAGGCAACAGCAAGCTGGTCCTGAAGCCGGCCAACACGGCGGAGGTGGCTGCTGTGCTCCAGTACTGCAACGAGCGCCGCCTGGCCGTGGTGCCGCAGGGCGGAAACACGGGTCTGGTGGGCGGATCGGTGCCCATCTGTGACGAGATTGTGCTTTCTTTGGCTCGCCTTAACAAGGTGATATCCGTGGACGAGGTGACGGGCATTGCAGTCGTCGAGGCTGGCTGCATCCTGGAGAACTTCGATCAGAAGGCTAGGGATGTGGGCCTGACGGTGCCATTGGATTTGGGCGCCAAGGCCAGCTGCCATATTGGCGGCAATGTGTCCACCAATGCCGGCGGTGTCCGGGTGGTGCGCTACGGCAACCTGCATGGCTCTGTCCTAGGCGTAGAGGCGGTGCTGGCCACCGGCCAGGTCCTGGACCTGATGTCCAATTTCAAGAAGGACAACACGGGCTACCACATGAAGCACCTGTTCATTGGATCCGAGGGCACACTGGGTGTGGTCACCAAGCTCTCCATGCTCTGTCCCCACTCCTCGCGAGCCGTCAACGTGGCATTCATTGGCCTGAACTCCTTCGACGATGTGCTAAAGACCTTTGTCAGTGCCAAGCGGAATCTGGGCGAGATTCTCAGCTCCTGCGAGCTGATCGATGAGCGGGCATTAAACACGGCCCTTCAGCAGTTCAAATTCCTCAAGTGAGTGTTCATTTTGCGGTTTTTGACCCTCCTTAACGAGTCTCCTCCATCTCCCCCAGCTCACCCATTTCCGGCTATCCCTTCTACATGCTGATCGAGACCTCGGGCAGCAATGGCGATCACGACGAGGAGAAGATCAACCAGTTCATTGGCGACGGCATGGAGCGCGGCGAGATCCAGGACGGCACTGTGACCGGGGACCCTGGCAAGGTTCAGGAGATCTGGAAAATCCGCGAAATGGTGCCGCTGGGCCTGATCGAGAAGAGTTTTTGCTTCAAGTACGACATCTCGCTGCCGCTGCGCGATTTCTACAACATTGTGGACGTGATGCGGGAACGCTGTGGTCCATATGCCACCGTGGTCTGCGGATATGGCCACCTGGGTGACTCCAATCTGCATCTGAACGTTTCCTGCGAGGAGTTCAACGACGAGATCTACAAGCGCGTGGAGCCGTTCGTCTACGAGTACACCTCCAAGCTGAAGGGCAGCATCAGCGCCGAGCACGGCATTGGGTTTTTGAAGAAGGACTACCTGCACTACTCCAAGGACCCGGTGGCCATTGGCTACATGCGCGAGATGAAGCGGCTCCTCGACCCCAACGGCATCCTCAATCCCTACAAGGTGCTCAACTGATAGGTTTAAGCTTTAAAGTTGTGTGTATTTTTTTTGTCTATAATAAATTGCTTAAAATTATAAAACATAACTTTAAAAGAGTTGGGCTTTGTGGGGTTAACGATCAGTGGACGAACTCTTGCCAAGCTTTTTCTCGGTGCCCCCCAAAAATTTGTGAGTGTCAAGGGTAAAGTTGTGCTCTCTCCAAGTCGCTCTCTGAGGTATCTGTGTTACGCGCTGCTCTCTCCACTTACACACACACGTGTCCAAGTCCACGCATCAGCTGTTCCCATGCGTGATCGCGCGAATTGAGGGCTAGAGGGCGGCTCAAGGTGGAGTGCTTTTCGAAAGCTGCGAGACAAAAGCTTTCGCTCCCGCTGGGAACACATTCTCTCTCGGTTCGGTTGCAACGGAGCCGAAGGTGCTGCCGAAGGCTGCCGAAGTCTATGTTGTTCGCTCTCGAACACTCTACATTCTACACGATAATTCGACCCCAAGCATGTAAAACTTTGTTTTGACATTTTACTTTGAAGTTCAGAGTGACCAAGGGGAAAATACCAAATATCGAGATTTCGGTATTTTGATATACTTACATTTTTACACTCTACACGAGAATTCTACCCCAAAACGAGAATTCGACCCCAAAAACGAGAATTCGACCCCAAGCGTGTAAAACTGTGTTTTGACATTTTACTTTGAAATTCAGAGTGACCAAGGAGAAAATATCAAACAAAAATATGGCGATTTCGATATTTGGGCAAATCGTTATATTTAGGTTTTGAAACACGCCAGTGGGAAAAGCAACAGGCAGTTTCACTCGGTCACTCGGCGAACGGGCAACAGCGCGAAAAAATAAGTGCCGCAAATAAAATCAGCAAATTGCATTTGAGACAAAATACTTGCAGAAAAAACACACAAAATGAGCGGGTGAGTGGCGTGGTTCCCTTGATGTTTTAAATGAAATGAAATCATTGCCGTGTTTCCTTTTTGCCACCCAGAAAAGCCGATATCGCACTCATTGGCCTGGCTGTAATGGGTCAGAATCTCATACTGAACATGGACGAGAAGGGCTTCGTCGTCTGCGCCTACAACCGCACGGTGGCCAAGGTCAAGGACTTTCTCGCCAACGAGGCCAAGGGCACCAACGTGATCGGCGCGGACTCGCTCCAGGACATGGTCTCCAAGCTCAAGACTCCGCGCAAGGTCATGTTGCTGGTCAAGGGTGAGTTTTTAGCCCTCTCTCTTTTTTTTTTTTTTACTAAGTTTCATACACACATTACTCACTGCACTCGAAAAAAAAATCAGCAAATATCGTTCGATTTAACAGTTTTAAAGTTTTTTTTCATAACTTATAGAATTTTTGTTAAAATAGAATTTTGAATCTAATTCCAATTTGTTGGAAAAATTAATTTTTTTATTTTTAATATATATTGTAATATTTTTTTCTGTGTTCCAAAAACCTGCTGTTGTAAGCGATTGTTTCTGTTTACCTGTGTGAGTGTTTTTTTTTACATTCGGCGTTTGTTTATGTGTTTATGTGTGTGTGGAAGTCAAAGCAAAGTCATCAAATCAAACGGATTTCTGTGTGCTTGCTTTTCATGACGCTCAAGTTCATATTGCAATGTGCAAAGGGAGAAGAAAGAGGAAGAGTGAGAAGCAGAGTGGAAAGAGGAGTAGCAACAACGATAAGTTTTTGCTGTTGCCTCTCTCCCCCCACTCATTCCGAGATCATTGAACAGGCGATATCCACTCCATGCCACGCGACTATCGATTGCCGCGATTTGCCTGGAGCGATTTATCAAAGCTTGGGTTTGTTGTTTAGCTTAGAGATGGTAATTTATTGGGGCTGTGATTTGTGTGATAATAAATTAATTCTGTAAAATAAGAAATAAAAGTATAATTATGCTGTCAATACAAGTCGAAAAGTCCTTAAATTGCTGTATTGAACAAATTTATTTTCAATAATTAATTATATTTAAAATATTGTATTTAGTTTGTTCCTAAAATACTGATTATTGATTTTGAAATTAAGGTTTTATTTAAGAAATTCTCAAAACTAAATTGAGTTTCAAAGTTCTTTTGAAAATAAATTTAAAAATAAATCAAAAAAATTTTCCCCATACATTTAATTAAGAAAGGGAACTCTATAGTTTATTTTTTGTAAATTCTTAAATCACATTCGAAAGCATGCTGAGATCACGCGTTCTCCTCTAGCCAGTGTCTCGCACATTAATCAGCGTGCCGGCTTATCGCCGGTTTTTGCTTTTTTCCTACCTAAACCTAACCTGCCCATTATTTGCTTGGGCAAGAGAGAAATCTCTGACATTCATTATAGGTCATACGCTCAAACAATGGCCGACTTGCAGGCCACATCATCAGGCCTAGGGACCCTAGGGGATTTCCTCGGATTGTGGACTATCCGAAGATCCATTCTTTGGCTTCGTCTCGGTTCCATTTTAATTCTCCCATTTGTTTCGACGACCTTCCATGCAAACCAGGCCCAGGCCCATGATTCACTCGGTCCTCGGAGGTCATGCATATAGATTTCCAGATTCTATATTTGAGAATTCGTATTTGAAAGTTGCATGGCAACTTGTGTGAACTTTCACTTGACGTAAATTGAAAACAAGGTTTTTGCATACACGCTTATTTGTTTGTGAGAATATTTAATAATTTTATTATTTAAAAGACCATTTAATTTATATTGGGTTAAATTTAAAATGAATATTTACCTACAAAATATCGCTATTAAAATTTTATAACGGCTTGGTTGTTATCGAAAAGGAAAATACCTACCAAAAATATTAAAGTTACAAAAAAATGATTAAAATTGTTTAATATTTAATATATCATTGTGAGCCAAGTTAAAGAAGAGGATAGTAATTTCATATATTTTATTTATATTCATTTTAAATTGGGGATTACTTTGAAAAGTATCGTAAATTGTGTTGCAAGTTATAGAAGATATTACAATTTATAAATATTTTATATATTACTTATATTGCCTAATCTGCATTCTCTATTTTAATTCGAAATTAAGGATTACTTTGAATATTATCGTAAATAGAAGGTAGTTAGTTGATAGTTATTCCATATATTTCATTAAGGATTACCTGGGAAAATATCATAGTGTTCCAAGTTACAGAAGATATTGAAATATAAGTTAGTTTCCTAATCAGTTCAGACTTCAGTTCTTGTATTTCAACCTTTGCTGTATCCACATACAAACGACCTCTAGATAGATCGGATAGATAGATCAATGCTATCGCGCAACTGGTGGCCTTATCTAGCCTCGTTTCGGTTCCGTTCCGTTTCGATGGAGGAGTGTGTGGTGTGTCGACAAGGGACGATTCACGGTGACCTCCAAAATCCAAACAGTGACTTTCCAAAAGCCACCCCAATCGACCTTGTGCAATCGCACGCTTAGTCAACGATTTCCACAAATTGGAAAATAATGCTTCATTCCCTTCTAAATTGTAAATTTTATATTAATTTCTAATCTAATCCTTTTATTTTTGATCCAATTTCAGCTGGCAGCGCCGTTGATGACTTCATCCAGCAGCTGGTGCCACTACTCTCGCGTGGCGATGTGATCATCGATGGTGGCAACTCCGAGTATCAGGACACATCCCGCCGCTGTGACGAGCTGGCCAAACTGGGCCTGCTCTATGTGGGCTCTGGCGTTAGTGGCGGCGAGGAGGGTGCCCGTCATGGACCCTCGCTGATGCCGGGTGGCCACGAGGCCGCCTGGCCCCTCATCCGGCCCATCTTCCAGGCGATCTGCGCCAAGGCCGACGGCGAGCCCTGCTGCGAATGGGTGGGCGATGGCGGTGCCGGTCACTTCGTCAAGATGGTGCACAACGGCATCGAATACGGCGACATGCAGCTGATTTGCGAGGCGTATCACATAATGCAGAGCCTGGGTCTCTCCGCTGACCAGATGGCCGAGGAGTTTGGCAAATGGAACTCGGCGGAGCTGGACTCCTTCCTCATCGAGATCACACGTGATATTCTCAAGTACAAGGACTCAAAGGGACATTTGCTGGAGCGGATTCGTGACACCGCCGGCCAGAAGGGCACGGGCAAGTGGACAGCCATCGCTGCTCTGCAGTACGGGGTGCCCGTGACGCTAATTGGTGAGGCGGTCTTCTCGCGCTGCCTGTCGGCTTTGAAGAATGAGCGTGTCCATGCCAGTGGACTGCTCAAGGGACCCGCCACCAAACCCACCGTTACCAACAAGGCCAAGTTCCTGGACGACATCAAGCATGCCCTGTACTGCGCCAAGATCGTGTCCTATGCCCAGGGATTCATGCTGATGCGGGAGGCGGCTAGCGAGAACAAGTGGAGGCTCAATTATGGCGGCATTGCGCTGATGTGGCGCGGTGGCTGCATCATTCGCAGCGTGTTCCTGGGCAACATCAAGGACGCGTACACGTCGCAGCCGCAGCTCTCCAATCTGCTGCTGGACGACTTCTTCAAGAAGGCCATCGAACGTGGCCAGGACTCGTGGCGCGAGGTGGTGGCCAATGCCTTCCGCTGGGGCATCCCTGTGCCGGCCCTGTCCACAGCCCTCAGCTTCTACGATGGCTATCGGACGGCCAAGCTGCCCGCTAACCTGCTGCAGGCCCAGCGTGACTACTTTGGCGCCCACACCTACGAGTTGCTGGGGCAGGAGGGCAAGTTCCATCATACCAACTGGACGGGCACCGGCGGCAATGTCTCCGCCAGCACCTATCAGGCATAGGTACATCTCCTTCCCCCTTCACACATTCCATGTACGGTGTCTTTAGCTGACTTTTTTTTTTTATACTGGAGTACTTGTAGTACTTATTTATACCATATATAATATATATTGTAATGTATATATATAATTTCATATTTGTTGTTAAACATAACATTAAATTGGTGTTTTTTTTGCTAGCAAATGATTTAGTTTCCTTGGTTTTTGATGTACTAAAATCAACAATGTGTGTGTGTGTGTGTGTGTGTGTGTGTGTGGATCGAGTCTTTCGAGTTGTGTCTTCGCTGCTGCTCCTCCTCCTCCCCTCATCCTCCTCCGTCCCTGCCATTGTACTCTCTTCAGCTACCTTGTTGCTTGCTCCCGCTAGCCTCAGTCATCGGAGGGCTTCAGGCTCTTCTTGTTCTCTATGACCAGCTTGTCGGTGGTGTACAAATGGCCGATGATCACCTGTGGGCAATCAGAAAAACATGAAATGGGGGTTAATAAACTTCACAAGCAGCTAAGGCAAGTATCAAGGAAATTAAAAATGAGTTTTCATTAAAGGAAAATTGTCATTTTCCAAGTCAAACTAGGCGAATATATCAAAGGGTCGTATTAAACGAAAATTTAAATTTGGCTAATAATAATAATAATAAAATCAATTAATCGATTTTTTCAATATTGCGATACATCGATTTACATTTTAAGAATCAATTTAATCGAAAAAAAAAAACTCCAATTATAAAGAGATACTCAACTTTTCTACATTTTCATGAGACATAACACAGTTAAAGCAAATACTTGATTATCTTAAACAAGTTGTTGAGAGTTCTCGAGAATTTTTCTGAAAAAATATTATCAGCCTTTGATTGCCAAGCTAGGGGCAGATGCTCTGCCCGGAGAAGGTACAAAAAAGTATGTAAACACCGAAACTATGAAACTACGAGGGCTCGCGGGAGGGACGCTGATAAGCGAGCACATGCCTCGCACAGCTCGCAACTCACCTGGCGGCGTATCAGCTCCAGATTCTGCTGGCCCGCGACCATTTGCCGATCAATCTCCTCATAGTCACGGATGGTCCTGTTGGCACGGAATGTATCGCGTATTTTGCGGGCAGCATACATCCTGAAAGGAATACCCGAAAACATAGCACATTCGGGAACGAGCTACAACACTTGGCTATTTCACCACACGCACCTGAAGTTGTACGAGGGCAGCTTCGCCGACTCGCGCAGGAGGTTCCTGTACAGCGTGATCGCCTGGCGACGTGTCGACATCCTGTCTGCCTGGAGCTGGGCTGGCGGGCGTAGGGTGGCTGAAGTGGCGGCAGAGGCAGCGGGCTAGCGAGTGGCTAATTGGAGCGGCTTTTAATTGATAACGCCGGCGTTTTGTTGACCCTGGTTTCAATATTCGGCTTATTGTTATGACATAAATGCGAACTAGAGATAGCAGCGCCTCGACTACACTATCGATAGCATCGATAACGGTGCAGAGGTGGCGCGTGAGTATCGGCCCAGGTTTGGCATACAAAATATGAATGAAAAGGCGAGTTTTTTTTAATAAAATATTAAATTTAAATTAAAAAAAAATTATAATAATATTTGTAAAGAAAACCAAATAGGGCTACTCGTATTTTTTAGTTTGGAGACTAAGTCAATAAAATTAAATTAAATTTAAAGCGGAGAATATTTATTTTATATTAATATTAGGGAAAATATGCATCCTAGCGCTTGATTATATTCTAAAATTAATATCGATTTTATATTAATATTACTTTTGAACATAAATATTTATTTATTTTATATATTTATTTATTATTCATAAAATAATATTAAAATATTTATATTATTCAATTTCCCTAATATTAATATAAAACAAATATTTTTATTTAAAATAATATTTATTATATAATTTTTCCCCAGTTCACAATAAACACAACCCTCTGGCTTGTTTTTCAATTTTAGTTTTATTTTTTGTGATTTTTTTTCTGCAAGAACAATACATGATGTACTCGTTGAAAACACAAAATAAATATACATATATTTTGTTCCCGAAATTGTTTCTTTCTTCATCCGCACACGCTTGTGTTTGCATTTTCTATCGTTATATCTGGATTTTTGTAGCCTAAATCTGACATTTTTGTGGTTGTAAACGTACACATATATTCATATATATATATACATATATATGTATATACATGTATATAATTATATATTTATTTATTGATCAGTTTTTAGTTTTATAAGTAGAGTTTCTTTAGCTTAGGTTTAGGCAATAAAATAACTTTCTGCTCCACGACTCTGGGCTACTGCTACTCCCTTTCTCTCTTTACACACATGTCTCGCTACTAACTCTATTGCTACTAAACCTTCTCGCTGTTTTCAAGAGCAAGAGTCGTAAAGTACAAGAAAAAAAAATAGTAATGCTTTAATATATAAAATAAATGTAAGAATACAATTTAAAAAAAAAACATACACATTCGAAATAAACCTAGGACGCGTCCGATAAAATCGCTGGATTAAACAATATTTACATGGGTGTATGGGTGGTGTGTGTGTGTGTGGTGAGGGTGTAAGCCGCTGCTGCTAATATTGCTTATGACTATATAACGTACACATCATATCAGTTGTGGTGGTTTTGGATCTTTTTAGTGTTGTGTTTTGTTCATATCATTTCTCGTCGCTCTCTCTCTCTCTCTCGTTAGTTTAAGACGCAACGCAGAACTCTCGCTATCACTTTTGGTTAAAACGAAACACAGATCGCATCGTTGCTAACTATATATACTGGAATATATATATATACTCGTGGGATGGGGACGATGACCGAAACTAGGTGCATTATATATACTATACACTCACACCATATAGTTGGTGGCTCCTATGCCAGCGAATAAACAAGTTACATACATAATCACAAAACAACATAATTCATTTTGGTGGCAGGATGGCTCTCCAATCCGACTTCAATTCAGATTCCGATTCCGATTCCGATTATCTGTGGCTGCTGTACGTCTTGTACACGCGCTGCACCCGTGTGGATCCTGGCGGTGGCGATGTGGACGAGGAAGCAGTCACGGATGTGGATTGACCATCCGTTCCGGCTGCTATCACTGACGGCGTTGTCGTCACCGCTGTCGTCTCTAAATTCAGAGGCAGAGTGTGGTCATCCGAATGCTCATAGATGTAGTCGCGCTTCTTGAAGTTATCAATGATGCGCTTCGTCGACTTCATGTGAGCCACAAAGGCGGCTTCCAACTGATGAAAAAATAAGATGGGGTTAGGCAACTGCAAGTATCATCCTTTTTGGGCTTAAAACTCACGCTGGAGGTCAGGTTCATAAATGTGTGATACTTCTCCAGCACACCGATAATCTCCTTGAAGCTATCTCCCCGCAATTGGCGCCGCACCAGCGCCTCGTACTGCTCGTTGTCAGCAATCAGATTTCCCAGCAAAATGGCCGCATAGCTACCCTTTAGTGTGTGCTCCATGTGGTGGCCAGCGCGTTGCAGGACTAGAAAATGTTTGATTAGCAGGAGATCTTAGCCGAAGCTGGGATGCTAAAGATACTTACGATTGTTGACCGTTTCCTCAACCTCCTCCTGCTTCTTCTTACTCTTCTCGTTGCTCTCGAGGAATGCGTCCGTGTTTTTCTCCACTAATCTGTAGATTGTAAATAAAAATATGTATTGAAATACAAGTGCAAACAGTGGGTTGTGCTTTCTATCTCACCTGGCCAGCTCCTCGCATTTGTAAAAGTACTCGAGCAGAGCTTGAAGCGCACTCACGCCACCCTGAGCCGGCGGATTATCGGCCACGTATTCGGCGGGAGCGGCTGCCTGCATCAGGGCGGCGCGATTGGGAACCGTGTGCATGCACAGGTTAATCAGCAGGGTGAGCACCTATAAAAATCAATGGAATCCTTGATATAAAACTAGATTCTTGCATGTAAACCTAAAGAAACACTCACCAGTATGCTGAGCTCGAAGACGCACTGATCGGGAATGTAGTTCGCCGAGAGCAGGAGCAGGCGGAAGCAGGTATCCACGACATCGCCGCGCTGACCCAGCAACTCGGCGCCCAGCGATGGCTTCGATTCATTGAAGGTGTGCGTCAGATTGATCAGTACCTTGAGCACCGGGACTAGCAGCTCGCGCATAACCACGCCCGGATGCTCCTTATTGCTACCTGGACAGTCCATCGATGGATGCAGCATTAGCTGGCTACAGCACAGCCGGTACAGCTGGCAAAGCGTCTCCACAGCACGGCCCTGTCCAAAGGTGAGCATGTAGCGCTGATTCGCCTCATTGTGCTGCGTGACATTCTCGAGGACTCGCAGGCAACGGGCCACCGTCTGCATGTTGTCCAGGAGCGCCGGCAGCCACGATATCTTCTCGGGTTCGCAAGTAATCACCGGTCGGCAAAAGTCCGAAATAGTCTTGATAATGTGCTCCAGTCCGCCCAATTTGCGCAGATCCTCCTTGAACCATTCACCCGCCCGCTTAGAGGTGAGCGAAAGCAGCGTTTCCATGGCCAGTGTGCCCACTGTTAGCGAGTCCACATTGAGATGGGTGCCCTTGCCCTGTGCCTTGATCTCCTCGCAGAGCTCACGCACCTTTTGCTTGTTTCGCTCGTAGCCGGCTCGATCCGTGTGCCCGACCTGTGTGCCGCCGCCAACACCATCCGCTTCTAGCAGGTTAATCATCAGCTCCAAGGAGTCGCGATCCAAGTCCATGTTAAGGCCCTCCTGCGACAGAATGTACATAATGGCCGAGGTGCATAGGCCCAGGCTGAGGTCTTTGTTGGCATCGGATAAGGCCTGTTGTAAATAAGGAAAGAGAAAATATTTCCACTTTTAACTATTTCCAAAGTTTCATGATGATTCAAATAATTTCTTGACTATTTTCTTAAACAATAAAATTACGAAAAAGCACACATTTTGACCGTTTACATGTACAACTATCCCCTCTTAATCCCATATCCCTTTATACAGCCTGGATTGTTTACTCTTTATTAAAACGTATCAAAATACGCTCAAAGCGAGCTCAGTTCGGGTTACTGCCAGTAAAGGAATCAAATGATACTCGAGAGCTTTCTGTAGGCATTAGCAATTATCGGATTCTGATAAACAATTATTTGTTTGCTCAGCAAATCGGAGAATTCCGCCCCGTCGACTCACTCACTCATTTCTCTTTATGAAACTAAAGAAGTCTAAATAAGCAATAAACAAACGTTTGCCAAGACTAGCAATTTGGCGTACAGCTGTTTTCAGGGAATTGAAGCAGATTTAATATGAAACTCACCTTGAAAAACTTGGTGACCACGCCGTGCGCACGGACATGCATCCGAAAGGCGGGCATCATGCATTTGGCGGCCAGCTGCAGGGCTGAGAGGCATCGCGTTGCCGGCGGATTGTGCGGTTGCAGGGCATCCAGAATATACTCGACATCATCGTCCATCTCCTGGTATTCGCCAATCTCCTGAATTTGATGCGCCGTCTTTACATTCCGCACCACGGTGTAGTAGTCCTTGGTCTTGCGATCGACACGTATGGGCCCGCTGCCGCCACTGCCGGCAGCTCCTCCGCCAGCAGCTGCTGTGCTTGTTCCGCCAGTAGCTCCGCTTGCCGTCGATCGCTCTACACCCAGTTCCTCTGGTCCCGTTTCCAGGTCCAAGTCGAAGGCATCTACTCCTGTGGCTGTGCCGGTCGGCACTCCCTGCTTCCCCGCCAGCCGCGAGATCTTGCCTAATGCTGGACTATCGCCGCGCAGCGTGGACACACTGCTGCCGCCGCTTGAGGAGCCATTGTTGTTGGACGAGGGACTGTCACCAAAGTCGCCATCGGATTTGCCCGCCGCCAAATGATGCAGCAGGTGATCCTTGGCCCCCGGCACACCAGCGCCCGAAGCCGAGGCGTTGCTGGCATCACTGCCCGTTCCACCGCCATTTGCCTCTAGAGCCGCATCCCAGCTGTGCTTGTACAGATGCCGTTTGGCCACAGAAGCTTGCTCCGCCTGGTCGGATGGCACCAAAGCGCGGCTCTTGAAGATGCTGCCCTTCTTTTTCGAGATGACCAACTTGACGGCGCCACGCTGCTCGCCGTAGGCTTCCGTTTCCGTCGTTACTCCAGTGCCTGCCGTTGCTCCCGCATCTCCCGCTACCGCTGCCGCCGCTGCTGCTGCTGCACCTGCCGCTCCGGCATTGGCAGCCACCTGCGAGTCTAGGGTCAGGGTTCGCTTGAACTTATCCTTGAACTTGAAGTCGCGCGGCGGGGGCGAGGAGGAGGAGCCGTCGTGCTGCATCGAAGAGTTGTTAGAGTTGTTAGACAGATCGTCGGGATCGGGATCTGGGTCGTGATCCGTCGGCGAGTGGTCTCTGTGCGGGATCTTGGCGGGCGTAGGCTGCTCTTCCTCGCCCTCGGGCGTTTCCTCTTCCTGATCGGCTGCCTGATGTTGCTGCTGCTGCTCTTCCGGCTGCACCTGGACCACCTGCTGGTTTTTCCGCTTTCGGCCGTAGCTGCGTGGTGGTGCTGCTCCCGTTGCCACCGCTCCACTGCCCTCCGCCAGGCGACTGGCTTCGTCCTTGGCCTTGGCAGACAGACTTGCGGCTATCTTGTTGATGTTGTTATTGATGCTGGCCGAATTGTTGTTGTTGGCCCGGGCGGCGGCATTGCGGCCTCTCCGCGGCAAGGGTTGCGCCGCTGCCTGGTCCGCCTGCTCCTCATTCACCGCCACCACCGCAGCCGCTGGAGGCTCGTCCACTTCCATGTCCGCCTCCGTCGTCGTCTCGGCCTTCTTCGACCCCCGTGTACCTCGCGTGCTCCTCTTCGGCGCCGGTGGTGAAATGGCTGCCGCCGTGGCTGCCGCATCTCCTCCTTTAGCCCTGCCTCGTGTTCTGGTCTCCGTGGCCGGAGGAGGTACTTCTACGTTGTTATTTGCCTTCCTGCCCCGCCCGCGCGTGGCTCTCTTCGGCTGCTGCTGCTCCTCGTTGGCAACGGTATCTGTGCTGCCATTAAGGCGTGGCACCTCGCCACGCAGCACGGCCAGTATGTCCTCTTGGAGCGGCGTTTCGGGCAATGCTGTCGCTGTCGCCGCTCCCGTTCCAGTGCCATCAATGGTCATCATCATGGATTCCAGGCGCGACTCAATGTCCGAAGGCGGGGCCACTAACGACGAGTGCTGGCTCGTCTCCAAGTCACTGGTGATGACACTTGATCCTCGGCTGCGGATCACACAGCTGTCCTCCTGCACCGCCTGAGCCAGCAACTGGGGCGTGCTGTTGCCCTTGGAGGAGATGCTGCCCAGCACCGAGGACTGTGAGTCAAAGTCGTGGTCAGAGCGCGTTGTGGGCGATATAACCGCGGATCCCCGCTGCGGATGGAGATGATGATGATGATGCGGATGCGTCGTATGCGTTTGCTGTGCCTCGCTAAGGGCCAGATGAGGTGAAGGCGTCTTGAACTCCGAACTAATCTCAGCGGGCGTGGTGGTTCCTGCCCCAGTAGCAGCTGATCCTGATGCCAGCAACTGCTTGTGCTTGTGCTTCTTGCTTTTGGACTTTTTCTCACTGCGCGACTCCGCGGCAGCGGCTGCTTTGGCAATGGCGTTGCGGATTACGTCCGTTTTGATGATCAACTTGAGACGCTCCTTAGGCGGCTTGTCGGGTGATATTTTCACCGTGCAGTAGTTAATCTCCGGCGGCTCCTCCTCTTCTTCCTCCTCCTCCTCCTCCTCGTCTTCCTCGTCCTCGTTGTTATCCTGAGCCTCGGCAGCAGTCGCTGCTTCCGTCTCTGCCGCTGCTGCTGCTGATCCCTCCGCTAAGTCCGGCGGCCTCAGGGGCTTCACAATTATTTTTGGCGTGCTTGCAGGAGGAACTGTTTCGTCTGCGCTTCGATCCGCCGGCTCCGGCTCCGTGGCCAGCTGCTGGTTGTAGTGAGCGGGCGAGTTGCTCGGCGGCTCCTCGCTATCTGTGCTGACCAGGCGGGATGTGCCCTGCAAATAAATGGTACTTTTAGTTGGCTTTTCCAATGGGGACGCCGCTGCAGGTGCGCGCCGCCTCTCACTTGCTAACTAAATATCTGGCTGGAAACTGAGACTGCCTGCGACTGACACTGACTGGGAGCAGAATACAGAATAGGAACTACGAAGCCGAGGCGATGTCGCGATTCCCACTAATTAACACTCCACTGAACCGAACCGAACTGAGTAAGAAGCCACCGACGAATGCCGAAGAAAAGCAGGCCAAAGAAAAGTAAAGAAAAGAAAAAGGAAAAATGCGAAGCGAGGAAAAGAAGACGGTTGAAGCGTACGACATAAACCAACAACTCATAAAGCGGAAGAGAACGCGAGTGCGAGAAGACAAAGAGAGAGAGAGAGAGAAACTCGACTCGACTTCCATGTAAAAGCGCGCGTAATTTAACACTGCCTTGTTGTTGCTGCCCATGTTTCGCGCGCTTTCTCTTTCTCCCGCACACACTCACATCCGGACAAGGGGGAAAGGAGAGTGAGTGTGAGGGACAGAGAGAGAGAGAGAGAGAAAAAGAGGAAAGCAGCAGCTGGAATTGAGAGCAATCTAGCAGCAGTGTTAGGGATGGGAAAGGGGAGAGACCGCGATCGCACTAGAAAAACTAACGGTTGCACTTGGGAAATTGTTTGCTGGGTGAAATTTACCGAGACAGAGCGAGAGGGAGAAAAAGATACGGAGATATGTAATTTGAAGATTTACAATAAAAATATATTATTTAACAAATTTAAAAAAAAGCCAATTATTTATAAAATATCTTACAATAGAAAATATTATTTAAACAAAAATTAAACCTGATAAATTATTAAATATATTTATAATATTAAAATAAATCGAGGCTTAACGTCCTTGGCAAATAATATTAAACAAAAAAAAAATATATATATTAATAAATTAAAGAAAATCGAAGAAATCAAAATTTAAAAAATAAATAAATAAATACAAAGTTAAAACCATATCCTTTTTGTTCTTATTGAGAATACAAAGTATACAAGCAGGGTATTACCAATTAATTCGCAGACTTAAGAAATTAGAGGAAAAAAACTAGACCTTCAAGGGATTTCAGGGCCGAAGCTAACCAAATAGCAAGGGGAGAATCGCTTCACTCACCTTGGAGATACGCAACACTATGGGAGGATGTTCCGGGGTGCGGGAAGCGCTTGGCGGGTTGGATGCGCCGGCGGACAGTAGGGGTATCGGGACCGTGACAGCACTGGGCGCCGACGTAGGCGGAGGTAGCGCCGGTCCAGACCCAGGGCTGCCGGCCGTCGAGGAGATGAAGGCTTCCGAGGTGGCGGTGGCGGTTGCTGACGCTGAAATGGCCGCCGCTGAAATGGCCGCCGCTTCTGCTGGACCGCGAGACCCCTTGGGAATGATCAGATCCTTGGTAGGCGTGGGGTAGCGCTCTTCCTCGTCCACCTCACAATAGTTGACCGCCTTGCGGGCGCGACCCAGGATCCGTGACGGTGGCGCCTCCGGCTTGAGTTTCTTCTCCTCCTTGGGTTTCTTCTTCTTGGCCGATGCACTGCCACGCGGCTCGTCGCCCGGCTCCGGCTGGTCCGAGGGATCGCTTAGGCCCTCCTTATCCCGATCCCGCTCGGAGCCGCCGAAGAACGCACCGGGCGTCGTAGGCGTTGCGGCGACCTTCTTCTTGGGCGACTTTCGCTTCCGCTCTGCGGAGCTGCCGCCCTTGCCCAGTTTCAACTTGAGGCCACCACCGGCCTCGTGGGTTCCAGAGGTGGGCGTGGCGCCGCCACCAGCCGATGCTTGATCCCGCATGGGCGATGCGCCCGCGCCGCAGTGTGGCAGCTGCTGTATGATCTGGGCAATGACCTCTGGCGGGGCGGCATTTCGCGACTTGAAGAACTTCTTGGGCTTCGGCGGCTCTGGCACCGAAACGGAAAGATCGTTGGGATCGTGGTCGTGCGTGGAGGCTGGACTCTGGGCGGGACTGGCGGCCGCAGCAGCCGCCGCCGCAGCCGCTGCCATCGGATGCAGGGCGGACAGTGTGTAAGTGCGTGTTGAGGTGAAGCCCATTTTGCCCCATTTGCCCACAGTGCCCACCGATCGGGCGACGGTCGGTCGGTTGGTGTTCTCCTTCTCCTTGCAGAGCGAGTCCAGCGGCACCACTATATTCTTGCCCCAGCGCGACATCTTCGGTGTTGGCGGGGTTGGTTCCTCCTCCTTCCTGGTATCCTCACTCACTTCCGGTTTATGGCTCTAATCCTTGGCAACCAGATCTCTGCAAAGGATTATAATCAGTTATTTATTCATATTTAAGAAATAGAGATGAGCTCAAACATTTCGCTCAAGGATTTGATAGCTTGCCAATAGCCAATAGTGGACAGGGCTGTTTTTTTAACTCAATTTTTTTTAACTCAAATTAAGTTTGGAGTACCGGTTAGGTTCAACTGCTAAACCTCCAAAAAGTTTTAAACTCCTTTATTATTTGCAGTTTGAATGTCACTTTTACGAAATACGAAGCTGTACAAATCGAATATTTCGCCAGTAAAGACTTGAACCAAAATAAAGAGCCCTGAAGCTTCTATTAATGTATTAAATCCTGGCTTCCGAATGGCGAAAATGGCTTTCCGCGAGCATGGAGCAGGATAATCCCAGCTAGAGCCCAACATATTTATTTAAGTAATCCTGTTTAAGCGCAGTAAGGACAGTTTTTGTTGTATTTTTAGGCAAACTAGTGAGCGATTTGTTTGGCTCGGGGCAGAGCAGAGCGAGAAGTGCAGCAACATCAAAACACAACAAACGAGCGCGGCCGCAAGGACTCGGCGGGTGCGAGCGAGCACACAATACTGCGCGCGCTCAAACACACACACAGGAGAATGCGAGCGATTTCCAATTTTCCCATGCAATCTCTCCTCAAATCGAGTCAAGACCAAAATCATAAACAAACAATTTGTTGCACTTTGTTGCTGCTGCTGCTGCTGAGGAGGCTGCTGCAATTGCTGAATTACTGAATCTTGTGCGTTGCACTGGGGAACTCACCTCAAGTAATTCATTTGACTGCTCTTTGTTTTTGTTGTTTTGTTATTGTGCCCCGTTTGCTGCGTGAATGCATGTGGGTGTATTTGTGTGCGTGTGTCTGTTTCCGTGTGTGAGTGGTCAAAATCTCTGTTGCCGCAGCAGCGCATATGTATGCACATGCGTGTGCGTCTCTCCGCGGGCCCTCTCAGCGTTTGTGTGTGTGCGGAATGCAATAAAACAAACTATGTTTGCGTTTGCTTTTGCTTATTGGCGCAATTTTGTGGCACGCACGAAACTGTTCGATATTTTTGTGGGTGCACGAACTAAATGCGATGGCAATGGTGCCTCATCATCTACACCATTATTGTCACCAGGTCTGCCAGTCCGACAATCATCCCGCGTTCGCTGCACATGCAACTGCCACTGCAGTCCCGTTGCACACACACACGCACGTATTTGTTGTATTTGCCACCACTTTTACTTTGCTTTACAGCATCATCCCAGTGGCCAGTAACAACAACAACACAATCACAAAACACCAATACGACCAATACAAGCAACAACAAAAACAACAGTACGGCCACAATTATAGCTGCTGCTGCTGCTGTCCGTTCTTCTTCTTCTTCTCCTGCGAATCTTTGATTTTGCGTTTGCTGCTTAAAATCCGGCTACGCGCACTGGCTTAATTAACGCGACGGTCGGCGGGGCATTGCCGCTGGCTCAATTAGGATCTTTTATTGGGTTTTACACGAACGAAATGCACGAAAAAGTTTATTTTCACTGTTTTTTGCAGAAACTACGAATTAGTGGGACCGATTTTGGCTGCGGAATTTACGTGTGCTTCCTCTTGCTGCAGCGAAAGTGTTGGTCAGCGACGCAGGGTTGCACAGCGTCGATAGTTGTCCGCTAGGGGGCGCCCATGATGGCGCGGGGTTTTTTAAATTGAAATTGAAATTATATGAAGTAAGAATAGTCAAATTATAAAAAACAATAAAGGTAAAACAATAAGGTTAAAAAAATAAGGTTATTTTTTTGATTTATTATATTACAAACACGTATTAATAACGTTTAGGACCCGTTTTTTCCTAAATTTAAGAGCATTTTTTTTCTTGATTTAAGATAAAATTGATTAACTTTTTGGGTAAAAACCATGTAATGGCACATTTTAGCACATATTTAATTAATTTATTTATTTAAAAGCACAAAAAAGTACACATGTACTTCCACATCATGTTAGAACCAGTTGGGAATTTTATGCGCAAAAATATAAGATTTGTCTTCAACAATTTTTGGGCGAATTTTCCCATTCAAATATTTTTGTTTATCATTAATGTGGCACTTTCAAGCAGCACTTGGATTGATAAAAATTCCTAAAATCCCAAATCAGTCCAAGTATTTAGTTTCGAGAGCATTTTTAAAATTGTATTTACATTATTTAAAAGTGATTGCTTCAGTAGACTCGCTCCTTTACTTTGAACATTAGCGGGTCCTTGGTGCGCAGGATCAGCTCTGCGATCAGCACCGGCGGCTCTGAGGCGTCCCCGATAAAGTCCACCTCGTAGTGGCGCAGAACATTGGCCACAATGGCCTTGATCTCCAGCATGGCGAACTTCTGGCCAATGCAGTTCCTTGGTCCCGCCGAAAAGGGAATGTAGGCATAGGGATTGAGCTTCTCGGCCGAGGTGACCACATCGAATCGCTCGGGCTTGAAGCTGTTGGGCTCGCTGAACAGTTCCTCGCGTCTGCCCAAGTACAGGGGAGATATGCCGATATTGGTGCCGGCAGGGATGAGTTTTCCATCTAGAAATAGGGAGAAGAATTCCATTAATTATAATTTTACTTTTCTTATATTTTCTTCACTCTCACTTATCTCACAATCCTCGAGCACCTTTCGGCCTAGCAGGGGCACCGATGGATACATCCGCAACGTCTCCTTGACGCACAGATCCACATAGTGCAGCTTGTTTAGCAGCTCGTAGGTGACCGGCGAGCTCTTGTCCTGGCCAAACACAGAGCGGATTTCCTGGACGCAACGTGCCTGCGCCTCCGGATGCGTGGCTATGTTATAGAAGAAGAACATAAGGGCCGAGGAGGTGGTGTCGTGGCCCTCGAACATGAAGGTATCCACTTCCTCGCGTATATCCAGATTGGTAAGTGGCCGCTCGTCGATTGTCGATTGCAGCAGGATGTCCAGGAAGGCCATCTTGCGCTTTGCACCCACATCGGAGTCCTTCTCGATGGCGCTGCCTTCTTTGGTGGCGGCAGCCCCACGGATCAGCTCCTCGCGCCGCTGCACTATAATCTTCTCCGTGAACTGATGCAGCACGTCCAGGGCCTTTTTCTCGGCCCGGGCCAGTGGTGTGAGCATGTAGGTCAAGTCAAAGCGATAGAAGATGTTGAACATGCGCTTGTGCAGCACCATCGATATGGTCTTCACCGCCTGGACATACTCCGAGTCGGCGTTAGTCTGGGCATTGATGGACACTCCCATGGCGGTTTCTGCAATGAAAAGATAAGTATAAATATAAGAAATATAGAGACATAATTATAAACTATATAAAACTATTATAAACTAATATTCTGCAGATGAAACTCCTACCGCAGATCGTGTCCATGGTGCAGAGATTGATCCAATCGTAAAGGGCAAAGCCGGCATTGCCATGCTTGACACGATCCCGCTCCATGTTGAGCAGCAATTCCCGTGATCCCTTCTCAAAGACATCGACAAACTGATCGAGGATCTTGAAGTGAAAGGCGGGCGTGATGATCTTTCGTCGCTTGTGCCATTTGCGTCCTCGGCTGACCAATAGGCCCTCCTTGAGCCAGGGCTCCAAGGCCTTATACTCGCCAGCCTTGTCGTTGAAGCGCAGGGTGCCCAGCACCACCTCGACATCCTTGGGATTGGCCATCAAGACGTTCAGCTCGGGCCCCAGCCAGACTTTGAGGGTCTCATCCTTGGCATACAAATCCATGAATTCGTATATCGTTTGGACCAGCATATGCGGCGGCTTGCCAATGAAATGGTGTCCATGACCGACCAGCGGCAAAACCGGCGGACCCGGCATGTAGCTGGTCATGTCGATCAAACGCTTGAACTTTAGCTGGTAGATCAGCAGGGCCACGAAGAGGGCGCTGGCCAGGATGGCTCCGATGATCAGGAACATAATAGCGGCTTCTTTTTCGCTCAGTTTTTTTTTTTCAACAATCTCTACGCTTTGGTCGCGCAGGAACTACTGATCTAACAACGCAGTGACCATGGACATGAAAGTCAACACGGATACTTCTATAAACATAAATTATCCGCGAGGGAATGCACTGGGAGAATGGGGGGGCTACTTAAGGGTAGCAATTGAAAGAAAGAAAATTGCTAGCAAAATTTTTAAAAATATTTGTATCTTAAAGATACAATCAATATAAGCACAACAACATTTAAAACTAAAGCAGATAACTATTTTTATTGTTTGAATTTGTAAGTAATTTAAAAATTAATATTAATTTAATAAATTTTTTAAAAGTTGGTAGTAAAATATTCAGATTTGCAAATATTTAATATGTATCTTAAAGATCTTTCAAATTTGAAACTAAAGCTTAAAAATATTTATTTTTTTATTTTATAAACTAGGACTAAAGGAATTTTAATTAAGAAACTAACCTGCGAGTTCTTACGCACCCTTCTGCACCTTATTTCTTCGAGTGCAAGCGGGCAGCTGATGCTAATCGGCGTGGTTATATCTAATCGCGCTGTCGAAGGCGAAAGTTACTAAGCCCCCGGGTCCCGGATCCCAAATATCTTATCACAAGTGCAGCTGTATTTAGGCTTTTATTGCGGCGAGCTAGATTTGGACCTTGGCCAAATGTTTGAATAGGTTCCCCCCTCTGGATTCTTGGATTAGTATGCCACGGTTATCAATCTGAACATTTAATAATTGTACCAATCGGTATTTAAATATAAAAACCATATAAATTAAGCCTAATGCTAAAAAAAATTAAATGAACTTTTGTCCTATTTCGTAAAACCCATATTAAAATTATAAGCTTTTAGAACTTAATATATTTACCTATTTTATATATTATTATTGATTTTAAAAGGGTTATTTAACTAAACACCTACAACTCACCGCAAATGGCGTCCAGGGTGCACAGGTGAATGGCCTCGCCAAGATTGATTTTCCCTGATCCGTTGGCTTCCATCTGCCCGACGAGCTGCCGGGATCGCCGATCAAAGATCTCTACATAGGCCTCAAGCACCCGGAAGTGGAAGGCCGGCGTTATGATCTTGCGTCGTCGGTGCCACTTCCGTCCGCTGCTCACCAGCAGACCTTCGTTTAGCCAGCGGCCCAGGAAGGAGTATTCATGGGACTTAACCAGCAGCTGGGTGCTGCTCAGCACCCGTTCCACGTCGCGAGGATTGAAGAGCAACACGCTGAAGGATTTGGGGCCAAGGAACAAACCGAAAGTGTCGCCATAAATTTCCGCCAGCTCGCCCATCCGTTGGCAGGCCTCGGCAGGGGTTAAACCCAAAAAGAGATGGGCATTCCCCAGCAGTGGCAGCGGCAGTGGGCAGGGAATATTCTTCATGATCTTCAGGAAGCGAATCATCTGCAGGAGGAGGATCCCTGCCAGCAAGAGGAGTGCCAGAAAGAGCCACATGCTGGAGATGTCTTAACCGATCCGATCCCTTGGAGAATGTGCTATCAACTGTCTGGGGATTTGAGCTAAGCCCGGCTGCTTCTTATCAGCAGCAGCAGCTAAATATAGCCTCTGGAGAGGCTTGATCTTGTCTCTTTAGAAACCAAAAATTCGGGAAGAGAGAGAAGAAAGCGATGCCTCTCGGAAAACTAAACGAATAACAATTTTCAAGTTCAAATCTACGTCATTGTTGTTTGTTTGTTTGCTGGCCGAGTGGGAAGGCCTAAATATAGAGCCTCCACTGGCCAAAAATAGATTGGGCCATGTGGCTGTTGTGACGTCAGGATTGGGCTCAGGTGAGAGCAGGATGAGTTGAGGCTTGAATGTAAACAACTATCTCGCTGGAATACCGGGGTAGATGGTTTGTTTATATAAAATCAGCTCACTCAATCATCTCGAGAGCGATCTCTGGACATCTCTCAATCGGTACAGTAAATACTGGAGCTTTCTTTATCGCCTCAGTTAGTGAGTGAAGTCAACCCCAGGCACCGACCAAAATGACAGAGAGATTTCTGCCAGCTAAGGATGACTCGGCAATCGGAAATCAGACTTTGATTGCAAGTCACTGAATGGAAGGAAATAAATAAACAGTATAATGTTATAGAGTAAGCCGATAAGATATTTTAGGAGGTTTAGGAGTAATAAGGAATCTTCCGTGTCCCCATTAGTTAAAAGGATAAGTGTCCCAAGGTACTCACGTGGGGTTTTTATTTTTAAAATTTTTAACGAATTTATTTATTTATAAGTAATTTAGTTTATTTTTCATTAATTATAATTAACTACAATTAACGTTTTGATTTAAAGTTATGGCAATTAAACAATGCTGAAAAAGCTGCATAAATGCAAATTCCCTTTAATTAACTGCCTGTAAAAATTCCATTTTATATAGTCCCTCCTTCAGTGCGTTTCAAATCCGTATTTGGCCGCACTTTTCCGAACATCTTTTCAGCATCTCTGACCTTTATGGCCAATTCGGATTGAGAACATTTAGAAATTCCCATTTGGCAGCCGCAGCTGATTCACCCGGGATCCGCATCCCAATCAGAAACACACATGCACAGTCGCCCACACGATCTGCTGCGTACCAGCATATATGTATGTATATATTTATACTATATATAGCTTATATCGGGCTATATAGTATACGCAACAATGGCAACAACAAGTAGGCGTCCTTCGACCATGCCAAATTCCAAAATTCTTGCGTCGCCTCTCGCCGGTCGTCGACATCGACGTCACTGGCTGTGTTCTGTTCTCCGGAGAGGCAGCGGCGCAAGGAGAACCTCCTGCCCTCCGGAACGTAAATATTTACACATGTCTTACAAGAGCTGGCAATTTTTCGCTGTCGGATATACAGCTTATGGCTAACGGAATGGGGAATGGGGTTTTGTGTGCGTTGGAATTTCATTGGCATTTTTCAGTTTTTCCCATTTTCATTTCCAATTTTGGCGCATTTTCATTGCACATCACCACCGCAAGTCGACAGTTCAATGAGGTTACATGCGGGGAAACTCGTAATAAATTGTAGAATAAATTAAATGAGTTAATATATTAATTAATAACAAATTTATATTTTTTATATATTTATTTAAAATTATTTGTAATATATAAACTAGGAGTAACAAAAATGTTCAAGTGATGGTTTGATAAAGCAACTGATCGATTAATGCTTTATAAATAACGATTTAGTTGTAACGAATCGATTAATATAATCAATAATCGATAGTATGATAAGTTAATATATTAATTAAAAATAAATATATATTTTTAAATTTTGTTAATGTATAAATTAGGAGTAAAGAAGAAAATGACCTCGTAAATGATCGATTAACTCTTTATAATTAACGATTTCGATTAATAAAATCAATAATCGATTGTACAAAGTAGCATATTTTGGGCTAAACCAAAACGTATTGACAACATAAAATTGGTCAACCCTAAAACTAGCATTATAAGTAGTTCATATAGTTTCCTTATTTTTAAATATATACAAATTATAATAATCGATTAATTTCTGGACCCCTCACTAGTCAGGAAGGCATATGTTTTAGGCTCCGCTGCAATGGCTAATGGATCAACTCCGGAGAGAGCACTACATCATAACAATAAAAATAATGGCAATTTGGCAGCAGCGCACAATTTGCGTCAAAAGAGCACTTGCCCACTTGGCATCTAGTACACAGAAATATATAGAATATGCGATGGAACCAAAGCGCGCAGCAGATATATAATACTTTCGAAATACCAAAAGTATTAGCACGAAAAGGCAGATGTACATATTCCGCAGTTATGTCAAGCGGGCTTTCGGATAATAGTAATTCAAGTCATTTCAAAAAGTATTCGATACTCAGGAAGTACTTGGGTTTTCAATAAAGAAAATGCGTCTTCTAGACCAGAAAATTCATTTAAATGTGCTCTGTATTTTCTTGTTTTTCATTTATTTATTTGTATTTTTTATTTATTCGCTTGCCTTTACTTTTAATTACCTAATATTTCAACACCTTACCTATTACAAATTACTATTATTTTGACCGCTATTGTAGGTGACTATATATAGACCTAAGGATGAGCCATCTTTTGCGCCACAATGCATGCCCGGACTAATAATACAGCATAATAACAATAATAAAACATATGATTAAGCAGATGCTGCGTATGCGCAATTTTTCCTGCCATTACGTATACGCCGCGTTGTCAAAAAAAATAACAAAATAACTTAATTGGTAAAGGAAAACAGCCGCGGTCAGTTGATGACCAAGTAAGGCAATATCTTATTACTTGGCCCACGGCAAAAATAAAATTGTAAACAAATATTAATAAATTGTGACATCCCCATGATGAATCTGGGAAGCAGATGAATCATAGAGGAGGGCTACCCCTCAGCGCTTTGGTAGTTGCTCTCAATTTTGGGCTATTTTCACAAATGAATACAACTAATTGTTTGAATTACACATTATAATTTCGTTTTGTCGACGAATTCCCCTTGCAGCTGACGGAAAGTGATCTAAAGTGTCGTGTTTTCGACCTGGTAACTGGGCTGAAAGAGTAAATTTGGCTATATTGGGTGCACAGTTTGATTTAAATAATAATTAATATATTTAATATTAAACTATAAAATAAAGAACTTGGTTTGAAGGCTTTTCCTATGCAAAGAAGAACTTTTTTATTTAAGTAAAATTATGTAAAAGTCAGCAAAAATAATAATAATATTTATATGTAATTTAGAAATGTATTTAAGAAGTTATTTCTGTTTATTATAAAATATTGTTTCAAGCTTATTTGTATTTATATTTGAATTTATTTAAATTTAAAATTGTATTTTTAGGTAAACTTACATTGGAAAATAATACTTGTACATTTTTATTTATATATAATAAATGAGTGTTTATATATCTCCTATAAGTTTTATTATTTATTAATTATTATTTACCCCTCCGGTCTTTCCAAAATTTCATTTTAGAGGCCAACTGATGATGCATTATCCCTTAAATGCGGAACTCATTGGAGGCTTATTCCGATGGCAAAATACTTAATGCGAAAATATATAGCAAGTGCCACGGTGAGGCCTGATTGACTCTTCATTACTGACAGCCCGACAGATCTTTCAGCGCCCCGCCATATCTATCTGATAATTTATGCTAAGCATTTTGCGATTATTTAGACGACTTTTCCTCGCTGCCTCGGATGCAACAGGAAATTGCTCAGGCGAACGCATTTTCATTCATGAGTTGATCTTATTTATGTGCTGTGGTGCCGGTGCCAAACCCAAAAGCCCAAAAACGACAGCCAATAGCTGTATATAGTGGCACCCACAGCACACACACGTGCAGCAGGGCGGTTGGCATGCCATATAATTGCCACCGCCATCGCGTCGCAATGCCTCGCCATGCACTTGTGGCTGTCAGCCAAACATGCAACAATAACAAGCGAGTGGCAATAGCTGTAATCTGATGGTGGGGCAGAGTATCCTCTAAGCCCTCAGAATGGCTTTCTTGTCAGCCTTTACGAGCCTTTTCCGAGGTTTTTCCGAGCCCTTTTCGAGCCTTTTCCGAGCTTTAAAATGTCCGATTAATGCTTACTGAACGCTGGTGAGAGTTAACCCTAGGAATGTAAATATATCGAGGGGAAAACTCTATCTCTCTTGATATTACATCAAAAGTATCGTTAACTTTGATATATCGAATTTTTAAATATCGAAAAGTATCGCAGTTAATGCTAAAATATCTATGTTATCGAAAAATATATATAACATGTTTATTGTATCTTTTTTTCCGATTAAATTATTTCGATATATCACACAAAATAACGAATTGTGGCACACATATTGCTATTTTAAATAATCAATTTATTTAAATTTTTGTGGCCTAACCAGACTCCGGGGTTATCTTACCTCATGAAATGATCTTTTTCTCTGATCAAAATTAACCAATATACCCTTTGGCGATGAGGACCCGGAGTAGAACCCAGCGAACCCTCTCGTATGCGAACAATGCAGTCGAATTTGTTTAATTAGCGGAATAAACTCATATATTAAAGATTGGCGGGCCGGGTGGACTCAGTCTTCGGCTGACAAGCCAAGGCAGCTGGGCACGCGCATTTCGATGGCACTTCACAACTGGGATTTGTGGGATTCTTGGATTCTTTGCTTGTGGAATATATACCCGGGATACACCGGGACAACATAAATATATATAAATAATAATTAATAATATTGCATTATCACAAATGTTGAATCTTTTGCTTGTCGAAAAAAGAAATATACTTTTAATGTTCTCAAGGCAGTCCACTATATTTCTACCATCTTCGTCAACTCTGGCTTAATAAGTACTAAGAATACATGTCATAATAAGATTATTATAATATAATTTAGAGTTTAATTTATTAGTATCCTCTTCTTTCTGTGCAGGCGCCTGCCTCTCCTTTGCAAGCTGCGTTTCCTTCGCCTGTTGCCGTGCGCGATTTTTGAATGACATCCAAGAGTCGAGATTCCTTTCGACGATCAGCGCGTTACATGAACCGGCGGTCGAAACGAGACCCAACCATCAGCATGCCGTTAGATGGTCGGGTCTATTTCGGGTACCCCCCCAGGCCGCTGCCAAGGAGCGGGGGCTCGGTTCGGACCGCTTCCGGTTTTTCCCCCAAAAGAAAAAAAACCCAAGAGCAATGCCACGGCCGAGCAGAGCGGCACGAGCGGTGACCAAATTCTCACACTTCTTGGCGTCGCACACTGGGCGAAAAAAAAACGAGATCCAGATGTAATGTATAAAGATAGAATTTGTAAATATTTTTTTGGTTAATTTTTTTTAAGGGAAATTAAAATTTTGATCAGAAGAAGACGAAGAAACTTAGGGAAGGAGTCGATCTAGCCATGTCCGCTTGGAAAAAAGATGTACCTATTTCTCTTAATTTCATAAACATTTTTAATTTTTACAATTTTTTATATAATCTGCTGATTTGTTAAAAATCATATTTATTAAAATCCCATTTAAAAAAACATAAAATATATTCGAAATAAAATTAGAAAATAAATTGTACTTAATTTTTTAAAACGTAAAAAAAAATATAATAATAAATAAATATAAAATGAAATATTCCGATATACCCATATGTATATTGATTTTGTTCAGTGTTTTAAATCTCGATATATTTTAATATACTTTCGCTATGGTTTGATATTTTCCTCTCGATAAACTTTTAAGAAACCTCAATGCTAATGAAATATCCAAGTACGATTATTAAGGTTTTTTGCCAAGTGTAGCTAGCTCTCTATCTCTTTCCATCTCTCTATTCTCTGGTGCTACCTTCCTTGTGGCTTCTTGACCGTTCTGTTCTGCGGTCAGAGCCGGATCAGCCAAGCGCGTAAGCTGGTGTTGATTGAAGAGTGACCCCCGACTCCATGTCGGATTCCCAACTGGGATGTGGAGCAGGTGCTCCCTTGAACTGGCCACGAAACCACGGTCCAACTTCTGGGAGTTTCTGCATGGGGAAAACGTTGGTGAGAACGACGGGGAAGGAAAAACGGTCTAAAATTAAAAGAAAATGCAGAGAGCGCTGAGAGTGAGAGCGGCCAGAAAAGCAGAAAATAAGAAAAGCTGTAAGACAGCTGCCGCTGCGATCGCGGGGCTATAAAAAGAAAGAGTGCTCGCTTTCGGCGCTCACTTTTGGTCCCAGCAACCAAACGGCGTGCACCTCTAAGATACATACACATAAAACCCCCACAAGCTATATATACAGCTCGATCAGATTCAAAATCAAACCCGGATCGCAAATAAACGCAAATCACAGACAAAACGTTGAAAGAAAATTTTCTTCTTGGTGTTGGCCTTTTTTTTTTGTCGTGAATTAAAAACAAAATAAACAAAAAAGAAACGGAGAAAAGAATCGTTTGCATTTTGCATTTGTGAGTGGATCGAATTGAAATCGAAACGTTAAAGGAAACGGAAACGGCATAGGAACAGGAAACGGAAGCCAAAGAATCGTCCAGGAATTCCAGTCAGCTCAAGGAGACAAGTTAAACCAAAGAGGAGCTTCTTCCAGTGTAAATACACATACAAAGAAAAACTAAAAGTGAGTGGTAATAAATGGGGAAATCCTTGGGATTAAAGATTCTGATGGATCAAGAGTAAAGCTGGAAAAATATTAAATTTATCGATTGCAAACGAAGCTTTTTCAGCTCCTTTTAGAATATTACATCAAATTCTATGATCAGGCCTGGGTTAGTAGTGTTTAAAGAGTCCAAATTTAGGTTCTATATAATTTCCCCAATAAGGGAAATTAATTTAAAACAACAAATTAGCTGTTGAAATCTTTTTATTAAACAAATTAATCTGTTTTTTAAAGAAGTAAAATGTTTGAAAATATCTTTAGGGATTTTTCTGTAGAATTTCAAATCTTTTTCGTCACAATTTTAGATCCTGTATAATTTCCCCAAAAGGGGAATTTTATTTAAAACCAAAGATAAGCTGTTAAAAGATTCAGTTTTTAAACAAATTAATCTAAACTTTAAAGAAGTAATATGTTGCAAAATATATTCAGGCATTTGTTTGTAGAATTTGAAACCTAGTTCTTCATTCTTTTGATTATTATTCTTCTATTTCCTCTATATATTTTTATCTATACTAATAATATAACTGATAGATTTTTTTAAAAGATTTTATTGGAGTTTACTTAATAGATTTATTTTTAAGAGCTTGAAGACTCTTTGTAATCCCTAAAAATTGGTCTTTGGTAATGGGAACTCAAGCTTAACTTAAGGAAATCAGAGGGGTGGGGGGCTTCATATATGTACACATAATGTGTCGGGTAATTTCCAGTTAATTCCAAATGAAAAAAAAAAACGGAAAAATGGAAAAACGGCAAATGGGCACGAGATGTACCGAATTCCGGTTCGTCTTTCGGGGTCGCATTCGCATATGGCCATAACTGGCGAGGGGCGATCAAAAGTTCAGGTCTAACGGTGTTTTTTTTTTTTGCTTTGTTTTGTTTTTCTACTTCTCTTCTTTACCCGCTCTCTATCTGTTTTTCACTACTGCTTTTTCCCTCTACGTTTTCATCTTTTCTCTAATTTTGTTTTGGCCATTAGCCGTGGGGCTTTACCTTGCTTTGGGCCGGGTCTGGAAATCCGGGGTCTGGGTCTGGGTCACAAAAGAAATGCTAAAAAAAATATGGTAAAAAAGTAAATAAACGCTGTTTGGCAATTCGCCGCACAAGAAATACAAACAATAAAGTCACACACCACACACATTTCCATTGTTACGATGTTGTTTGTTGCTAAATTTAATTGGTTTTCTTTCCCATCGCCGGGCCTTTGTCTCGAACTCTCTTCTCTTTCCCCTGCTTCCAGGCAAAAGTGTTGCGAATTCGCGGTGACAAAAGGCCAAGACTTACCATAAGACCCGCTCTACGGACCAGTTTGCTCCGCCACAGCCGCACTCCAGGCCATTCTTCAAGATCCCCAGCGACATTATGACGGATGTATCGCACGAATTGGGCGCCCTGCGCTTCGTGGTGGTGAGTGTTGTATAGTTTAGTCAACTAAAATTTGTAACAATTCGCTTTAAGGCATTGGGTCAGAGCTGCGCAGAGCTAGAATGTTGAAATTTGTGGCAGCTTCCCAAAAAAAAAAAAAAAACAAAGAATATATAACTCCGATGTTATGAAATCTAAGCATAGTCTGTACTAGCTTCTCTGGTAAATAGATTTACGTCTAGGCCTTTTTGGGAGTTGCTATTACCGGTACAGGTCGACGAAGAACATAAATAATATAATAAATTGTACTTTATTTTTTAAAATATAAAAAGGGGTTTTACATAATTAAGATTGTTAGAAATCAAAATAAAATGAAATTTTCCGATATATTGATACTTTTTAGTGCTTAAAATGTATATACTTCGATTCCATATTAAAATCCAATTCAATAAAAAATATTCGAAAAAATCAAAAATGAATTGTACTTCATTTTTTTAAATATAAAAAGAGATGTAAGCCCCTTTTATGCTTTAAAAAATTAAGTACAATATATTATATATTAAACTTAATATTATATTTATTTATTCTTTATTTAAAGCTAAGAATTGCTTCGAATAAAATGCTAACTAAATAATTATTAATGTTGTTTTTAATATATATATATATTTTAATATTAATAAAATTAATGGGATATTTTACATTTATATCACTTTTATGCAAGCTTTTTGGCTTAAAAACAAGAAATAAACCCATAAAAAACAGAAACAAGAAAAATAATAAAAGTTTTTGATATTTCAATAATCGATTTCAAGGCGATAAACATCGATTAACAAATCCTTCTAGCTTCAGTTGGAATATACAGCAAAGTTTTTATAAAACACAAAGTATAAGGCTAATAACCTTTTTAATCGTAGAAGAATGTTAAATAACTGTAAAAACTAACTTTAAAAATTTATTAAAATAAAAAATTCATACATACGCATAACCAAAATTTTAAAAATAATCTAAAACATAAAGGAAATAAATTATTGGTAATAACATAATGAAATATTTTATTAAAATACAAAATCTATATTTATATGCATAACAAAAATTTGAAAAATAATCTAAAACATATAGGAAACCGTTTTTATAAGGTCTGAAGCCGAATTTTTATTCTAAGAAACTTCTGAGATAAAAAATCTCCACTTGAAATAAAACAAATAGGAAAATGTTGGATAATCTTAACAAATCTGTGGAAAGGGATTTGAATTAAGTTTTTCGTTGGCATCTTTGGAATGCCGCCACACCAAAACTATAAAAAGATACAGAGATTGTATAGTTTTTTCCGTTTCGCGGCACATCTCGTGCGACGAATGCCCGAAAATTATTTATGCGCAGCGCCAAAAACCACAAGAGAGATGCGTGAGGAAAATGGGAAAAATTAAACAAAATGAACAGAACAAAAAAGAAATTAAATAATAGAAAATAAATACTCGTAATAATGCAAATGGCCAGAATAAATGTCAAGCGAAATTCGCTTGCCTTTTGTTATTGCCAAGAAAAATGTTTGCCTTCGTTGCCCGTCTGATGCTGGATCGCTTCCAAACGAGCATGATTAAAAATCATTAGGATCGAAATGATATAAAAGAACGCCCCGTTGTCCGTCCCCCAAACAAAAAAGCAAAACAATAACCCAAGTGTTGTATTTGTTTTAATTTGTCGCCACATGAATTGCCAAAACATACACCCATTTAGCATACGAGAGCAAATTTTCGCACAGCAAATACACAGAAAGGAAAAAGATCAAAACACGGAAAAATTCTTGGCAATGACCATCGTTCGGTTCGAGTTGAAATAGCAATGGTGAATATGCACGACGGCTATACCATATAATATGTATGTTTGTGTATGTATGTATATAGCCCCCGTCTGGGGGTATATAGCGCAGACTTCTCAAGACTGACAACGGCGCCGACAAATAGATCCCGAATAGATCTACCCGCTGCCGAGAGACCACGTAACCAATTCGCCCCGGACTTGGATCCGGACCAGCTGCAGCTGACAAATATCGCCCAGGAACTGCCCCTCGTTCCACATATGTACCACGAATATATATGATATATCTTAAATATATATATACTATATATACCTTGAATAGTATCCAAAGAATGGTATTTAAAGGTTTTCTAAGGAAATGTTGAGTTTGAAATGATTGTAAGCTTGTTTTTAGAGTCCAAAAAAGGGGAGTGGGGAGACTTACTTTATTCAAAAGTTAAATTTATTTTAAAATTACATACTAGTTATAGGATTCTTTTCTTCTCATGTATTCTTATATCAATTAGCTGCTTCAAATCTCTGAAAAAGATATTGTAAGCTTGCTTTTTAAGTCAAAAAAAGGGAATACTATTACTTATTTATTTTCTTTTTTTCGAAAGTTTAAATTAAATTTTGAATAATAGAAAAAAGCTTTCATTTTTAAATTATAAATACTAATATATAGTTAGTCTTTTTTTGTCATATATTATTATATTAATAGTTATATACCTTGAAAAGTATCCAAAGAATGGTTTTCTAGGGAACTGTTGTGTTACAAATATCATAAATTTTAAAAATTAGCCAAAACTTACTTATTTGGAAGTTTAAATTTAATTTCAAGTAAAATCATTACAAAAGCTTTCGTTTTTATTTATAAATAATTGTTATAAGATTATTTCTTATCCATTTATTTTTATATTATTTAATTAGCTGCTTTAAATCCCTAAAAAAAAAAAAAATAATGAAAAACTCCTTCAACTCTAAGGTCGTTGCCTCTTGCATTTTCATTTTCATTTCCATTTCCATTTCCATTGCGTTGAGTGATTTGGCGTACCCTTGTTTACAATATAAATCCCATTTTTATTGCCACCTCAGCTGGAGGAGACTTGGGCTTCCCAATGAAAAATTTCAAATAACGAAAACTAATTTCCATGGACGAATTTATGCATTTTTCCCAGACTTTCACCTGATCATTTGTTTGATTTTTTTCGCTTTTTTTGTTATGTTTTTTTTTTGAAAACTCTCTCACACCGTTGCGAATTCTGGTCGCATTTCATTCATCGTTGGATTTATTTATAAGCGAAAAGCGCTCTTCATATATGAATGAAAATCGTCGCAACTTGATTGACGAAATTTTTTCCCTTTTTTTTTTTTGGATACGAACCGAGTATTGATCAAAGAGACAAATATTCAGAACGTCATTGCTGTGGATGCCAAATAAATTGGTTGAAATTATATAAACATTGCTTTTGGGATTCATTCATGGGCAACTCGATCAGGGACTCCGATCCCACATATCTCACTTTCGGATCGTAAATAATAATCAAATGAGGTAAACAGGGACGAGCGGCGAGTGGCGAGAGAGGGGAGCGGCGAGCGACGAGAGGCAAGCGACGAGTGAGTGGTCAACGGAACGGCTCTTGTGCCGAAAATTGGCAGTGAAGGTCATTCCTGTTTTTCGTTTTTAATTTTCTCTTGCTTTTATTTTAGCCATACGATAGGAAGTGTATATAATGTATGTTTTTTTTGTGTGTTCGTCAAAAGAAGCAGCATCTCCTCTCCGCCTCCCCTCGTTTTTTTGTTTTTATTTATTGCCACGACATTTGCACATTCCTTTTGTACTGGCTCACGGCGCTGGCATCTTGCACTTATTAGATGAGAAATTACACAAAATGTAAGACCGCTGTTATTTAATTGCAACCAATTAATTTTCTCGGGCGAATGTAGAATTCAAAAGTCATTAATTGCGCAAAAAACAGGAATTGTAAATGTCTCTAGGAATTTTTAAACCAAAATTCTGCCTTTTCTTAACTTTTTTATCTTTGTTTTGCTAGAATCAGTTGAGAATTTTAACAAATAAAATGCAAACCCTCTGGTAATTCAAGTTTGTTTAATAATTCAACTAAAAGCTGAATTATAGCAAAACAAAATGTAAACTAATAACTTAAATAAAGATTTAAATTATATTCTTTAAGGTTTAATTAAATTAAATTTAAATTAACCGCCAACATGGCTTGCAGTGTGGCAACGCGGGAAACCTGCTAACTTGCCGAGGGCCTGGCAACGCCAGAAAAGCTTGAAAAATAAAAATATTTTTGATTTCTTTGAAATTAAAAAGCATTTTCTTGATCTTTTGCAGGACTCACCGCTGTCTTCCAAGGTAGCCATGTTCAATAACCAGGCGACGCAGCACAAGCAGTCCCAGCTGCTCAATCCCTTCTCGGGCGACGGGCGCGCCTCCTCGCCGAAGCCGACGTTCTCCAAGGATCAGTATGGCAAACCGCTGGCCGGCAGCCTTACGGAGGCCCGCGGCCAGAAAGCCAACATCCATGTGATGAAGGAGATGCTCGAGCTGTGTCAGATCATCAACTCGGAGGGCTACGATGTCAAGGATGAGCCCCAGATGCGTGTGATTCCCTTCGGCGAGCTGTTCAATGTGAGTTTTGGGACCTTCCCCCCCCTTTCCGATGATCCCAACTGACACAATATTCTTGGCAGATCTACAACTACATCTCCGATAAGGTGGTGGGCATCCTCCTACGCGCCCGCAAGCACAAACTCGTGGACTTCGAGGGCGAGATGCTGTACCAGCGACGCGACGACGATGTGCCCGTCTTCCTGCTGAAGCCCATCAAGGAGATCCGCGCCGAAATGGATGCCAAGATCGAGGATATCAAGCGGGCAGCCAGCCCGGCACCGCCGCAGTCAACATCGGTGCTGATGGATCGCAGTGCCCACGAGCAGAAGCTCAAGTCGCGCACTCCCTCGCCGGCGGTGGGCAAGGGCAAGCCCAAATCAAAGTCGCAATCGCCGGCGGCGCCCAAAACTAAGGAGGAGGCAGCGCCAGCAGATGTTCCGGCTTCAACAGAGGCTCCTTCTGTTGCAGCTCCTGAGGCGGCTCCAGTAGCAACTCCTGTTGCAGCTCCCGTGGCAGCTCCTGTTGCAGCTCCTGTGGCAGCTCCTGAGGCGGCACCAGTAGCAGCTACTGTTGCAGCTCCTGTGGCAACTCCTGTGGAGACCGAGCCAGTTGCTGAGGAGGCAGCTCCTGTTGAGACCAAACCAGTTGCGGAGGCAGCTCCCCTTCCAGAGCCAGCGCCCGCTGTGGTAGTCACAGAAGCTCCGCCTAGCGCCGAGGCACCGCTGCCCCAGGAGAGTACAGAGCAAATACAAGTGGCCCCTGCCATCAGCCCCGCTGAAGCCGCCGCACCTGCCGAGGAGTTGCCCACGATTGTGATCGAAGCCTCTGCCGTGTTTGTGCGCACAGTCAGCGTGGATCAGCAGGCGGATCAGCCGGCGGAGCCCAGTCCGCAATCGGCGCCTGCGCAGCCGGAACAGGCCTAAGGTGCGCCAAGCCATGGCATCGTTGAAAGGAACTCTCGCAACTACTAAAGCGGCAGCTTTAAATTGCAGTAGTTTAGTAAACTTAGTTTAATTTATTATTAATTAGAGAAAAAAAACAAAAAAACACAGAAGACAGAATCGAGAGCGACTACCTATTTATACGTGTATTGTTAGTGGTCGGCCAAAGGAACCATTTCCTCAATTTTATAAATATTAACTTACTAAAATTAATCAAGCGATATGTTAAAATATATAATAAAATACACATAGACACCGTACTGTTGGTGTTTTTATCTCTTTTTCGAATTCGAATTGCGCGGTAAAAGCAATATGGTCACACTTAATCGATAATCCGGGTTCGAGGCCAAGGTGTACACTACCCCAAGGACCCAAACCAATTTATTAGTTTGGTGATAATAAAATAATAATATTAAAAAAAAGTATATATATAATATTAACAATTGGAAATATGTGAATACTCATATCCAAAAAGTCGAGTCATAAATCAAAAATTTAAAAAAAAAATCGAGAGCTCAACTAGAGCAGACACATTTTTATTTGATCATAAAAAAGTTGTACAAAATCTGTAACCACAAAATTTCCAAATAAAATTTCAACAAACAAAATTTTGGAAGTATTAGCCATGCCGTCAAAGAAGAAGAACCGCAAGCCGCGCAACTAACGCGAAAAGAAAGTTAGTTAAAAAATTGGCAACGGGCAGGCATGCGCAATTAGAAATTAGAATTAGAAAACCCACGCCTTATCCGGTCCGGCGCCATCGCGCTCTCAAACTCAAGCTCAAGATTAGGTCTTTATTACAATCAGCTTGCACCCGTAAACCTAGGCTAGTTAAATAAATATGGAAAAATATGGAAAAATCAGTGATCTTTAAGTATAATCCGCCTATAAGAAATAGATTTGGCACTTTCCTGGTAAGAATTCCTTCCCGTTAAAAGGTTTGCTGGATTTTAATGTCACAGATCAGTCGGAGCTCGAAAATAACCGTTAAATATAAGTATTTGTTTTAGTATTATTTTCGGTGGTATTTGAAAATGTTGAAAACATCGATATTGGCTGGTGACTATCGATGTTTTCTGGGCCAGAACGGTCACACCATCTCGGATCCAAAACAAAAATATTTGGCGTTGAGTTAACTATTTCTTGCGGAACACCTGAAGTTCAACCGGATTCGAAATGTCTGCCCTGCGACGCGATGTCTCGCCCATGTTCCAGCGCCTGCGGGCATTCCTCTTGGGCGTGAGTACTCTTTCTATGCCGCACAACAGCCGCTGCGGCAAACTCTTCGTTATGTAAGATGGAAACGAAAAATGTTAATAATCTTGGCATTTGCTTGCAGCGTGAGCACAACCTGGCGCTGCGCTTCGAGGATGGCCTAGCCGATCGTACCCAGCCGCAGCCGGTCCTGCCAGATGGACCCTCGCACCTGTTATCGGCCAATTACTACTGCCAGCGCGATGGTCGTCGCGAGGTGAATCCACCCATCGACCTGGTGGCGCAGCAGAAGCAGCTGGAGGCGGAGGCCGGCGGAGCGGCTAAGGCCTCGCCCGCCGCCCAGCTGCCCACTCCGGGCAAGGTCTACGCCTGGGATTGATTCGCAGCCTTCCGGGCGTGAGTCCTCTTGTATACATTTCTTTTTTTTTGTTGACTTGTAATCTGAGCCGGTTAAAGCTAATATAGAACCCATTCAAATCGAAATCGAGAGAAGAGAGTGTGCTTATGGTCTCTAGGTAGCAATGGAATGTAAAGATCTGGATCTGAGGGGTCTACTAGAGGTTCTACAATTTCTAAACTAAACTCTTTCGGAGCTAAGGTCCCTCCTGAAGGCTTTCAATTTGGACTTTAAATGTTTATTAATCGATTTACCAATGTTTAGTCGGGCTTATAGTTGTTTAACTCTGAGTTTAGGTTAACGATCAGTTAAATTTAATATTTAAACGGCACTTTAACGGAGGGTTAAGTGATAACAGGAAGTGTAAACCTTTTCTAACTTTAACCTGCACTTTAACTAGATGTCAATTGATAACAGGATCTCAGAACCGTTTCTAACTTTAACTTATTCTTGATCTTCCAAATGGGGCCTCTAATCTTACCGCAGAAATCATAATCACTAGATTTAAACGTCACTTTAACCTTTGGTCAATTGATAACAGGAACTCAAGCCTTTCCTAACTTAATGCTCTCCTTGATCTTTGCAAAAAGTGCCTCTAATGGTAATCTCTGGATATACACAATACAAATATTATTTAATTGTAATATTTACAGAGGTCTCCGCTTAAAACTAAGTTAAAAAACAAAACAAAAAAAAAAAAAAGAAGTTAAGAAAATCCCAGTAACCCAGAAGAAGCCGGTTCAATAGACCCGCGGCTTGATGCCAACGTTAATACCCGTGGTGGAGCGCAAGATAAGATTCAGCACTGGCTTGACCTCAGCACCCAAAGGCAGCAGCTCAAAGTGGCGCAGCATCTTGCTGACGGTGCTCTTCATCTCCAGCATGGCGAACTTCTGGCCAATGCAGTTCCTCGGCCCCGCCGAGAACGGTGTGTAGGCAAATGGATTGATCTCTCCCTTGCGCTCCAGGCTAAAGCGTTCCGGGATAAACTTTTCCGGCTCGGGGAAAAAGTCCGGATCGCGGTGGGCGTGGTAAATGAGGATGATAACATCGGAGTTGGCGGGTATGAGCTTGCCATCTGCCAAGGGAATAAAGATGCGCGCGGGTTAGTCAAGTGGCTATTTAAGAGCCTGGATTCGATCTTACCCAGAACGGTGTCCTCGGTGATGTGGCGTCCGATTATTGGCACCGAGGGAAACAGACGCAGCGACTCCTTGATCACACACTCCAGGTACTTCAGCTCACCCAGGATCTTCATGTCGACGGGCGTCGACTTGTCATCGCCAATGACATCCCGTATCTCCTGAAAGACACGCGCCTGGACCTCCGGATGCCGCGACAGCAGATAGCAGGTGAAGGCAATGCTGCTGGTGGTGGTGTCGTGACCCTCGAACATAAATGTGTCCACCTCCTCGGCGATATCCTCATTGGTCAGCGGCGCCCCATCGATGGTGGATTGCAGCAAAACATCCAGCAGGGCCATGCGACGCTTCTGGCCCACATCTTCCATCAGGGAGGCGGCGGTGGCATCGTAACTGCCATCGGCCAAAGCCTTCTGGAGCAGATCCCGTCGTTCCGTAATCACCGAGTTGGTGAAATCCTGCATGGCCTTAACATTCCTGTTCAGTTTGGCAAACAGTTTCGGATAGAATAGCCTCATGGTGGGATCCAAGCGCTGGAGGGGATTCATCAACCGATCGGCAAACATTTCAGAGGCCCTAAAAAAACACACATACATATTTTATGGGGAAAGCGGAAACAAGGAGCTAGGAACTCACGTCTTGACCGACTTGACATAGGGAAAGTCCGGCTGCAGCTGGGCATTGATCTTCACTCCCATGGCCGTTTCGGCAATGATATCCATGGCACACAGACAGGCCACCGGGAACATGTTGATTACCGTCTTGCCATCAGCCCGATCGTATAGCTTCTCGGCCATGGTGGCGCTCTGCTGATCGAAAACCTCCACGAAATCTTCCAGGATCTTAAAGTGGAAAGCGGGGGTGATTACCTTCCGGCGACGGAACCACTTCTTGCCCGTGCTAAGCAGCAATCCATCGCCCAGCCAGTTGACCAGCAAACCGTATAGATTATTCTTTTGAATGGTCTGCTGGCTGCTCATGATGGCCTCGATCATTTTGGGATCGGCGGTCATGAACCCACGATCCCCCAGTATCTGGATCTGGATGTTCTTGCCGAACTCCTTGATTAGACGCCATTGCAGATCGAATACAGCTGGGGGAGAGAGTTGAGATGATGATAAGGGGAGATTGTATATTTCAGAAGGCGATATATAGCTGATAGGGCCAGATATATGTATGTACACTTCAAAACAGCAAAGGAAGCTAACTTTTGGCACGCCGAAGCTTGTACACCCTTGAAAACTCAATTGGATCTTTAAAAATCAGTCCACAAATAAAGAGAAATATTTAAAAGATTTTAAAAAGATATTTCTACATAGCATTTAATAATATTGTTTTCATAAAATTTCAAAAATATGTTTAAATGTTTTTATGTTTAAAACTTCAAAACTGAGGGACTAGTTTGCCTAGAAAAGGACAGACAGACATGGCTAGATCGACTAGGCTGTTGATGCTGATATATATGTATGTTGATAGGGTCGGAAACGACTCCTTCACTGCCTTGCAAACTTCTGACTAAAATGTTAATACCCTGCTAGGGTATAAAAACATAACTAATGCCAATCTAATCTCTGCTGGGGAACAGGGGAGCTCTTTACACACGCTTTACAAGCTTTGTTGTAATCGCCCGAACCATGTGGCCATGACCTACTTACTCTTTGGCGATTCGTTGAGCAGCATGGGAGCATTGCCCACCAGGGGATAACGCCTGGGACCAGTTATTCCTGCCTCGGCATACATCCTATTGTGGTGCCTATTCCGCAGGTAGTCATACACATAGAGGACCGTGAGGACCAAAGCGATTAGCTCCAAATACATGATTTTTTTTTTTTTTTTTTTTAAATCAAAAACCGAAAATTGATTCGAACTCCGCTGGCACCGTTTGCCAACGACGACTGGCTGGTTCTGCTCGCCGGCGGGGCTGTTTTTGTAGGCGGCGCAGAATGCGATAACGGCGGCCACAATCATTGGACTGGAGCGGAGGCCAAAACCAACGGACGGGGTCAAAGACAGGCGGCTGAGAGGTAGGGCTCCTCTTTCCTAGAAGACTCACCTCCAGGAGCCTGTTGAATGTGCGGGTTCATCATGACTTAAGGCTACGTCTTTATCAAAAGACTATGAGTTCAAGTTCCGCCCCCTGCCATGGATAAGACCTGGAAATCAATTTAAATTTTGACTTATCTGGCACCCTAGAGCTCCGATAAGATCGCCAGAGTATTTTTGAGCAACACGTGTAAGCGAGAATAAAGCAAAAAAGATCAGATCAGGTTAGCTGATTTGAACTAGGGATGCTGTGGATTCCATCCTCATTAAAGAAAAAACAGCAACAGGTATCTTTGAGCTTATTTTTTCAGCTAAGAAGTATGCAAGGAGTGATCAGAGCTTTGCCAGAAGACTCTTGATTCATCTCCAAGAATAGATCCACGGGTAGTAAGAGCGCCTAGCTTTTAATAATGCTCTCTTCAGAATCGAAATCCCATATCTGTGAGATGCTGCTCTCATTTCTCATTTCCCAGCTATTAAAACAGGTCAAACTAGATTCTGATCTTGGTAATTTGAACATTTTCATTACGAATTAAATGCTTAACCCTCTAGTGGCCCGAAACCAGATTTTATTGTGTTTTAATTACTTCCGTTTGCTGATCAGAACATAGTCCCAATTGGAGTGCTGCGTTCATGTACAAACCGCACCCAAAATAACCGCTTGCCACTCGACTTTTGTTTATGGCCAAAAATTGCGCCAAAGATAACTTTATGAAACTAAATATATAAAACAAATATATAATGTTTAAGTTATATATTTGCCCAAAAAGAAGTGAAGAATCTTGTGGATCATCCAGAGAGTTTACAGTATCAGTATCTAACACCCTCTCATTTTTAACGACTCATCATGACTGGAGAAGGTGATAAGAGGCATTCCTCCAAAGCTGCTGGGTAACCGTGATTAGGCAAAGCACTCGACTTCGGTGCATTCTGCAGAGCAAGATAAGGCCTAAACCATGAGATCGAGGCAAACCACGAGCATAATATCGTAAATCTAAAACTATCAATTACAGGCTTGCGTTGGAGAACAGGGTTTTCCAGTTACTGATAAAAAACCGTTTTCACGGTGACTGGAATCTGCAAACTAATCATGACTATCAGGGAACTTTCGCAGCTCTCACTAAACTAAACTAAACTAATGATAACATTAACATTAACCTTAAAACCAATCTAAAATTCCTAACAAGTTTCTTTTTTGGTTCAAGCTTAGTTTGCATTGTTAGTTACTCCAAAGATCTCCAAGATATTCATCATTCCTACTCCACATCCTAAACAGTATTCCCTGAAGAATTTCTGGGGATTCAGTATCCCGGAACTCGGTTGTTCATTGTTCCTTCGTCGTAAATGGATTACAACTCAAGTGTGTTTCGTTCTCTCTTGCGGATCTCCGCTGGGGGCGAGCGCTTGCTGAAGCTCTGTGGGGGAATTAAGAGCGCCGAGCGCCGTTCCCCAAGTGCGAGATAAGAAACCGAGGCGACCAAGTCTTCTAGCCCGTTCAGTTGTGAATCGCTCGCCGTCGACTACACAATGCTGGGCGTGAGCCTTCTCCTGGTCCTGGCGGCATTCGCCACCCTGCTGGTGTGGGATTACTTTTGGCGCAAGAGGCGTAACGATATGCTGCAGTATATGCCGGGTCCGCCGCCGCTCCCGCTGCTGGGCAATGTCCTCATGTATCGCGGTCTGGATGCCGAGCGTAAGTTCCCCGCTCCAGTTCTCTCCGAGATAGGCTGTTGCTTACCACCTGGTTATTATCTGTAGAAATCATGGACTTTGTGACCAAGAATCAGCGCAAATACGGACGGATTTACAAGGTGTGGGTTATCCACCAGCTGGCCGTGTTCTCCACCGATCCGCGGGACATTGAGGTGGTGCTGAGCAGCCAGCAGCACATCACCAAGAACAATCTGTACAAGCTGCTCCACGAGTGGCTGGGCGAGGGCCTGCTGATGAGCACGGGCAGGAAGTGGCATGGCCGCCGGAAGATCATCACGCCCACGTTCCACTTCAAGATTCTGGAGCAGTTTGTGGAGATCTTTGACCAGCAGAGCACTGTGATGGTCAAGCAGCTGCAGTCGCGGGCCGATGGCAAGACCGCCATCAATATCTTTCCGGTGGTGTGCCTCACGGCTCTGGACATCATTGCAGGTGAGCTCCTGGAGTTCCTCTTCCTTTATAGAGACTCATTTTTGGTTTTCCTGCGCCTAGAGACCGCCATGGGAACGAAGATCAATGCCCAGATGGATCCCAATCTGCCCTATGTGAAGGCTGTCAATGAGTGAGTGGGCTGCCGGTGGTGGGTTCTCTGCTCCTTAATAGCCCTTCATGGCTCCTCCCTTGCTACTTATGACAGAGTCACCAACATAATGATCACTCGGTTTATACACGCCTGGCAGCGGGTCAACTGGATATTCCGGCTGACCCAGCCATCGGTGGCAAAGCGCCAGGATGCGGCCATCAAGGTGATGCATGACTTCACCGAGAATATCATCCGACAAAGGCGTCAGGCCTTGGTCGACTCGCCGGATAAGGGACAGACGGAGGATCAGGTAGACGATCTGGGTCAGAAACGTCGCATGGCTCTGCTGGATGTCCTGCTCCAGTCCACCATCGACGGTGCTCCCTTGAGCGATGAGGATATCCGCGAGGAAGTAGACACCTTTATGTTCGAGGGTCACGACACCACCACATCGGCCATATCCTTCTGCCTGTACGAGATCTCCAGGCATCCGGAGGTGCAGCAGCGGCTGCAGCAGGAGCTACGTGAGGTACTGGGCGAGGATCGGGAGCGTTCGGTCACGCTGCGTGATCTGGGTGAGCTGAAGTACATGGAGAATGTGATCAAAGAGTCGCTGCGGCTGCATCCGCCGGTGCCGATGATCGGCCGCTGGTTTGCCGAGGATGTGGAGATACGTGAGTATCCCCCTTTCCAGGGGAAGATCTCTCTTTTAATTGATTTTGTTTTTATTTTTGATTTTTAGGCGGCAAGCGGATTCCAGCCGGCACCAACTTCACCTTGGGCATCTATGTCCTCCTGCGTGATCCTGAGTATTTTGAGTCGCCGGATGAGTTCCGTCCTGAGAGATTTGAGGCTGACATGCCGCAAGGTCATCCGTATGCCTACATACCCTTCTCTGCTGGTCCCAGGAACTGCATTGGCCAAAAGTTTGCCCTGCTAGAGATGAAGAGCACCATTGGCAAGCTGTTACGTCATTTCGAGCTGCTGCCCCTAGGCCCGGAGCCCAGGCACTCGATGAACATTGTCCTGCGCTCGGCCAATGGTGTCCACTTGGGCCTGAAGCCACGCACAGCCTGAGGAGCTGCCTTCGCCTGCAGCCCAGAAGCTGTGTTATTATGCATTATCTGTTTTTTATATAAGAATATAAATTCCAATGTTGTTTTTTAAGACATGACTTTGGTTTACTAACAGGAATGTGAGATTACCATAAAGGTAATTGAAGAGGTCCTTTGTTCTTTTGTTCATTTTCTGCGTGTTTTCAATAAGGATTTTAAGGGTATGATATGTATGATACTTTGCATTTTAGTATTATATTTGTATTTTATTTTTTATCATCTCTCTCTCTAACCCTAAGTCTACCTCTGCCCCACTCGATCTACCTCCCTCCCACTCGGGGGGGCGTTATCTATGTAGGTACTACGCCAAGAACCCATCACTGCCTGCAATTGTAGACACAAAACTGTTTTGTCAAAACAGCTGGTCCGAGCAGCTGTTTGGCTGACCGCCTCCCGCTCTGCTTGGTGCGCTCCATTCGCTGCATCTCGCTCTGGCCAAAGGCACCGCTTTCAAAACGCTTCGCTTATATAAACAAGCATCTAAAAATATAAAGATTATCGCTGTCTTGGCTGGTGGTGTTAGTGGTGCTCTAGATAAAGAAACTTAACCCCAAGTGGGTGCCTCCGTCAGGGCATTCCGGGTACATCCGGTGGCAGTGGCAACTCAACATGTTGGTGGCTCTGTTGGCTACGCTCCTAGTAGCTCGCTTAGTGGTCTGGCTGCTCCGACGGACGCTATGGGAGCTGCGCCATCCCCTGCGTGGCCTGGTGCCCTGTGTTTCCAGTATCCCACTGGTGGGATCCGCCTGGCAAATGCGTAGTTTTCAGCCGGACAGTGAGTGCTCCTCCGCATATTTATCAATGTAAATAATTATCTTGAGAGTGTCTTCCTCTAGATCTTCACGAGAAATTCGCCGAATATGTGCAGCGCTTTGGACGCAGCTTCATGGGCTGTGTCCTGGGCCATGTGGTGGTGATTACCGCGGAGCCGCGCCATGTGGACGCCCTCCTACACAGCCAACAGCAGCTGCGAAAGGCCACGTTGTACTATGCCCTGCGCGGCTGGCTGGGCAATGGCCTCCTCCTGAGCCATGGCGACCCGTGGCGGGCCATGCGCAAGATCATTACGCCTACGTTTCACTTCAGCATTCTGGAGCAGTTCGTTGAGGTCTTTGACAAGCAGAGCAGCCGGCTGGTGGAGCGTCTAAGCCCGCTGGCTTCGAATGGGGGCGAAGTCAACATTTATCCCTATGTGGGATTGGCGGCTCTGGACATTATCACCGAGACGGCCATGGGCGTTAGCGTGGACGCCCAAAGGGATGAGGACTCCGAAGTGGTTCAGGCTGTCAAAGAGTGGGTTGTGTTCTCTTCGGTACTTTTATTTCGTTTGCACTTATCAATCACCTCATTTTTATAGACTCACCAATGTCCTGGCCACGCGGTTCGTGAGGCCTCACCTCCTCTTTCCCCAGATCTTTCGCCTATGCTGGCCCGCCGGCTTGCGGAAGCAGAAGGAAGGTGTCCGCAGTCTGCACCAGTTCACCAACGAAATCATCGAGCAGCGCCGCCAGCAGCTGGCCAGGGAGGACCAGCAGGATCAGCACTACCTTCAGAATGTTCCTCAGAAGCGTCATGCCCTGCTGGACACCCTGTTGCGCGCCACTTTGGATGGACAACCGCTCACGGACAAGCAGATACGTGACGAAGTCAACACCTTCATCTTCGAGGGCCATGATACCAGCACCTCGGCGGTGTCCTTCTGCTTGTACTTGCTCTCTCGGCACGAGGAAGTCCAGCAAAAGCTGTTCGAGGAGCTGCGCGAGCACTATGGCCCTGGTTTGGGCCGGGGCGTGGTGTATACGGATTTCGCAGCTCTGACCTATCTAAACTGTGTGGTCAAGGAATCGCTGCGTCTGTTTCCCCCGATTCCAGCGGTGGCACGCTGTCTGGAAACGGATTTGGAAATAGGTAAGTGGGATTTGAAGACAAATGCACATTGCTTACGCATTTCGCTTTTCAATACAGAGGGCGGCCACATCCCCGCGGGCACCAATGTAGTGGTGCTTCTCTGGCAGCTGCTGCGCGACGAGTCTCTCTTTGCCGATCCCCTGCTTTTCCTGCCGGAACGGCATCTGGGCGATGAGGTGACCAGGCAGGGAGCCTACAGCTTTATACCCTTCTCCGCGGGCCCCAGGAACTGCATTGGCCAAAAGTTCGCCCTGCTGGAGATGAAAACCATGGTAATTAAGATGGTGCGGCACTACCAGCTCCTCCCCTTGGGTGCGCCGGTGGAGCCGTCCATTAAGATTGTGTTGCGATCGCGAAACGGGGTTAATTTGGGCCTGCGACCGCGGTCATATTGATACAATGTGATTTTAATATTTAAAGTTTGGTTTTGTAGTAGTGCAAATATTTAAATTTGATAATCGATAGTCGATAGATGTAAGCATCAGACAGATGGAACTAGTGATGAGCAGACTTGACTACTTTGCCGCCAGATTGGGCTTTATTTTTTTACCAAAGAATTGTTATTATTAAAATTAATAATATATACGGGACTAAGTAAATAACAAATTGATTTGACTAAGATTTCGAGAATTAAAGTCTTTGCTAATCCAATTCAGAAGCAGCGCAATAAGGCCTGTATATATACAAATCCAACTGATAGCTATTTATAAAGCTGCTAAAACCCTAATCTATGAACCAATCGAATCGAGTAACTAAACAACAAGAATGAATTTCATTCAGATTACATTCGTGCGTCACATTCCTATCAGAATCGAGAATCTATACACTTTATTACGACCATATAGGCAGTTTTAGCTTTTCTTAGTTTTTAGCTGCTTTTTCTTCGGTTGCGTCCGCTGTCGATAGGTTTCGTCTATCGGCAACTGTCATCGATGGAACTGTTGTGTGCAGCTTTTCTTCGTTTTCTTTGAGATCAGAGAAAACGAACGTTTCCCCCTTGGAAAATGTGTTTTCTGCGTTTTTTAGCCCAAGCCCGTGGTACGCTGGCCAGGGTAAGTATCACCCGCAACACCTGGATCCTTAGAGCAGGAGTGCCGCCTAAACCGAGCAGCACTAATACGGTTTCTCCATTCCCTGCAGCACCTGGCGGAGGCGTCGCCCGTTGCTTGGGCCGCTGTTCCTCCAGATTCCGGCCGGACCCTACACTTGGTGATGGGCAACGAGTCCTGCGACCTAGACTCGGCCGTATCGGCAGTCACTCTGGCCTTTGTCTACGCTCAAAGGCACTTGGAACACGACTATGTGCCCATCCTAAACATTCCACGTCGGGATTACCCCCTGAAGACAGAGGTTGGCCATATGTTCGGCCAATGTGGTATTGTCGAGTCCGAGCTGCTCTTTCGCGATGATCTACCCGGCAAAATGGCCCCGGATGTAAGTGTAATCCTGGTGGATCACCATGTCAGCCCGCTGGCACCCAATGTAGCGGAGATTCTGGATCACAGGCCTCTGGATGAGAGCAGTCCGTCCCTTCAGCTGCTGCCCGCCAGCTGTGAGCGCAGCATTGATGCGTCAGTCGGTTCCTGCGCCACCTTGGTGGCCGAGCGTTATCTGGCCGAGGAGCATCCCCGCTCCGTGGCTGTGGCTCGGCTGCTGCACGCCACCATCGTTCTGGACACCATTAACTTTGCCCCGGCGGCCAAGCGGTTCGGGCCCAAGGATCAGGCCATGGTAGAGCAGCTGGAGAAGGAGTTGAATCGCCAGGCAACTCAAAGAACAGTACTTTTCGATGAGCTGGTGGCCGCCAGGGCGGATATTAGCAGCCTTACGCTCACCGAGGTGCTGCGCAAGGATATGAAGACCCTGCACACCGATCGCCAGGTGGTTCCCATGGCCGGCATGCCCATCCTTGTCCGGGATTTTGTGGCCAAAAGTGGCGCCGAGAAGGCAGTACGGGAGTTTGCCGCTGGCAGTAATCTCCTTGTGATACTGGGCATGTGGGTAGCGCCCGCCGATGGTCAAGTGCAACGCGACGTTGGCCTGATCTCTCTCAACGGCCAGAGTCAGTTGGTGGAGCGCGTCCGGCTGGCCCTCGTCGAGTCCACTGATCCCAAGCTGGAGCTGCAGCCCCATGAGCCGGACACGCCTCGCTTTATGGGAGGGTGCTTTCTACGCCAGCACAATGTCCAGGCCACCAGGAAGCACATACTGCCCGTTGTGAAGCGAGCGCTGCTGGAATGGGAGTCGGAGCATGGCTGCGACTCCGATGATGTATACTTTTTCAAGGAGAAGCCGCAGCTGGGACTCTCCTAGGCCGAAGACAAGACTTAGCTAGAATTGTAGTCCAAAAACCGTTTTAATGTTATCCAAGTTTACGCCAGAAATGAGTGGAAGAAACCTAGCATTTAAGTTGTTCGAATTCGGACAGGAAATTAGAATCTAGACCAGTGGTCGCTGCGTCCTTATTACGCTCTTTGGCATTGATCTCTCTCGACCAGGAGGCGAAAGGTGGCATTGGATATCAGTATTCAACAAAGGGGATTACATGGCTGTTGCTTTGGGTACAATTTGGGTTTGGTGTACTCCAAGGACTACCCAGGAATAGGGCCGACACTCGTTTAGTTTCCTAGTTGTTTATGTGGATTAAGTGAATATGTACAGGGCATACCACGCAGGGGTAAAAGTAAAAAAAAAACGCAAAGAGAAGTGTTGTATAAATAAACAAACTATAACTGAGGTTCGGCTTCCCCGGCTGCTCCATCCTCATCATCGCCCATTCCGTCGTCCGCGCACTCCAGTGTCATGTCATCCAGCATCTCCTCCAGCGTGATCTGTGGCACCTCACCGCCGGCAGCCTGGCCATCGATGGGTATCGTCTTGTTGCTATCTCGGTAGATGTTGATCTGCCCACGGAGATCCTCGTTCTCCTCGAGATCATCGAGGAACTCGTGGTAATCGTGCTTGCTGCGCTCGTCAGTGGCCTCGGCCGCCAAGTGCTTGATCTTCCACACGCGCTGGCTGAGCCGGGTCTGGCGATCGTAGTGTTTACGCACCAGGATCACGTCTGGTATTAGCTCCGGCGACAGCTTGTCGAACTCGGGATCGTTGATGTTCGCCTCGCCAGTGTTGTAGCCCATCACGGAGTCGCCCACCTTGAGCAAGTGGCCCAGGTGGGAGCGCGTGTGAATGGGATTATCGTTGATGCCTAGCTCCGAGGCGCGAACTACCCAAATGTCGCAGAGGGCGTGCTTGAAGGATACCTGTCCCTGGCCGGGGTACGACTTGCGATCCTTCTCCATGATCACGTCAATGTCCATGACCACGTACTCCACCAGCTGTTTGGGGTTGCAGATAGCCTCGAAGGGAGCTCTGCCGGCAATGAAGAAAAGTTAGTAAAGCGATTAAGCAAATACAAAAAAAAAATCGAATTCTTACCTGAAGTACACCTGGGAGGTGAGCTCGGCAATTTGCGCCGTCAGGGGATCGATCAGGTGGATACTGCTGGACACACGGTTAACCAGGCACAGGGGCGAGAGATTGCCCAGCTGGTGGCGCAGCTTCTTGGACAGGCACACGGCGCTATCCTTGGAAACGGGCGCTATTTCCACCGACCAGTTGTATTTGTAGTTGTAGTTGTTGCTGTGGATATCGTGCGAGATAAGACGCTTCGAGGTGGTCACCTTGCCGGGCACCATGGTCTGCAGAAAGTCCACCATGCGCCTGGCATGATTCTCATTGGCATAGTAAAAATCCAGGCCGCCATGCTCCGGCTTGATGCCCAGCGTGTGCTCGTGCGCCTTGTGCTTGAGGATCAGCTGCTCCAGATAGTAGAAGGTCTTCTTGTTGTCCGCACGCTGGCGCACCTGCACCAAGCAGCGCCAGAAGTCCTTGGCCTCGGTGCGATGACAATCATTGCACATCTGATTCTGCACCGTGAACTCCACCACGAAGACCTGCTGCAAGACAGTGCCGCCAGTGATTTCGCCGTGCACTGTCAGCTTCACCTTGATGCGCTTCGAGTGCTGCTCTGTCCATATAAAGCCCGCATCGACCAGCTTTACGTCCTTCAGGCCCTTCAGCTTCTTAAGGCAAACGGCCAGGAGCTCACGGGACTCCAGGGAGGCCTGGATCCACTCGTTCGGCGGCTGTAGGTAGCGCTCGCAGTTGCGGCAGAAGTGCAGCACCGCCTGCTTGGGTATGTTCTCCGTAATGTCGACATGGTTGCGCAGACAAGTGACGCACATGTTGGCCGGATTCGGCTGGATGGCCACTCCGCACTCGCAGCACAGGATCATGGCGTTCGAGGCGCCCTTGCTGTCGGCGGCGCCCAGCGGGCTAACGCCAGTGTAGTCGTGATCCATTCGTAGTCCCGCAATGCAAATCCTTCACAGATCTCTGCAGTTAAGCTATTTCACAATGGCGTTGTAGACGAACTTTCAATACGGGAATGTAAACACGTGCGGGCCCTAGGGATGGAAAGTGAGTGAAAGCTTATCGATAGTCGCTGGTGTTGTGCGGAGAAATTAATCGCTGCCGGCGAAGTACCAAAACTGGCCACGGTCCGGTTGTAAACTAAAAGCTTTTCAAAATAAAATCCGTTGTTTTCCTAATCCTAGTAGGCTTGTTTTTAAATCCCACTTTCATATTCCAGCTATTTTGGCTTTTTCCACTGTCTCTGCCATTACCTATCGATTGCTGTCAGCGCCCCATATATCGATACGATACACACACTCCCCTTGGGCCACCTCTAGCCCACAACAGACATTTCTTAAGAGGTACGGATCTAGGGATTCGATTTGGATTGCGCCATGCAGAAGAAGCCCATCAACGCCAACTCCCTGCTGGACAAGCTGCATCGCGGCGCCGTCTACGCCTGCATCGGGGTGACCCTCTACGGCACCTACGTGCTGGGTATGCGCTACTACCACTACTACACAGTCATCCGGCCGGAGAAGCAGCAGGCAGAGCTGAAGCTGCTGGACGAGGGGGCCCACGACAAGGCCAAGGAGCTGAAGTACTAGCCGGGCCCCACCACCTCCTCTTCCACTTGGTTAATTTGTTAAATGTCTGTTAAGCGCAATAAATTGTAAGGAAATGTTAGCATTTTCAGCTGAAAAGGCCAAGAGCTCTGGCTTGTTGTTGTGTAATCGAACGGATCCCCATCCATGCCCGGCGGGACTCGGAGATTCCAGATCTGACCCTGGCTGGGCCCTGGCCCCTGGCCCCCCTCCTCAACAATGCGCCATTAACCAGCTGGGCCGTAAATCAACTCGCCACAATGGGGAATCAATCAAATCAATCGAACGACCCAGACTAGAATTAGCCAAGAATTATAATTTAGCTGGCAATCAAAAATGTTGTCATCTCCGTCAACGGAGCCGGAGATCGTGACCAGACCGGAGCCCAGATCCGATGGCTTCCGCTTGCCCAACTCGCCTCGCGTGCATTCACCTCGTCCATCGCCCCATTCAATGCTCAAGATATTAATATTAAAGCGATGCCAAAACAATTGCAGCTGCTCGGGATGGGGGGCTGGGTGAAGACAATGGCTGGCGGCGGTGCCACCCACTTTGGGCAAGCTATGTAGCTGAGACGTCGCGACGTTGCTTGTGAAAATGCGCTTGCCATGCTTCATTCAACAATGTGGCCGCCGGCGTTGCTTCATTGATGACTCCGCGCTTGGAAAATCGGAAAAATCACAAACGGAAATTGCCATTCGCAATTTGCAATTGCCACTGCGGTCAAGGTCGTCCTTCGTTGGGTGCATTGGTATCCTATCCAGCACATAGACGGAAATGATCGGCAAGAGGACTATGATGTGTCGTCCCGAACACCGGTTACCTGATACATCTAAAATCTTAATTTGATTAAACATTATATTAAAATTTTTTTTAAAGTAAGTAATTCCAAACTTTTAGCCTCGGGAAATAGTTAGGTTTGTTTCGTTTTTTGTTATAAATATAGCGTATTTATTAATTTATACATTATAATAATACATAATAGTTAGGGTTCAAATATATATATATATATATACATATATGTATGTTTATATACATATACATCTGAATTTGATTAAATATTGTTAAAATCAGGGACCGTAATCATTATAAGTGAAAAAATAAAAATCAATGTTAAATGATTATCTATTGATTTCAATATATTCTGCTTACTATTAATAATTCTGATTTTATATTTATTTAATCGGTCAAGGAATAATAATAATTATTATTTTTATTATTATTATTATTTAAAAAAATAATTATTTAATTATTTTTAATTATTTAATTATTTTTTTCGCTCCAAAATTAAATAAATATATAAAAATCAAAAATTTATAATTAAAATTGTATTTAATATTTAATTAAAAATTAATATTAATTAAATAATATTATAATAATATAATATAAAAATCCAGATTTGATTCGTTTTTTTATCTGGATTTTCCAAGTGTATGATATTTTTGTTTAAAAAAAATGTATAATCATTATTTACGATCCCTGATTAAAATCTATAATTAATGTGGAAATTTTTTATTTACCAATAAAATTATTTACAAATAAAATAATTTAACTACATCATATTATTTTATATTTCCTTTACAACTAAAATATTATTAATTGTATTAAATTGAACCCTTTGATATAATTAAAATGATTTTATTTGTAAATACAAAATTACCAATATTTACACATATACTACTATATTCCAGCGAGCATACATACCTCCATACCCATCATACCGCCCGAGGCGTCATCGCTGAAATCGTGCTCCTCGGATGTTCTTTCGATAAGAGCGTGCATTGGAAATGATCTGGCAGAGATCTGGCTGGCAGCTTAATTAAGAATGCTGCAAAACGTGCCAATCGTTCATAATTTGTAAATAATGGAGTTCCCACGGGGCTTCTGGCATTTTAATTTGGACCCAGGCCAGGCCAGTCCAGGCCAGGCCAGCTTCTGGGCAAGCTTAGGTAATGTCCCAACCCACAGCAGCATCCAGTGTAATCCATCTGGCGGAGCAAGTGAAAGTGTTATACGATATTCGCTGGTGATTGTGGAACCCATCGCAGAGCAGCTTATGTTGCATTGTGGAACGAATATCTGCTCCACTTTTCCGATTTCCCAATGAGCCTGGGATCTTAGAATTTTGACTTGGACTGGCAATTATAAGCGATATCGTTAGTTTCCACGCCCACTCCGCCGGATGAGCGGATGACCTTTTGGCTTGCAGCATAAACAATATTCGATTTCAAGTCCTCAACCCGTCCGTCATGCATTCAATTCAGCTGCAACAATCGCTGCTGCTGCTGCTGCTGCTGTTGTTGTCGGTTTGCATAATTGCTAACTGTAGCAGCACAATACCCCAGCTCTCGACTCAACCCAGCAGCCGCCATCCCAACAATACCAGCATTAGCCAGCATTACCCAGCGGGGCGAGCTCCATGCCGGGTGGCTATAAAAGCGACGGGGCCACTGGCAGCCATCAACAAACCTCGCCCGGCGCCCAGCTCGTTAGCCAGCACATCCAGCAGCAGCATCTCCGACGCAAAAGCCCTTCGCAGCAGCATGAAGTTCTTGGTAAGCAGCAGTGGCAGCAGCAGGAAGCAGCACAAAGGATTAAGTGCAGACAGGCGAAAGACGTCAAAGGGAGGCTGTCAGAGCGGTACCAAAACGAGGCTTATTGATTCAATTCAAAATTCAATTACAGTGAATTAATAATTTTTTTTTATGAATCGGTGTTAAATTTAAACTAAAACAAAGCAGCCTAAAAGGACAAAGGACTTTCTTGTATGAAAAGAGTGATTTTTTTTAAACAAAAAGTGAATTAAGCAAGCAGATTTTTTTTGAGTTTAATATAACACAAAAAAATCGTTATAAATTGTGTGAAAAGTGATTTTTTTTTTTTAAAGAAAATTAAGTAAACAAGCATAAATTGTTTTATTTTATTATTTTTATTTCATTTTTTTTATATAATATATAAAAAATATCAGTTAATATGAAAATAGGAGATATTGATCGTTCTAAATCGTGTGTTTTTTTAAAGAAAATTAAGTAAACAAGCTAAAAATTTAAGTTTTATTTTTTTATTATTATTATTATTGAACAAGCTGATGTTTTTTTTTTTTTTAATGACTTAAAATATATGTATATTTGTTAATATGAAAATATGATTAAATTCAGTGCTTATTTTAATGCCTTCAAACCCCTAAAAGAATACGAAACAATAATATTTAAAGCAATGTCCAGCTTTCAAAAATAATTTAAAATAATAATTGTAAATGGAAAAATCAAAAATCATAATTAATTCAGCTTTAAAAAATAATTTAAAATAATAATTTTAATTGTAAAAATCAAAAATCATAATTAATTTTGTTTATTAATTATCCCTAAAATCAATTTTTAGTTTTCAAAATTGATTTAAAATATTAATTGTTATGATAAAAATCAGAAAAATCCTAATTAATTTAATTAATTCTTTTCCGTGGCAGTGCATATTCATGATCCTGGCCCTCGGCCTCGTAATGGGCACCTGGGCAGCCGTTTCGGAGCCCGAATCGACGGATGCCGTGGAGCCGCAGCAGCAGGAGATTGGCCCCGTTGACGAGAAGAAGACGGAGAAGCGCGGTATTTATGGTTTTGGCTATGGCCATGGCGGCTACGGTGGATACGGTGGCTATGGTGGCTATGGACATGGTCACTATGGCGGCTATCCTTACTACGGCGGTGGCTTTGGATACGTGCCCTACTACGGCGGACATCATGGCTACTATCCGTATCATCACGGGCACTACGGCTTCTACTAGGGACAGCAACTCTCGCGAATCATCTTATACTCAGTTTTTTTTTCGACCGATTCACCTTCCTCGCTGCCCTGACATGCCTATATGTATATTTTTTTTCGTGAACCATTATAATTCCACCTTAAAATAAAGTACATGCCCTGAGAATAGCTTAAACATTAGCCTTTTTCTGACACTGACACAACCATTGAATATCAAATATATCAATATCTTTACGATCTAGTTTAACTGAATCCTGGATCTGAATCTGTTTTATTCAAATAAATTTAATAAGGAGGAGCTAACAGCTTGTAACTAATTTGTCTTAAGATCTTTTTACGTTTCAATAACGTGTATCTGTGTATATTGCAAATTATTAACCAAATTATATTATTATAAATAGATAATTTTACTAATAAAGCAAAACGGATATGAAAATCAAGGTGTCCAAGAGAAAGTTAATATTGATTGATTAATCAGTCCCTTGTATTATGGTTTTTTATGTAATGCTGGGAATGTAAAAAGCGATTCTTAATGCTCGAATTGCAAACTGCAAGGGTGTATAAGCTTCGGTATGCCGAGGTTAGCTTCCTTTCTTGTTTTGTATACTATTTATTATAGATTTTTGCCGGGGTTTCCTTAAATATTCTGTATTTTCTTTTAAAGAAATTTAATGAATTTTAATTCGTTTTAGTTTTCTAAAAGGTTTCTTAATGGGCCTCCTTTAGTCTTCTAGAGAATACCTGAGTTTTTTTACCCAAATAAAAATAATCACAGGACCTATCGATATATTTGGTCGTCCTACCTGTTGGTTGGGCTTTACCTAGTATTTTTTTTCTCATAGGTTAGGCAACTCTCTTTTGAATAACTGTTTCACCACGAAGCTCGCTCTTTTCCTCTCTGCACGAGTTTTTGAGTCCAGGAAAAATTAAAAATTGTACAAAAAAATGCTAAAACGCGACCTGCAGAGCATCACACTCAAGTTGTCCGATCTCAAGGAGTACGAGGTGGCTCGCCTGAAGAACAAGTACAAGCCGCCACATCCCCGATTGTCCCAGGAGGTCATCCTCAGCGACGATCCCTCCACCTCGGGCACGGCAACCAGCTGCAGCTGCCCATCGGGATCAGGTACGGCCTCGGGTTCGGGCTCAGGATCTGGATCTGGATCTGGCTCTGGATCAGCATCGGTATCGGGATCGGGCACTCGATCGGAGACACCTTCCTCCGCATCGTATACCACTTCCACCACCCCGACGCCGGCTACCCAGGAAGAGCTACTCGATCGAATGGGCAGACCCTCGTCGGCCGTTACGGCCACCACCACGACCACGGGCACCACAGGCTCCGGATCCACTGACGATGTAAGCGTGGCCGCTGTGGTCGATGATACGGACACCATTGATGAGATAAGCGACGACAACTGGGTGGATCTGAATGCGGACACCAACGATACGAATGATACGCTGGACACCCTCGACACCAACGAGGAGGATGGCGCTAGGGGAGGCATCTAGAGGCGAGGAAACTTGTCCACATAACACACGCGGCTGCAGCTGAAGCGTGCTCCATATTTTATTTAAATATTTCTATTTCAATTTATTATATTCCATTTTCATCACATATTTTGTATACGTAACCCAAAGTATATTATAACCACACTGCATGCTCAACTTCTTTGTGGGGTTTTCTTTACTTTTAATTATTTCAGAAATTAAAAATACCCTCAAAGTCGCTTTCACAAGCCAAGATCCCTTCTAAGTAGTAAATCCTTGTGGAAAAGCAAACTATAATTAATGGGAACCCCTTAAGTCGTTCTAATTGGAAGCAACTCATCTCCTTACCCCCGAAATCGAACTTAATTGGCTGGAAATGAATGCGTCTAATTGGTAGACACTTGATGCCAAACCGCATTCAGCTGCAAATCCAGGATTTGATATCAACTGCAAGCTCAACAGGTTGGTCCATGTGCCCGGCAACAAGTGGGCATCCAGCTGTGGAGCCGCTTAACTCACCGAAAAAAAAAAACCGAGAGTGGGGGCTTGAGTAATACCCAACATATGTGGACAGGCTTACTTACCTGTGTGAGTGAGCTCATGTAATCCCGATTTCAAGGACTGCTGCAACGTGATTGAACTAGACCCGTGCGATGACACTTGTTGGGGTTGGAGGAAGGTTGGAAAAGCCGGGAAAACTCTATAAAAAGCTTGCTGGGAAAAGCTGCAAAGCTCAGGGCCATCGGCGCTGCATTTGAAAACTGTCTGTGGAAAGCTCAGAGGCCGGAACAGGCTCAAAAAAACAGCCTGGCATTCATTCGGCCACCGCGTCCAATCCTGGGCCCGTCTGCTCTTCCGTCTTCCGTGATCCGAGGCGGGGCCGGGTGCGCCGCTTCCGGCCCTTTCGCGGTGACCAATTAATTACGTGACCGAATTCGATTTTGTTTTTTTGTTGCCTTTCGGCGGTGGCCATTAAGTAGCTGGTCCCGTATCCTTATCCACACACTTCCGCCTCTGCTGTGTCCGTGACCCCCAAGGATCGATCCACGCCGGGCCCCATCACGTGCCACGTGTCGCCGTCGCCGGGAAAGTGCAAGGATAAGGTATGTATGTATGTAATGATGCCCCCCAGGTACATACATCCATTATGTTGTTTAGTTTTATTTATTTTTGTATACTATTTATTATACATTTTGGCCGGGTTTTCCTTTTGATTTTCCCCAAGGTAAAATTATATTTAAATATTTTGTAAATTCTTTTAACGAAATCCATAGAATTTTACTTTGTTTTAAGTTGCCTAAAAGGTTTTAGATTTCCTCCCAAAATGCATTTCTTTTTCGTTTGGCCACTTGGGTATATCATCGCATCATGACCCCTGTGACCCAACTAGTTATTAATAAGCCAACTTTTTCCATCACTGCAACACACACACACACACACACACACACACACAAGCTTACAGGTGAGTGAGTGGAACGTGATGCCGCGGGGCAACTCGGGTGCATTGATATAACCACCTGTCACACACACACAAAAGCGACACGTGCGGCGCATCAAGGGGGGGCAGGGGGATAGGCAGGATATTTCGTGGGAAAGGAGCCTGTTTGAGGGGAGGAGGAAAAGGGAGTGAAGGAGCAAAGTTGTAGTGGCAGTGAAAGTGAAAGTACAGTGACAACCCAGAACCCTCCTTCGCTGCCTTTGATCGCTCTCAATTTGCATAAATAAATATATATACAAAAAAATATACTATATATATGTATATATAATATAGTATATACATATATATATATAAACCTTACTGCACCAATGTTTTGACTGTAAACTCTGCTGTTTTCACTCGAGCGCGCATGCCTTTCATTAGCTTCTGTGCATAATTATGGCCAACACACATGGGACCGGCACAGTTGTGGTCGCCTTATTAGCACAAATCCTTTGGGGTTAAGTGACATTTTTTGTTGTTAATTAAATTGTTTTTAATTAGTGTATTAACCCTGCGAAATTAAACTGGTAAACAATAAAGTGGAATATATGAAATAAGCTTTAATTATTTCGTTTTAGAGGCAATTAAGGTGATTTTAATTAGTTTAAATCTTTGAGAATAATTTATATTTTTGGATTACATTTTTATATAGATTATATTGTTATTTTATATATTTTACTGGATGTAGATATACAAGTTATTCTTTGATTACCCAGAATACTTCTGTTCTTTAAATTATTTTTAATATAAAATAAGCTTTACTTAATTTAGGCAATTAAGGCGCTTTAAATGCGTTCGAATCTTTGAGAATAATATTACTTATGGAATATATATATATATTTATTTTAAATATATATACTATATATTAATCGAAGTAAAAGTTTCTCTTTGATGACCGAGATAACTTATTTTCCTTTACAAAAATATTAAAAATATATTTTAAATTTTCAAAGAACCCATCGTCTTGACCTTAACTGTTAATGCAGGTTCTTATGGGCTCAGAGTGAATGCAACATTGCATGCTTGTCTGTGTGTGTGCCTGTGCATATCTGATTGTGGCAACTGTAAGGTGGCCTGGAGGAGGCACTCAACAGGTGCCGGCACAGAACGGGCACCGCCCCATCGGATCAACTTGGGTAGCCCCCACGCCCGGCATGCAAAATTAATGCGGAGCCAAGCTGGGCGGACGAAGGACGAGTGCATGTTAAATAGATGGCGGCGTACAGTGCAAACTAGACATGAATCCCTGGCCTTTGGCCCTGGCCGGGACGAGCACGAAACCCGGCCAATCCATGTCCTCCATCTCCCCCAGACTTTGGCCAGACTTCTGTCTTTCGCGGCCTTTGCATTGCACTTGGCATTTCGTTTTTTTAGTCGGTCGGCCTGGAAAATGGCAATGCGGCATGCTTTTCGTGTTGTGCTTGAGGAAAAGCGGAAAAGCGGAAAAGCGGAAACGTGAAAAGCAAAATGGCAGCGCCGCTCTGCAGATAGTCTCGCCTTTTGTTGTTGCAGACAATTTGCCACTGATTGCCGAATGTCAATCCCGTTTTGTCAGCTAATTTGCATTCATATTCGAGTTGGCACATTATGCCATTTCGCTGTTCGCCGTTCAGCGCTTTCCCTGGCAGCTCAATTTTCCGGCTTTTCGCCTGCCTGACGTTGACGCGGAATGAGGACTCCAACTCCAACTTGGCCTCCGTCAGCTGCAATTAAATCAATAGTTGCTGCCTGCTCAGCGGAGCCTAGCATCGTTCCTGAAACTGAATAAGTGCCGCGTTATTAAAAATTGTCAGGAAAAATAGTTTGGAACTAAAAAAACATACACTTTTAGGAAATTTTAGGGTAAGTTTTCTAAAACTAGATCACATACAATTCTCTCTCAAGACCGAAACATTGAAACTAATATTTTCAGGACACTTTCTTTTAAACTCAGCTAAATACTCACCGATTTCTAAGGCATTCCTGATATGTTAACTATATTAATTAATTATATATGTACAAGCTGTAGTGACCGAAATATTCCACAAAATATGCACTGAACGATCAATTCAAGCGGGAATCCGAGTTCCGTTTCGATTTGGTAAAGGCAAGTGAATGCACCTATTAACGTCCAATAAATCTAAAGGTGCTTGACACCGATAAGAAACGATCGCCTCCAGCTCCCGCTCAGGGGTGATTGTCCCGTCCAGGAAAATATCTAATGCCGGCCAATGAAATGGAATTTGTACACAACTCCCTCCCAAAAAAAACAGTGAGATTTGGTGGGAAAATGGGCTCTGATTTAATAGGGAATTGCCAGTGAATCAGTGTATTCCATGTTGAGTTTCCAGTAGATTCCAGCGATCTTTGGCTGCTGGACTAACCTCCAACGGGTATTTAACAACAAAACAACATGAAAACAGCAAATCAGCAGCCAGTTGCAATCTAAGGAGTAAAAATAGCGTGTTGTGGTTAAAAATAGTCGGGAAAAACAAAACGAAAACAAAACTAACCTGAGCTCAGTTGCGGATTCTCAAGAGGCGTCTCAAAGTGCGCAAAAAAATATTGTCAATGCTTTTGTAAGGAATTCTTCCGAAAGCCAAACGATGTACAGTATATGTGGACAAGAGTCCAAACATTACCCAAACAAGCATTGAGGAGAGCCTAGGCCAAGGGTTCCTCTTTAACCGGTCTGCATCATATTGTGTTCCCTGGGTTACCATCAGACCCCCATGGATATTATAGTACACCTCAACTAAGCCCTCTTCTACCAAATCAGCGTAAAAGCTGATTGGGGGCTCTTCCTTTTCCAGTAATGGTAGTGACATTAAAATAATATAAACTTGTAAAAATATATTAAAGAAAATGTACAACTGCCAGCACTTGACACTAAAAGCAAGGCAAGAATGGATGCCACCTTAGTTTGAGGGATACTCAAAGGCCTCTGGATAATAATTATCCCTGGGTGAGTAAGCTGTGGATTCTAAGTCACTTCAAATTATATTGAATCTATCATTTAAAAGAATTGTTAAATTAAATAATTTTTCTTATATAATATAACTATCAAGGATCCTGTTTGGGCGCCACTTCGCTCCTTGCAACTGCCAGCAGAGCATGGAGTGTCGCTCCATTTCCACTGGACAGCTGCGGCTCTAACTCCGGCCTGGAGTCCACTGTCTTATCAGGGGAGCAAATGGGGCTTGGCATGGCCACCCTCGGACTCTCCATGCGGAATTGATTCCCATTTGCCGTTCCCCGTTCCTGTTCCCATTTGAAATCCCATTACCCCTGGCGACGAGTGTTATCAATGGCCTGGCATAATCGATTATCAGTATTGTCGCATTACGACAATCATAAATGGTCGGCGGGGCAGAGGGACGCGGAAAGGGGTCTGAGCGCATATAGAGGATCACGGGTTGGGTGGCTTTGCTCAACCAATTCATCTTGGGTGGGGGCCAGGCCAACCTGTGACCGATCAGTCTTGGGGTCCGTTGTATATTTATAGCACTAAACTAAACCCATTTCACAGGGCGGCCCACTATTTGCTTAGCTAATTATGCGATCAGTGCGATCGAATCTCTCATGCTGATCATCGATGGCCTATGTGTGACTAACAGAGCTTTGCTGGCATAGAGGGAAAGTTGGGTAGTCCCGCTCCACTTACCATTTGGCATGGCATTGTATAGAGTATCAGGCATTCGTCGTTGGAGGTGTGACGAGGCTTGTCTTATCGATGACCTTCAGTTCTCACTACTTTCGGAGTGAAGTTGCAATTGACAAGGCGTGTTCTTTCTTCTTACCGTTTTATGGGCTCAATTGCAATAAAACTGCTAAAAACTAAATTGGATCATAAAAAATAATCCTGCAATGTGAGTTTAGATGGAATTTTTGCCTGCTATCTGTGGGTTTTTAAAAAATCTAAGAAAGCATTTAAATTTTAAAGTAAAATTTATTTATGAATATTTCCAATGTTCAAGTAATATCTTTATATTTATAAAACATTTGAAATCTAATATAAAATATAGTACAACTTTTTTTGGAGAGAGGGTATCACACTGTCTACCTCATTGGCCTATATAATGTTTTGTTATGATTTGTATTATTCTTTTTATGACCATTGTGATTTCGTTTTACGCACAGTTCAACTCGAGCAAATTTGTTAATTAATATTTAACACTAAGCCCAGAAAGTCGTAAGCCCCATACATATACATATGTATTCCCCGGCACCTGCCCCCCGAACCACCGAACTGCCGACCCACCGAACACCGTGTTATTTGCTGGTGGACAACAATTGGAAATCACAAAAAGGAAAAATAAAACCTGTAGAAAAATTATAAACTGATAAGGTTTCTATAATTCGCAGCGGATTGAGTCCGATCACGTTCTCTCGCTCCCTTGCTCCCTCGCTCGCTCGCTCTCTTCCAGCACAAGTGACCACTGATAAGGAAAGAGACAACGAGAGAGCCAGCCATGGAGATGGAGAGAGCGCAGAGAGAGAGAGCTTCTTCTGCTTCTTTATTTGTTAACCGTTCCTCCAGCGCTTCTTCTTCCTTGCATGGCTAGCCGCTCGGCATTTTGCTCCAACTTTTGCTCGCATTTAATTTTATTTGGTCGCCTGCTAACAGCGACATCGGTTGCGTCTCGCCAGAAAGGGAATCGGGAACAATAACATAATCAGCAGAGTACCGTTAGCATCACAAGCATCCCTGTGTTATCCCATTGCCGCGAATCAATTGTTAAGTGAATATATTTTACCGTTATCCGTTGACCCCGGAGTGCAATCCATAATCTCTATGGCTGGACAATTGCAAATGCTGTAACTGTAACTGTAACTGTAACGCCAAGAACACGAATATTGTCAACAAAGTCGTAAAAAAATATAGCACACGAAAAAAAAAAAATATCAAAGCGAAACAAAATAAAGGAAGAAACAGAGCAAAGAGTGCAGCAATAAATTAATTATAAAATAAACGCCATCCGAAAGGTAAGTCCGGTAAGCCTGGATCCGATAAGGATTTCACAGCTTACGTACTATAATGTTCTATATAATGTCATCATTCCCGATCTCTTCTCCTCCGATTTTCAGTTTGAAAACTGCAATCTGGAAACGGGAAGACTCTGAAAAAAAAACACCACAAAATCGGGTCGAAACTATTTTTAAATAGATTTTCTTTATATTTGGTTTTGTTTTCTATTTATTTATCTTTTTTTTTTGTGAGGAAAAGAACGTGGGAGCGAAAGTGCATTGCCTTTGTCTGTTATCCATTATCCCCCCCCATTTATTGGTGTCTGATAATCCATATATTGATATTGATATTGACTAAATCGAAGGTTTCAGGTCTAAGGCAATGTTGACAAGATCGTTGAGAAAGATTGATGGAAAAAAGGGGAGGCTTTAATCTCCAGTAAAGTGTAAAAATAATAACAAGTATTAAGTGGAAAAGTGAAGAAAATGAAGGGTTCTAGATTCTCTAGATTCTAAAAGAAGCCGATTTTCTATATATGTATATGTAAAATAAAATAAAAATTAATTTTTCGGGAATCAGAAATTAGGAAATTAAGCATATTATATTATTAAAAATTGTTTAATTTAATTTAAATGAATTAATTATCTAGATTTTAAAGAAAAAAAAAAAACAAAGGTTTTAGAGTTTGCAATCTAGTTTTTAGATTCTAGAAAACTTTATTATTATTTTATTAATTAATTATTTAAAGGATTTTAGAGTCTACAATCGAGAATTCAGAGTTTAGAAGAACTTTTTTAAGTACCTAGGAATTAATTAATAGGAAAAGTTATTGAATTAGCTAGGAAATGAAATATGTGAAAGCTAAAAGTCTTACCAATACTCCATTAAATTCATTTAATTAAAAACTCTGTATATTATGTAGAAAATAAAGAATTATAGAGTCTTCATTCTAAATAAATAATTTATTAAATTTAATTAGTTTGGTAATCGAGAACTATGAATTCTCTAAAATTGTATTTAATTCTTTTATTTATATATTTAATTACCCGATTTATAAATTATTTATAATTAAATTCTTAAAAATTTAATTTAATTTCCCAATTTAATTCGTTTTAAAAATGAAACAAGAATATTCAATAAGCTATATCCAAATATCCTCTGCTTAGTGGGTCACTCTACCCGTTTTCCTGACCTCCACACCAGTTCAATGGCCTTGGCCAGGGGCAAGGTGGCGGGGGGGAAGTGAATCCACATCCGAATTCGAGATTCGAGACCGTGTCCAAGGCCGCGGCAATTAAAATCCGTGACCGCAAAGGCTAAAATTCATTTAGTACCAAGCAAAGTGAATTAATTTCATAATAAACAAAGTGCGAACGAGAGATTCTTGGGGGCAGTTTTCCAGTTTTCCGGCTGAGATGCAGTTTGAACCGGGCAAGGATAACTGCAGCCATAAATCTGTGCCAGAGACAGGCGACTCGGACAAAGGCCTCACTGTGGCCTTAATTAATCCCCCTTGGCCCACCGTAATTACTCAAGTGCTTATTAAGACGCTCCTTAAAGAGTGGCCAACTGGAGGCGAATGATCGATACTCGGCACTCGTGGATACCCCGCGCCAGGTGAATCACCATCTCTTTGGCATTTGTTCTCTATCATCACCATTTCGATATCGCTTTTGGCAAGCGGCATTTGTTTACTTTGCTGCTGGTCGTGGTTCAACGACACTTGTGGGCCAACCGAAATGAATGCAATCTTGGTGGGCAGCAGGCACCAAATGGGGGATGCACTGAGAGAAAATGGGGGTTCGATTATCTACATACAATATTCAAATTTTTAAATATATTTTATATATAAAAAAACCAGCTAAAAATCACCGTAGAATATCTTGGTAGCAATTTCTTATTATTAACTTTGTAGGAAAATTAAATATTTAATTAATTAATTAATTAAGTAAAGATTAAATATTTTGATATTGCAATATATTTCATATAAAAATAAACCAGCTTATTATTATCTCTTTGATATATACAATTAATTCTATAATATTACAGAGTTTTCTCTCTAAAGTGTTTTTTAGATTTTCTAATATTTCATTTAGTTTACTTTTTATAACATATTTACATATAGTAAACAGAGTTTTTATATCACTTTCCCTCGCAATCAAAATTGTTTTTAAACTAATTTTGCTATTTTTATACTTAGCTTATTGATTCTTCTCATATTTAAATTTCTGTATCAGTATTTGCTTACTTTTCCCCCAAGTCTAAATTGGGCAAAGTCAATATTTTCTCTGTGTGTAATAGAGCAGCAATGTACACAGTTTGTGTTGCTGTTGTGCTGCTGATATTGCATTTTTGTTACTGCGCACATTTTAGACCCATTCTTCTCTTTTTTTTCGGCTATCACTCGACTTACACACACTCATTGCACACATGATGAATACACTGAATACACTGAATACACTGAATTCACTCACGTAATACATAATACTCATCGGCCGTAGATGGGTCAAGGCAAAGTCCCATCGCAACGCACCCATCCATCCGCTTGGCGAGTGCATCCAGCGATAATGATAATATGCTCATTGTGTTGTTATTGTTATAGTTACTGGTCAAGATAAACCCAGAAGTATTGGGGCAATAAATAGCCGATTACAAATTAGTTGCTAACTGGTTGATAGCTGGGCTCGAGTAGTTTCTGGATAGATGTACAAATCCCAGAAAATTGGAAAGATGTAATGATTTTAGATTATGGAATATAAATTAATGCTTGGCAAATTTAAATTAAATTAATATAAGATTTATGGGGTAATTAAATGGGAAATTAGGCTTTGCTGGAACCTGATCTTTATCTCCAATTCACATATATGTATATATTCATATTCCCATTTAGACTAGCTGAAAGCAAAGTCTATTGTTTCTTTGTTGAAATTAGCTTCGGTCAAGTGGGCGGATTCTCTGCTACAATTAATATATTTATTTAAACAAATAGTTGGCATGTAACGCACACAGTGCGTATGCGCAATCTCTTTGTCGGCGATTAGAAAGAACGAAAGCCGCCTGAATGTCACGGTCGTATCTATATAGCGGCATCCCGGTAATAATACCGAAATCCAAAATTTGATTTGATTTGTGTATTGTTTTAATTGTCTTTGATTGCACAAAAGACCCGACGCCGACGGATGAATCATGGAAAAATAGGAGCTGCTCTGGATGCGTTTCCTGTTTTTCTTGGAACATAGATGGCACAGACATGAGTGTACTATATACTATGTATAGATGTTATTGTAACCATGTTCCGATTGTGTGTGCCTGTCGCTAATCAATTTTAGGTCGAGTTTTAGCCTTTGTGTTCTTCGCTTTCCATTGTATTTATTGTATGCTATTCTCCGATAATACACATGACTTTGGCGACAACGCATTTGTTTTTGTTTTCGTTCCGAGCCCGAGCCCTGGAGTGCACTGGCTTCGAGTCCGAATACGAATCCTCCCCTGAAACCATCTGCTTTATCACGTCACAATTATCTTGCGGCATTGTTTGCAACTTTTTCGCTTTGTTTTAAACTTTGCAAAAATTCAACGATTATTGAGCATATGGGGCAGCAGCTCTCTAGAAGATATCAGCGCATATTGCCTCTGTATATAATTTATATATTGTATTCTGCGACCATATCTCTGGGCGGTGCAGCTGGGGGCGAACGCGGAGAACAACAGAATAATAAACGAAAGTAATTCGCACCTTGGCCCAGTGATTAGAGCCGTCTGAAGTGGAGCCCCAGAGGTTTTGGCCAACGAAATTCACATGAAGACACAGTCTTACATGTCTAAATCAAAACGGTCTTTCGTGTTTTATAGTTCTTTCGAAAATTGGGATTCAAATAAAATAAATGTAGTATAATTATAAAAAGTTATATAATTAAAATATATATTAATGTATGCGCTCTAAAGAGCGAGATTTTATAAAAAAGTGACGAGCTGACAGGTTCTCTCAATTTAATAGGGTCCGCGGTTAACCCGTATCTTAAGTGAAACGGTTAACAGCCTTATATTTTTGCTCTCTTCTTAAAGAACTTTCTCCACTTACTTTGTTTTTGATTCCTTTTCTAAAATATTAAACTATAAAAATAGTTCTTATTTCCCTGACTTTGATGCAGTATAAACGAAAGACTTTCAGCTGACTATGATCGCTGGGGGTCCGAATGGCAAACAGACAGTTCGGATCGTTAAAAGTCGGGTGTTTTTTTTTTTAGCTACGCCAGAGATGATAAGCCACGTCCCCAAGAGTACAGGCAGTTCCTCCAAGCCCTGGTTCCTGAGAGAATGATAGAGAAAGAAAGAGAGACAGGCAGCGGGACACTGGAAATGTAAGCGGAATTCAGCAAAATAACGGTGGCGATAAGCGTTATGTTTAGCGAATGTGGGCGGGGTTCCACGGGGGGCAGACAGGAGGTGGCGGGATCGCCAGGTCACTGAAAGCCTGATAACTGCTTTGATTTGGTTTCGAAGCCTCTAGCTTCCCGTCGTCTTCTCCCCCAGAGAGTGGCTCTTTATAGAAACTAGATCGCTTCCAACTTTAACTTATTTTCAAATATTAATTATAAGAAAAAACACACACAAGTTCCACAGAAACAAACAATGACGCTGCTTAATATTTACTAGCATCAGCGCTATTTTAACCCATTTTTTTTTGTAATGATTAACTCGAATGTGTTGGTTTAATTAATGTGGAAAATGAGCCCCTAATTGCCGGAGGAACCTTAGTGAGGAGAGTCTGGAAAAAACAGGAAATGTGTAGAATAATTTAATTGAACTTGCAAGTCTGTCTGGAGAATCTTGAAACAATTTCACTTTGTTTAGAAATAACCAGAGAAACTCCTCGATCGCCCTAGGTACCTACATACATACATATATAGTACGTTTCCAAGTGTTGTACATAGAAAACAATCTGTTTTGGTTTGTTTTTCTTTTAGCACTTGGCAAGTTCAATGTATTTTCGGCTGAGCCAAGCCCGCTGATAAGCCCAAAGGCAGACACTGGGCAACAACAAGCTGAGGAAAGCAACACCAGCAACATCCTCTTAATCACGTGTTTTTCTATTTCTATTTATTATTTATTATTCCCCTGAGGGTATTATAATTTCAACTAGAAGCTAGAAACGCAATGATGGAGTCATTTCCGACCCTAAAAATTGTATATATTCTTGATCAGCATCAACAGCCAAGTCGATCTAGCCATTTTAGGCAAAAAAAAAAAATATATTTACTTTTTTTTTTAATTTTAAAAGGGGTTACGAAGTTAATTTAATGCATTTCTGACACAGTTAAAGATTTTTAAATTTTTTATTATCAAACAGAATTTCATTTCGATTTAATTTAAATTTAGTAGGCAGATGTATTTACCTACTAAAAACTAGCAGATTTGAAATGAATCGATTTTTGGCGTATCTTTAATTTTCCCCAAAAAAATATCATTTCAAATTATGGATAAATATTTAAGTTTTAATAATAATTTTTAATTTATTTTAATCTAATTGAAATACTCTGAATCTCTCTTTTCAGCTCTGGCTTAATATGCAGCAGCTCTAGGGAGACGTAGGACCCAGGACATAGGATAAATAGAAGCTTTAACTGAAGAGAGCTTAGTCTTATATATTTTTACCCTCCCTCCATTTCCCGCCTGGCCAAAACAGCAAAATGGTTCATGGACCGCCGGCACGCAGAAAATCCCAGCAGCATCAGCATCAGCAGCAGCAGCAGCCATGTGAGATGGACATGGAGCCACAGCCCACGCCGCCGGACGGAGGCTGGGGCTGGATGGTGGTCTTTGGCTCCTTCATGATACACATAGTCAGTGAGTATGAGAGGGAAATTCATCAAGAGATCCCTTCAAATGTGAATTATTTAAAAGTATTTATGGGAGAGAAATTCATCAAGAGTACCCTTCAAATGGGGCTCAAAATCTAGTTTATCCTTGTAACAAAATCTATATTTATTTTACCCACTATTAAGTGACTTTTTTTAAGGGATTTAAAATCACAAAATTATTTCAAATGTAAAAAGTCAGTCGCTTACTCTGGCGTTGGGTAACCAAGACTTTCCAAGCTGTTCCAGCCAGCCATGTGGTAAGACCTTTACGGCTGCCATAAATCAAACTCCGTCCCGTTCCGGCCTTGGACTGACCCGGCAACCCAAGTCAGGAGCGACGGATGCAGTCGGGCGGGGCGGCGATCGTAAATACTTTTGGGCCAGCGCTCTACGCACTCTAATCGCTGCAAATCAGAGTTAGATTAGGCGAGGCGGTCTTATCGACAAGGTACACACAATCCTGATGGCTGATATAGCCATGGGGCTGATTTACGAGGGGATAGGAGGAGTGGACAGGAGTGGCGTACAGTCGCCACTTGAACCGATACAACTATCAATTGGATGATAATTGTGGACGAAACCGAAACGGAGACCAAGTAATCTTATCTCGGGGGGCATTTGTAATTGCCAAGTGGCAGACGGCGGCCGGAGATCTGTGGCTACAACGGGGATCTTGATCCAATTGGGAGCCGTAATTAATGGCCCAACTAAACAGATTTATGGTCAGGGAAATCCAGGGAAATTCTAGCCTACTTTCAGGCCCACCAAGTAAACCCAATCTTTTGTATTTCCTCTTCCAGCCGATGGCATGACCTACTCCTTTGGCATCTTCTACAATGAATTTGTGGATTACTTCAACGAAGGCGGCGGCTATACGGCCTTGATAGCCTCCATAATGGTGGGTGTGACCTTCTCGTCGGGTGAGTAACATGATCTATAGCTATCTCCCTAAAAGCCTCCTCCTAATCCTGTTACCCCTCCTGCAGGTCCCATCAGCTCCTCCTTTGTCAATCGTTATGGCTGTCGGGCAGTGACCATAGCGGGCTCCATACTGGCCGCCGGCTGCATCATCGTCAGCATGTTTGCCCAGAATGTGCTCACCCTGATCATCACAATTGGCTTTGGTACAGGTCTGGGCTTTGGCCTGATCTACCTGCCGGCAATTGTCAGCGTGACGCAGTACTTCGAGGCGAAGCGATCTCTGGCTACGGGAATTGCTGTGTGCGGTTCAGGATTTGGCACCTTTGTCTTTGCACCGCTAACAGAGTTTCTGATTGGCAATTATGGTTGGCGTGGAGCATTGCTCATTATTGGCGGCATTGTGCTCAATTGCATTATTTTTGGTGCCATGTTCCGTCCACTGGAGCTGGAGACAGCGCCGCAGACGCCGCCAAATACGCCCAGTACACCAAAAGTGGGCAAGAAGTCGGCCATTATAGATCAGAATACCACGCAGGCGGAGCTGGAGCCACTGAAGATTTTGCCCAAGGATCAGTACCTACAGTTGCCGACGGTGACGGGAGGAGGAGGAGGACCCCTGTGTCGCTCCAATAGCGTGGGGCACAACCTCAAGCCCAGTCTGGTGGGTCAAAGAGTTAAAGAGTTTCTGAAATCAATACTTATACGTATAGTTCTTCCCCCAAAACAGAACAACAACTCGAATGTGGCTATCAATGGCCAGCAGCAGGCACCCACCCTGGTCACTCCACCCACCTCGGTGGTGGTGGTAAAGAGCACCAGCAACGATGACATTGCCCGCAAGTTCCACAGCCAGCTGCAGTTGACGCCGCTGAAGGATGCCCATCGGGAGAGGAGTGCCAGCGGTACCATGTACCGTCCAGATGCACTCTACCAGGTAAGGAGGTCTTGCCTCCTATCCTTCCCAGACACACCTATTACTTACCTTCTGCTTTGCTTACCCACAGGGCTCCCTGCACAACCTGCCCGACTATGTGAGCTCTAGGAATGATCTGAACCGCTCCATGTCTGGTTCAGGAGTGATCAAGCGCTATGGATCCCTGCGACAGAACAATAATCTCTCCCAGAGTCAGGTGAGGATTTGAGGGGATATTATTTGGGATCCTGGGAAGAGCTTTACTAAAGATCTTTTGAGGTTTTAATTGGCATTAAAACTAACGCAAAAAAAGGGAGAATAGTTTTAGATCTAGAAGAACTGCCCCAGGTAGCTTCTCCAGAGCCAGCGGATGAGCTTGTACATAAGAAAGAGCCGGAAGACCTGGTAGAGAATCACCTTGCTAAGGGAAAGTGGAAACTTTACACAGTGGAAACTTTCTCGCAGAGAAAACACTTGCTCTACTCACGTCCTCAAGATGATTCTCGAGCGTTTTATGGTTTTGGGGTCCTCGTGCAACAGGTCGGCACGGATGCTGTACAACATGGTCCTGCTGGTGCTGATTACTTGGGCATGAATATCCGGTTCGTTGAAGGCATCTATGTTGAAGGCGGTGCTAAAGGAGAGAGAGAGAGAGAGAGTTGGAAGAGCTGGAAGAGTAGGTTAGAGTGTCTGGCTCACCCCTCATTCTCTCTGATCAGCTTCTCCTTGTCCGTGACCCCCGGGCTATCGTAATTGTTGAACATGAAGGGCTGCATCACCTCCAGCGTCTGATAGGCCTTCCGTACCACACCCATTAGCTGTGGCTTCTTTCCAAAGATCCTCAGAAGCAAATCAATGATGAGAGCGGGCACAATCTGCTTGGTGAAGATAAGCAACTGGTAGACCCAACGCTTGTCCGTGTAGTGGCAGCCCGGTATCATCAGGTTCAGCCCGAAGGGTACATCCATCCACAGATTTAGGTCATCCATTTGCTGGGCCATCTGGGTGAAGGTGTGAGGGATGTAGCCACAGGATGAGGATAAATACACCGGCAGCTCTTTGGGAGGACCCTGCTGGTAGAGCAGGTAGCCGTGCCTGGCATAGCACAGTATACTTTTGATGGCCAAGTCCTGGGGCGTTATATCCAGCCGGACATCTCTGCCCAGATAGACAGATTTCAGGACTCCAGCGCCCACCATGGCAAAGAGACCCATGGCACCCATCAGCGAGGGCGAGAAGCCGGGCGAAGGATCATCCAAGGCGAAGAGAACTGGGGGATGAGGGATCAGGGAACGGAATAAGTGAGAAAGAGGAGGAATCCAGTGCCTCACCTATAGAGGGACGGTAAACAATCAGCGGCAAGCGATGCCGGTAGTCATTCACCAGGGACTCGGCCAGGTTCTTGGTGAAGGTGTACGTATTGGGAAAGCCCACAATCAACCTGAGGGGTAGATCAATACCAAGTTCTCTTAGAGATTTAAGCTGGAAAATCCGATTACTTACTTGCGCGTCAAAGCATTGAGCATTTTATCGTCTGGCACCTCGTCCAGCAGCCGCAGGCACAGCCGCCAGTCCATGGGCGAGGAGTAGTACTGCAAGGATCAGGGAGGTCAGATAGAGAAGCTATGCCCAAGTCAGACCACCCACCTTGGGCTCCACCCGCTTCAAGTACGGATTGCTGTAGAACGTGGATACATGCACAAAGATCCTTAGACGGGGCAAACCCTCAGCGAACTTCATGGCCTCCAAAGTGCCGCCCACATTCAGCCGCAAGGCCACCCGTAAAGGCTCATCAAACCGCACGGTGGCTGCACAGTGGAACACCAAGGAGACGTTCTTCATAAGCTCAATCATCTCGGGCTCGATGCCCAAGCCCGGCAGGGAGACATCCCCCGGCACGGCCACCAGCTTATCCAAAGCTTCGGGCTTCTCCTTGGCCAGCACATGGAAGATGGTGGCCTGGCGCAGCCGCAGGAGTCTCTGCGCCGCCGTAAGCTGTCGCCGCGGACGCAGCAGGATGTAGATGCGTCGGACATTGAGGGAACGGAGCAGCTTCTCAATCAAAGCCTTGCCCACCACACCCGAGCCGCCGGTCACGAATATCTCGCTGTCCTCGTAGAAAGCCTCCATGTTCCATGAGAGCCGGCACAGCACTGGCCCCCTAGAAGCCACAGTCATTAGGTTTTCTGGCTTATCCCTGTTCGGTGCATATTCATTTGGTATTCATTTGACTAACATGAGTCGCCGCTTACATGCTAATTTTCGGACTTGGGCTTGGGCCTAGGCACAGTGACCTCTAAAAAAAGTATTCATAGATGGGAGCTACATGGTTTCACTTAAGCCCCGATATTAATCCCCTTTTCTGTCCCCATATTTTTCCAGGAGGACACCAAATGCTGTGGCTGCATCACCTGCTCCAAGGAGACCCGCGACACCTTTGCCGAAATGATGAACTTCTCGCTGCTCAAGGATGCCATTTTTGTGATCTTCTCGGTGTCCAACTTTTGCACCAGCATCGGTTTCAATATGCCGTACATTTATGTGGCGACCTATGCCGAGACCCTGGGCATATCCAAGTCGGATGCCAGCTATCTGATAGCCACCATTGGTGGGGCCAATACAGTGGGTCGCATTATCCTGGGCTACATAGCGGACAAGCCTTGGGTGAATCGTTTGCTGGTCTACAATCTGTGCCTGACTCTCTGCGGCGCGGGTGGGTTTTAGCTGGAAAAAAATAGCTTCCCATTATTCTAATCATCTTGTGTGTCTTTCATTTATTTGCAGCCACTTTGATGGTGCCAATGTGCCATGACTACCGCTCCTTGGCCCTATACTGCACTGTCTTTGGTTTCACAATTGGCGCCTATGTGGGCTTGACCTCGGTCATTCTGGTGGATCTGCTGGGGCTGGACAAGCTGACCAATGCCTTTGGCCTGCTGCTGCTCTTCCAGGGCGTTGCCAGCTTTATGGGTACCCCAATTGGAGGTGGGTTTTAATATTTAATATTTTTAATAATATTTATATAATATTTAATATTATTTCTCCTTAATCCCCGCCAGGTTGGATGTATGACTACACAAAGTCGTACTCGCCGGCCTTCATTCTGGCAGGACTGATGATAGCCATCAGTGGCCTGGTGATGTTTGCCATTCCGCCGCTGCAGCGGTTCCAGGCCCGCAAGTCGGAGCAGAAGGCCCATGCAGAGCACATGTCCCTAAGTTAGTGTTATCCTTCTTTGTTTTTTTTGTTTTTTTTTTTCTATTCTAAAACATATAAATATATATGTTGTTTTTGATAATATTAAGTCCTAGACCTAGGCCACACCTGTATGTATGTATGTATGTATAGCATATACGATTATTTATGTATAGGCAACTTCCCCCAATCCCTGACTCCCTCTCCCAAATGCTTACCTATCTATATATAAGTACGTGAATCCATATGCAAATTGTACTAGAGAAATTATTGTTATTCTATTATGACTGTGCGTGTGTGTGTCCGCCATTAAAGCTAGCTTTTTGTACAACAAACAAACGAAGGGGAACCCCCCATGCGAGGGTCTCTATTGGGAATCGATAAGCCAGCACAGGAAAGGTAACCAGGACAGGCTCCTTTTGTGGGAACTGTTTCAGCTGAGGTAACGAGGAAATCTTTTCCTAAAGTGGAAATCTAAACAGTGTTAACTGATCTTTACACATCTCAATAATTCGATTTTTTAAAGATCCTACTTAAAGGAGGATATATCTAGCAAATGCCTACAGTCTTTATAAATCTTATCAAAATAGAACCGAGTTGAAGGAGGATATATCTCTAACGATCTCGGTTAGCTAATAGTAAGTAATAGATCTTGGTATATCTTGACTTTAGGAAGAATATATCTAAGGAGATCTTGGCAACTGCTTCTACTAGCAACTATCTGCAGATCCTAATAGGACCCACTTAAAGGAGGATTTATCTCTAAAGTTATTGGCAAATGTTTACAGTCTTTATAGATATTTTCAGATCTCAGTAGGTCCGACTTGAAGGAGGATATATCTCAACTCGGTTAGCTGATCTTAAGTAATAAATCCTAACAAATCCAAATATAGGGAGAATATATCTCTGGAGATCTTGGTAACTGCTTCAGCTGAGGCAAAACTAGAAAATTTTTACAGATTTTTAAAGATCCTTACAGAACCCAGTTGAGGGAGGATATATATCTACAAATCTTGGATATATCTCTAAAGATCTTGCTCTGTGCAACTGCTTTAGCTGAGGCAAACTAGCAAATTTCTTTAGATTTGTAAAGATCCCACTCAAAGGAGGATATATCTCTAACGATCTCGGTTAGCTGATAATAAATAAATAATTGCTTTTCGGTTCGCACTGTTTACAGAGCCATAATATCGCTCATTCGGCTTGTTTATTTGCCATAAATCACGGGCCATATAAGATAATTTTTTAGTTGAGTTGCGCCAAGAGATCAGACCGATAATTATTATAATGCTTGCCAAAAGAATTACAGGAATCCCTAGTCTCTAGACAACAGACTCTGACGAAGCCAATTTTCAACTTGTTGGTCAATCGCCGGGCAAGAATCTTTGCGGCTGGTTGGGTTCTAAGAATTTATGACATTTTCCCTGGCAGAGTTCTGGATGGATTACAGGATTACACTTCCCTAGGGAGATCTTTTTAACGCTCTATTCTTAAATTTTCCAACCTCAGGAATGGGCTAATCTACAAAATAATCTACAAAAAGTGAAACATTTTGGATAATAGCTCGGTGATTTATTGGTTTCCTTACGAGTTAACAAGTAGATTAACAACAATGGGGGTTGGGATGGCCCCCGCTCATTCACACTCTCACACAATCACGCCGAAAAAAAAAAAAAAAAATAAACACAAACAGAGAACAAAGTATCCACTGAGCCAGTGCACCATTATCATCATCATCATCATCATCATCACTGGATCTCACGGAATCTCCTCGGTGATCAGCTTCTTCAGGGTGCACTCGCCGGCGCCCAGCTTATGCAGTATGGCCAGGACCTCCTCCCGATACCGATCCATGTGGGCCATTTCCTCGGGGGTGTACTGGTCCCGGTCGAAGCGCGTCATCCGCCAGATGACGTTCAGCTTGGCCTCGATGAGCACGTAGTTCGAGGGCGGACAGAAGCGCGGGCACAGCTCATTGATGAAGTGGATCATGTCCTGGACGCTGCACGAATTAATCCGATTGTTGATGGTATTCAGGGCAAAATCCTGGTAGCGCGCCATCTTTGCGTGCGGAAAGACATTCTCGCAGGTGAGGCAGCGCCAGTCCGGCTGCAGGGTCCGTGTCTGGACGGGGATGACCAATCCGCGGCAGCCTTGCTCCCGGCAGAACAGCGCCGACAGGTAAGTGCCGTTCTCCTGCAAAAGAGATCAATTGAAGAAGGGTCAGTGGGTTAGCCTGGTTCCGGTGGTGCCGGTGGTCCGCCTCTGTCACTTCAAGGCGTTTCGAGTTCACTAAACTGAAGTCGAAATCGAATGGGGTTTCTGTTTGGGAATCGAAGGCATTAGCATATACAATATATATGTGTGTGTGTCGGTGTGATCGGTGTGTGTATCATGCTCAGAGGTGGGTTTTCGGTTGCGGTGCAGAGGTTAGTGGCCCAGGGAACTTTGGTGGGTTTACATGGAAGCAGCTAGAAGCCATGAATGGCTTCACATTTAAATTCAATTCTACTATGTATTTATATTTTTATATTTATATATTATATTCCCTTTTTTTATTAAGGGTTTCTGTTAATCTAAAATAGAAAATATCTAAAAACAAACCCCTTTATATAATAAGCTTAGATTTCCAAACCGTTACTCCCTTTACTTTATCCATCACTCCACATGACCATGACATGAACTCCATTTCCCTTCACTCAGCTCTCCCATTGTTTTTGTTGGCCCAACTCTTAGTCACTTAGTGACCACCCTTTTCCCTCCCCCTGGCTGTGCGCCCCCTCCTGATGCAAATCATAGAACTAATTTAATTAGGAAACGCATTTGTGTCAGGTGGCCTGGCCTGGCCAGCAGCGGCAGCGGGGCCACTGCCAACGCCAGAGGCCATTATTCACCGTATCCGCCAGATCGGATTTGGATTCGGATTCAAAGAGTGCGAGAGTGCGGCGTGGCCAGGCCATTATGAGCATAAATAGATATAGATAGATATTCAGGCGAGCCAACATAATATATTCGGGAGAGCGACGTTGACAGAGCGACGTGTTCTGTGGGCCAAGAAATATTCGTTGGGATTTAAGTGAAATATGCCTTTCAGATTTCAATAATTGCTTCTTGCGTTCTCAGGGTTAAAGTTGTGTATCCATCGGATACAACATGCCTAGATAGTATATGTATTCTATGTATTGAATATTGAGGGGAACATTTCCGAAGAACTAGAAAACTAAATATGAGTAAAGGAAATATCTTTAGAAGGGAGTTGGATAAAAATATATAGAGATTTATCTATAAAAATTTTATCTATTGTATAAAAATTAAAGAATTTATACTAAAACAAGTATATAACAGAAAACAATTACTACAAAAACTATAGATAGATAGATTTAGAAGGTAGGAAAGATACCCTAAGAGTTTTACGGAAATATAAATGAAAATAATTATTAGAGAGTTATATAAAATATAAGTCAAGTTATACTTTAGTTAAGGAATAATTGTAAAGACCACGCTCTATAAGAAAAGTGCCACTATATATATTAAATAGCCTTCTCTTATATTTAATAACTAAATGAATGGGTTACTTAAGTTCATGATTTCTTACTTAAGTTCTTAAAAGCAAAGGACACTTATCCCCAGTTAAAAATCAACAAATAATAATAAATAAATAAAAAACATCCTTATGTATAAGGATTAAATCACTAGGTCATAGCTGGAATCTATTTCTTTTTTGTTTGTTTTTAAAAGTTTAATAAATCTGCAAACTTTTTGGAAATTTTGAATTTAGGAAAATTAAAAATATTTACAACTTTTGAATATTTTAACCATGTAACCCCTTGACAAATCAAATTCTGAAATAATCATAATTCTTTACAAAAAAAATCATTCATTTGGATTCGGTAAGCGTTGTTATTTTAGTTTTTAATAGGCTAAAAAATGTGCATACCTAATTTAAAGTCTACAAAAAATTCAAATTTTCGTCAAATTTTAAGCATTTTAAAATTTTGAAAAAAAGGGGTGTCATTTTTTTTGGACAAATCAAGTCTAAAAAATTCATAACTCTGTTAAAAAATTATTAATTTGGATTCGGAATGCGGTGCCATGTTAGTTTTTACTAGGCTAACAAATCTGCATACCTAATTTATAATCTAAAACGAATTCAAATTTTGTTCAATTTTGTTCAATTTGAACGATGTAACCCCTTATAAAAAAGACCGAAAATATTTGAATTCTTTAAAAATATATTTTTTCCATATAATATTAATAATAATTTATTGGAAAAATCAAGTTTAAGAAGACATAAAATTCAACTCGGAAAGCTTTTCTATTTTAGTTTCAGCATACTGCTATTTAAAATTTTTAAAATCAAAATTTTGATTAATTTTTAAGAATTTAAACCCTTATAAAATGTTGAAAAAATGCCAAAAAAATGTTTCTTTTCAACATGGCCAGATAGACTCGCCTGTTGATGCTGATCAAGACAACATGATTTATGACTCCTTCAATGCGTTGCAAAGTTGTGATTAAAATTATAAAATATAAAAATATAACGAAAATATAAATTACAAGAATAATATAATTAAAATGCACCATGAGTTTATGAATGATTAATGAATGAATAATGAATGATTAATGACTATTGGCACTAAGCCAAGCCAAGGAATAATCCCAGTGGATACTACGTATAGGTATAATGGATACTGGATAGCTCTACCCATAACTCAAGAGGATGACTTAAAAGGATAACCCGTAGGACAGAGCATAGTCCAGGGTCCGCTCCTACTCACAGTGTTGTCATTGCACCGCGTGCAGTCGCACAGGAAGTGCTTGGTCATCTTCAGGAAGATGCCGCGCGTGAGGTTGCCCCAGAGGATCTTGGTGTAGGTGGTGGTGATCTCGGCACCCTTGGGTATATCCCGTGCCGCCCGCACCACAGCCAACCGTCCATTGTCAAAGTAATGACTGGCATTGGGCGTGCACTCGTGATTCATGATCGCCGTCAGCGGGAAGAGGCCGCGGAGGAGCACCTCGTGGCCACCAGAGCGACAGGGCGCCTCAAACGCGTTTGTGTTTAGCACGCCGACAATGCGGAAAAGCTGGTCCATGAACAACCGATCCGTGGTGGGGAAATTGCGGAAGCACTGCGCCGCCTTGATAATCTCCTGGCGATAGCCACGCTCCGCATTCGCCTGCATGGCGTCAACCAGGTGGCGCTGCTCCTTGCCCAGATGGAACACCCTCACCGCCGTCAGAATACGAAGCGACAACGGATTGACCTGCTCCTGTCCCGGCTCGGCGTCCATATCCTTGGGCTGCCATCGGCGAAAGTGCTCGCATTCCGCTTGGTGCTCCTCCCTGTCGGAGCACGTCTCGCACACGGGCAGGGTGCAACGGTGCCGGCAGAGGAAGCCCGTCTGCGGCAGCGGCTGGTGGCAACAGATGCAGCAGCTTAGCTGACCCTTGCGTGCGGTGGGACCCGTGACCAAGGCCCGCTCCCGGAAGATTAGCTCGCCGGCGGCAATGTCACGCGTGGCGAAGACGCCGCGACCGGCTACCTTCGAGGAGCTGATGGTCCAGTTGGGGAGCTCCTCCCGCAGATCACCCAGATGGGCATCAATCAGCTGGGCCAGCTGCTCGGGGGTGGTGTCGCGGCAGGGCGCCATGTGGGCCACCATGGCGGCCATTGTAGTGTCCGCTTGGACGCGCGGCGGCGCTGGCACTTGGACGGAGGCGGACATGGTCAGGCGGCGGTGGCGGCGGCGGAACTGCGGCGAACCGACGCGACGCGCGACAACTCAGCGAGTGATGATGGTCTCCGCGGCATTCGCGGTCGCTGTGGTGGCTCTGCGGCGGCAGAGGCAGCAGCGGCAGCAACAATAACAAACACAGTGACAGCAGCAACAGTGCTAGCAACAAGAGAAGCAACAGCAGCAACCACAACAACAACAACAGCGACTGAAGAAGCAGCTACGAAGGCAACGCGGACAGCGCGACGCTTATGACGTGAACGCCGACGACGCCCTCGGAGAGCATTAGAGACAACTAAAAAAAACAACAACACACACACAAATTAGAGGCGGCCACCGGGGGAATGGGGCTTGGGGAGGGGTAGGGGGTGTGGGACAAGAGACAACAACGACAACAGTCAAATATGATTTTTTCCAACAACACACACGCACACAACACGGCCGACACACACACGCAGCCAGTGTTCCGAAAAACTGAAAATTGAGGGAAATGGGGGAAAATCCCATGGAAAAAGCTATCAAAACTCAACTTTCCCTTAAAAAATATCAAATAGTCTACATTAAGGTAAAAGTAATATAAAGAAAAGTAGAGAAAACAGATAGATCAGAGTTTTCACGTGTGGAATGATAATTTCGCCTTTGTTTGCCTCCTGGAAGTATGCTAAATATTTTTGCTTTATTTTATTATTTCTTAAAGCAAAATCAATCAATTGAAATACACCCAATAAATGAAAAATCTATATATTTCCCACATAGTTAGTTAATTCATTAAAATAAAAACCCCGAATTCCACATAAATAATTATTAAAAGCGAAATCATTAGCTTACACATGCGAAATGGTAAATTCTCCTTTTTCACTTCCTAGAAGTATGCCACGTATTGTTCCATTATTTTATAATTTAAAAAAAAAACGAATCAATCAATTGAAATTCCTTTCAAAAAATATACAAATATATTTCGCACATTGTTAGTTAATTATTTAAAATAAAAAAGCCAAAATTTGCACATAGATAATTATTAAAAAGCGAAATTGTTAACCGGAACTGCCCCACTTTTGGCTGGGACGCCGCAAAGCGGATTTGCTTTTGACTCTTATTCAATTTGCGCTGCTGCTGCTGCTGCTGCTGCGGTTGTATTGTTGCATTCAATTGGATTCGCATATGGCGGTGGCCACGGGGGCCCCATCGGGTGGCAATGCCAGGGGCGCGTCGACGCCAGGAGCGCCCGGAGGAAGCGGCCACTGTGATGCAGTCGAGCCATCAAAGAGAGCTTCCCGCTGTCAATTTGCGACGACGAACACCTCTCCGTGTGCCATGTGGATATGTGCTGCGGTTGGTTATGGTTATGGATGCCATAAAGTGAAGCGAAGCCATAGGACTACAGGCCCACCCTCGATCCCAGTGCCAGTCCCAGTCCCAGACCCATGCCCATTTACAGCCAATATATATCCACCCCCGGCAATCTGGGCAGGTGGACAAAAATTATTTGCGGAGATGCAGAGCCACTGATACCTGGCGTTATTGTCTACCCAAGCCATTGCACTGTCCAAAATTACTAGTAATTATTTGAAAGCAAACAAAAAATACAAAAAAATAACTAAATAGAAATAAATCAATTAATTTGGAAACTAAAATGTCATGCAACAAATTTTAGAAAAACTTTAAAATTGAAATCCCTAAAAACCTCAAATCTTTAAGAGCCTTTTTCTAGCTGAATTGCTAGGCCTAATTTATCCCAGTGTACCACTCTTTTGGTGTCCTTCTCCGTGCGTGTGGCTGGGACATAAATTAAGACATTTGCTGGCCAAAAAGGAGTTGCGTGTCAGGGACGAATGGGAGCGGAACGAGAGGTGAGCGGCGTGACACGTGACCGACGACCGAGTTGGGGATGGCTCCACCTGCTCACCTTCGGGGGGGTAACTGTCACGCGTTGTCACCCAAGCTACTAACTCCAGGTCCCGCCCATCGGTCCGCGGACATACGTAAATCAGCTGTAAACTTTTACGAGCAACTATATAGCAGTGCCTTTTGATTCTACCCAGCAGTGGCTCCATTTAAAATCTATTTTCACTTTTTACGTGCATTTCATTGCCCCCAATCGAAGCGAAGGCAGCCGGGGGCCGAGCTAAGTTAAAAAACAACACACAGCACACACACTCAAGTGCCGAATATTCAAAAAAAAAAAAAAAAAAAAAAAGCAAAAAAGTATTGGGAAAGCTAACAGCTGCCTGGGGAAATACCCTTTAAGCAGGAATATTATTACAGAAATTTTGGGAAAACTTAAGTAAATTTGGCTAATAATTAACTAAATTAAAATTCTTTTGCAATTTTAAAATGTTAATTTAAATTTTTAATAGGTTATCTTGTGGGAAATCCTTAAAATATTATAGAAAACCTGAGAGATATTCCTGAATCCCTCTAAAAAAAAGCATACCCTTTGCCAGACGAAATACTCAACAACTTTTCAAAATGTGCCTCGTTTGTGAGTCTGTTTTTGGAAATACCCTTTAAGCAAGAATACAGAAACTTCCGAAAACTAAATTCAATTCAGGTAATAATTAACCTAATTAAAATCTAGTTGCAATTTTAAGAAATTAATTTAAATTTGTAATAGGTTATCTTGTGGAAAATCCTTAAAAATAAATGTATAGAAAATATGAAAAATATTCCGAAATCCCTCTAAAAAATTGTATTCCCTTTGAAATAAATATCTTAATTAAAATCAGTGTGCAATTTTAATATGTTAATTTAAATTTTTCTTCTAAAAAATCCCTAAAAATATATAGAAACCCTGAGAGATATTCCGGAATTCCTCTAAAAAAAAAAGGAAAGGGTATGCCAGACAAAATACTCGACGAATTTCAAAATGTTCCTCATTTGTGGGTCTGTTTTTGTTTTCTAAAGAATTTGTGCGCAAATTTTATATTTAAAAGACCACAAAATAAGGCAAACCGAAATTGAAATTCATGCGGATTGACGTGCGGCATAGAATATGCGAAGCTGCGAAGATGCGAAGATACGTAGGTCCGCGGATACAAAGATTCAAAGATACAAAGATACAAAGATGCGGTGGGCAGGTGAGGCAAGGGCAGTTGACTTGCTATGCGATCTATGACATCGCCTCCCCCTGACAGACGCGAATTCTGTGCCATTCGAATGAATGAATGATATATAAGATATATATATGATGTAGGTTGTGATGTAGGATGAGTGTGGGTACTTGAACTAGTTGGGGCGCCTCCATCGGTCATTGGCAGGCTGCCCGAGATAATGGTTTGACTTTTTATCGGGGGCATTCAGTTGGCTGGGATCATTCTCAAAGGAAAGCTGGGAACGGGTAGGGTAGAAACTCCCTCAATACAAACCCAACACGGTTGCCTGTTGTCATGCGGAGTCTCTCGCAGAACTATCGTCCTGACGGCTCTTCTGTGAGCCTTTGCCGCGAGAGAGATTGTGTGCGAAAGGGTACTCTCTACTCACTTGGCTGCCAGTCTCCAAATCCCTCCTGAATTTCGGCCAGCTGCCGCGCCTCAATCACTCACTTAGGCGGGCTGATTAATTGCTCGTCGGATGTCGCTGTGGCCCCCACTTAGATTCGTCGCAGGAGCGTAGGAGAAGGGTTACCAAGCAGCACTCAAGGGACTCAATGGGTAAGTTAGCCTCACAACACAAATTTCTATAGTTATTATAGTTAAATTGTTTTTTAAAGTGTACTTGAGTGCTGCCCCCTCGAACCCCCTTTGACGAACGCCCCTGTTGGCGGTGACATTTTTACGGCGGCGCTGTTGAAGCTATTTTTGGGGGCGCATCGCGACAATTGCGCCACTTTCGGGCCCCCAAAAATCGAGAGCAAGGCAGATGCAGCAGCTCCCAGCTAGCAGCTCCCACTCCGTGGATCCATTGGTCTCAACTCACCGTGGGATCCTGACACCGGACGCACTGGCACATAAAGTGCTTGGTCATGCCGAGGAACATCTTCCGGGCCAGCGTCGACCAGAGCAGCTTGGCATAGGACATGGTGATCTCGGCGCCCTTGGATATCCGTTCCGTGGCGCACACCACAATCGTCTCCCCGTCCTTGAAGTGGTGCGCCGCGTTCGGAGTGCACTGGTGGTTAAGGAGCCCGGCCAGCGGGTATAAAGCCCGGACCAACACCTCGTGTCCGTCCACGTTGCTGCGGCTCTCAAAAGCGTTCGTGTTGAAGGCACAGACGGTGCGGTAGAAGAAGTCCAGCATGTCCTGCTCCCGCGGGAAGTGCTCAAAGCAGGCGGCCGCTCGCTCCACCTCCTTCATGTAATAGCGATCGGCGTTGGCCTGCATGGCGTAGAGCAGCTTTCGCTGTGGCTCGTCCAGGAAGAAGCAACGCACCACGCTGAGGATGCGCAGGGCTCGCGGCTCGATCCGATTTTGCTCCAGCGGCCGCCACTTGCGGAACAGCTTGCACTCCAGTTCATGGCGTGGGGAATCCCGGCAGGCCAGGCACACAGGCAGGCCGCAGCCAGCCGGACAGAGAGCTTCCGGGTCGGTGGTGCCGGGTATCAAACGGTAGCATAGCGTGCAGGTGCGCAGATTGGTGGATCGGTGAGCCGTGGGACCCACCAGCAGGGTGTGCTCGCGGAAGAGCTCCTCGCCAGCCTCGATATCCCTGCTGGCGAAGATTCCACGCCCAGAGATGGGCGAGTCGGCCACGCGCCATGCCGGCTCCTTGGGACGCAGCGCGCCGAGGTGAATGTCCAGAAGCTCGGCCAGCTCCTGCGTGGAGGCGCTGATGGTCATCTGCTGCATCGGCTGCTGCAACTGCAACTTGGGAGTCTGCTCCTGCTCCGTCTGGGACATGGCGCACACCAGGATGAATGACCAGCGTTTGGGTAATCTCACAACTCTCCCGCTCTTGCTACCGCCGATTATCGAATCGCAACTGACCGCGCCGCCGCCGAGGCAACTCTCCGCTCGGCCAAGTTTCCTCGCTTTTCTCGACGCTTTTCTTGCCGCTATTCTCGCTCTCGATTCGCGCACCGTTCGCTCTTGCCGCTCGGCGTCATGGAGTAATGGCTAATTATAGGCGAGTTGCCTCTCGGATTTCCCAATTTCTCGCTGGAGGCGGACACGGACAGGGAAAGGGACACGGACATGGACGGCCAGCGGATGTGCGACTGGCAGAGATGTAAACACACACATTATTGAATTTAACCCACGACCGGCCAACAGAACGTGTATTCGGAGCCCATTATTCAAATGGCTTGTGATGTATGTATTCCATATAGTCAGACATTGTCCCTATAAATAATTTGGTGTGTTCCAAATATCTATTGAAAGAATCTAAGTTACGTAGTTTGGGAAATCTTCTCCAACATTTTATGGTTTTTTATTATACCCTTGCAGGGTATTATAATTTCAGTCAGAAGTTTGCAACGCAGTGAAGGAGACGTTTCCGACCCTATAAAGTATATATATTCTTGATCAGCATCAACAGCCGAGTCGATCTAGCCATGTCCGTCTGTCTGTCTGTCTGTCTGTCTGTTTCTACGCAAACTAGTCCCTCAGTTTTAAAGCTATCTGAATGAAACTTTGCATATAGTCTTCTATATGCTTTCACTGCTATATATGTCGGAACGGGCCGGATCGGACGACTATATCATATAGCTGCCATACAAGTGCTCGATATATTTTTCGAAAAAAATTATAACTTTGCGGTTTTTCAATATTTTTGCACCATTTTTTAGATGTGGCCATTATTTATTATTTCTAAATTTTGGTAAAAATTTTATGAAAATCGGACGACTATATGATATAGCTGCCATAGGAACGATCGGGAAATTAATAGGAAAAAAATTATAGCTTCGTTGTTTTTCAACGTATGTTTATCTACTCTGAGATATAAGCTTTTTTTATTATTCTAGAATTTTGGTATAAATTTCATAAAAATCGGACAACTATATCTTATAGCTGCCATAGAAGCGATCGGTAAATGTATAAAATATGTAAAGCTGGAATGTAAAACTGTAACTGTCAAACTGTAAACATAATAAGTATAGGTAAAATGTAATGAAACTCTGTTTTGTGAGTGTTTTCAGCATTTAAATGTATAATATAAACATCGAAACCAATCTGCAAGGGTATACAAACTTCGGCGTGCCGAAGTTAGCTTCCTTTCTTGTTATTATTTAATATTGATATTTCTGCTGGGAACGTACAAATTCATCAACTGCTCGATGGGAAGGCAGCAGGGTCCTTTATCGCACCGGTATTTCACATCGAACAGTTGATGAACTTGTACGCCTGGCACAGAGGAAGGATTTTATCGTTGGTTATTATCCAGGGATTAACTCCATAAGATTAACTCAGATGCAAAGCAATGTATTACATAAATACACCCCATCTATGCCCCACCAGCTGCTTCTGGAAATAACAGACACATCCCCAAATTAACACTCGATATTCAGTTTTATTTCAATCATATAAGTATCTTGAACATGGACACACATGGGGGGGGGGGATTGCAATGGGGCCTGGGGTTAGCATTGCTTTCGCCAGCGAATAATTCGCAGTTTTAGTGAGTTAAAAATCCGAACATAACAAACAATGGCAAGTGGCAAGTGGCAAGTGGCAGGGGGTGTGGGAGCCAAGAGTTCCTCCAGCAGAGGCGGGTTCAATAATAAATGCTGCTGTTAGTACACTACGAGTACAGTCGTGGGACGGGCCACAAGGTGTTGGGGGGTGAGTCTGAGGGGCGTTCAAGTTCAAAACTCTTGCACTTGGTCACTTATTCTATATACATATTGCGTTCGCTTAAACCTGACTGACGACTGACTGCTGCTTGCATGTATTGTATGTACATCTTCCCGGCTGATCGCTCGCTTTTATTGCACGCTTAATAATTAATATTACAATTACCGAAACCCAATCAGAATGGGATCAGGCAGGGGAGGACATGAGCACAATAAATAGTGGCGGTTGGAACAGATTAGGGGGTTAACATTTAAGATGTAAATCATTAAGATTAGTGTTAAGCTTTGTATGGTACACACAAGGCACAGGTGGCAGGCGGACAGGGGGACAGTTGGACAGGTCCCAGTTGAAAGAGAGCACCTAGTACTGGTACCACGGCTGCCGGCGCACCCACTGCAGGCGATTGCTGGTCTGATCCGAGCGGATCTTGATGCTTGCTCCCTCGGCGGCGCGCACCGTTTCCTTCACCTGCAAGAGAGTGGAAGAGATGTGAGCTTTTAGGGGATCACAAGGAAGAGAGTAGAAACTTACGCTCTGCATGAGGTTCTGGGCATTGCCCACCAACATCTCGGTGGCCTCGCGATCCTCGTCGGAGCCCTGGGCTCCCAGCATCGTTGCCTTCACCGTGGACAGAATCTTCAGCTGGGTACCGATGGTCGGTATGCGCTCGCACACCTGCAACAGGTTGGTGCGGATGCGACGGTCCGTGCACTGGCGGGCCAGCTCCTTGGCCAGCCGCGTCACGTCCTCGGAGGCCTCGGCGATCTTCTTGGCAGTGGCGATCAGCTCGCGCTTGCTGCCGCGCGAATCGGACAGCACCAGCTCACTGAGGCGGGCCATCAGGATGGCCATGCGCTTGGCGGCAGCGATGATCTCATTGTCCTTGGACGACCACTGGCGCACCTCCTGATGCAGGCCACGGGCGGCGATCTGCGGACAAGAAAATAAGAGTACAAATTAGAAACCAGTATAAGGATCTTTACTCAATGGACTCACCAGGATGGGCTGATTGGCATGCGGCATGGTGCGGAAGACGCCCTCGTCCTCATCGTCCGTCTCTGGCGGTGGTGGACGCACCGGGGCCAAGCCCTCCCTGGGTAGTGGCGGGCGAGGCGGCGCACGCTCAGCTGTCGGTAAAAGAAAACAGATGAATTTGAATCCCAGGAGCAAAAGACTCACCAACACACTCACCATTCTGGTTGGACAGATGCAGGGCGCTCAGCTCCGGAATGGGCGGCGGCAGAGATGTGGGCAGCGGCGGCGGCTGCGGCGGGGCAATGGCATCGCGCACCTCGCGCACATCACCCAGCAGGCGCTGGAAGGAGTTCTTCCAGGCGGCGGCCGCTGCCGGATCCGCTATGTTTGTGGCCACCAGCTTGGCATCGCCCACCATGGCGGGCAGCGAGCGCTCCAGCCGGTTGGCTGCGGCGTTCAGGCGTTCCGTAAAGACGGGATCCTCCGAATTGTCCGCCTCCTGCTTGGCCACAAGGAGGACGCGATTGATCAGGCGGGCAATGTTCGACGTGTTGTCCACCATCTTCTGGGGCTGACGGGCGTGGATGGCATCCTCGCAGAGCTTGGCATAGACCTGCATATGCTCCTCGGAGGTCTTGATGAAGTCGGCCGGATCGGTGGCCTGGTCGCAGAGCGTGCGCATGCGCAGCACCGTGTCCGCGTACTGCTGCTTCAGGTTCTGCAGATGCTCGTCCGCCGCCTTGCTGCCCGGATAGTTCATCCGGATGCGGCCGGCGCTGATGAGCTGCGGAGTGAGCGAGTCCACCTGGGCGGCGGAGGAGAGCAGTATCTCGGCGATCTTCTTGTTGCCGCAGGCACCGCCGGCGGCCACCATTCGCGACGTCTTCGAGGCGCGATCGCTGAAGGCCTGCAGGTTGTTCGACTTCTGGTTGAAGTTCTGCTCTCGGCCGGGAGTGCCCTCCGGCAGGAGCACCGCCTCGGTGAACTGCTTCAGCGGCGTGCTCACGTCCATGAAATCCTGCACGATGCGGTTGACCAGGGCGTTCTGAATGGCCGCCTTCAGCTCGTATAACTTCTGAGTGAGCTGCTTGGCCGCTTGCTTGGCCGCCGGCCCAGAGCCGGCCGCCTGGCGCTTCAGGCGCTCCACCTCGTCGCACAGCTGCTGGATCTCGGCCTTTTGGTGGCCAGGGCAGCCCTCGGCCACCTTGCGGCCTTCCTCTACGATCAGGTTGATGGCGCGCTCGCCCAGACCACCGTCGTTGATCTCGGGATGCTGCAGCCACTTAACAGCCTGCTCCAGGCGACCCTGGATGGTGTGGGCCGTTTGCTGTACACCGGCCTTGTCCACGCCGAGCACGGCCTGGTGGACCAGGGACTGAAGCTCACCCAGGCGATCGCGAATGCCGCGAGCCAGGGACTCCGCCTGCGGCGACTGGCCCTTGCCGTCCTGACGCAGCTCGCACAGAGTGTTGGCCATGGCCGTCACCTCGTCGGCCAGCTTGCGGATGGGATACGAGTCCTGGGGCAGACAGCGCTCCGAGATCTCGGTGGCGTTGTCGATCACCTGGCGGAGAGCCTTCTCGCCGACGCCGCCCCGCAGCGCATACGGATTGGACAGCCACTCGTTGGCCAGCTGCATCTTGTTGGAGATGGCATTCGAGAGCTTTTTCAGCACCGTGAGGTTGTCCAGCTCGCTGGTGTCCTCGTCGTAGGTGGTCAGCTGCAGCACGCGAATGATTTCCTGCAGCTCGTCGCTCATGCGGGCGGCCAGGTAATTCCTGTTCTCGGCCGCTTCCTCGGCGCCACGTCCCTGCTGCTCCACGATGTGAATGTAGACCTTCATGCTGCAGATGAGGATGGGGGCCAGGGTTTTGACCTGCTCCAAGCAGCGCACAAGGATCTCGCTGTGCACCTGGTGAGTCAACTCTTTCTCGCGGGCGCCCACCTCGCGATGCACCTTGCTAAGGCAGGGCGAGAGATCCTTGAGGAAGTCCACTAGATGCTCCATGGTGTCAATCACCTCGGCCACGGCCAGATAGTCCAGCACGCGCTTGCACTCCTGGATGATCTTGCGCACCTCGCTCTCGTCGAAGCAGAGCAGCAGCGAGGAGGTGCCCTGCAGGATGCCGCGGCTCCCCTCGATCAGCTTCTTGCGCGCCGGACCCGAGTACGGGTCGGAGCGGAGCATATCCGAGGCCTCCTCCAGCAGCTGCGAGGCACCCTCCACGCGATGCAATGCCGAGGGCATGTCCTGGCGCAGGATCTTGTCATCGGAGCTGTTAATGGTCTCACGGCCCACCTTTACCAAGTTGGCCACTGCCGCCGACACCACCTGTACCGGCCGGCTGAGGTCGGGCATTGCGTTGCCATCCTCGGCCTCCTCGTGGAGGATCACCAGGCGAGATACCTGGGGGGCAACGAAAGAGTGGAATTAGTTAAGGGTCTTTTGGAGAAACAATAGGTTTCGAATGGGTAAGAGGAGGGTAATGGTAGC